AGGTCCCCCCGTGAGGACGGGCCAAGCTGGACGCAGGGCAGGGGCGCGGGCATGCACGGCGGAGCAGGTCCCCCCGTGAGGACGGGGCCAAGCTGTGTGGACTTGACCCCTCGTCCCAAGCAGAGGCAGCATGGGCGAACGTGGAAAGTTCCAGGAGTGAGGCCATGTGTGTCCCTGGTGCAGAGTGGGTGGGCCGCCCACGGTTGTAGTCTAGGCCTCTTACTTAAAAAGCATTTTATTTTAAAGATTCTTTTTTAAGTCAGATATACAGAGAGGGGGAGAGACAAAAATCTTTCATCTGATTCACTCTCCAAGAGGCTGCAATGGCTGGAGCTATGCTGATGCAAAGCCAGGAGCCAGGAGCTTCTCCCGCGTCTCTGACATGGGTGCAGGGTCTCAAGGCTTTGGGCAATCCTCAACTGCCTTCCCAGGCCACAGGCAGGGAGCTGGATGGGAAGTGGGGTCCCAGGGGTTAGAACTGGCGCCCATATGGGATCCAGGCCTGTGCAAGAAGACTTTAGCCACTAGGCCACCGCGCCAGGCCCTTAAAACGCATTTTAAGCGCAGGCCCCCACAGGCCATAAGCAATGGACTGGTCCATTCAGAAGTAAGAGGGAGAGAGATTGCCACGTGGAGTCCTGAGGGATGGAGCAGGGAGACAGAGAGGCCCAACAGTGCCAGCTGCGCCTCAGCTGCCCAAGGCCACGCCAGCCCCCTGCGCGGGCAGTGACGGGTCTCCTTGCAGGTCCTGGCCCAGCCCTGCCCGAGGTGGGAGGTCGGCAGCCAGGCGGGGCCAGCCGTGAACCGGAGCTGGGGGTGGCTCGGCCAGCGCGGCCCGGGCCTGGCAGCACCGGCTGGACACGGCCCGGCTCGGCCTGGACACGGCCCGGCTCGGCCTGGCAGCACCGGCTGGACACGGCCCGGCTCGGCCTGGACACGGCCCGGCTCGGCCTGGACACGGCCTGGCTCGGCCTGGCAGCACCGGCTGGAGGCGGCCTGGGGTCGCCCTGGACACGGCCCGGCTCGGCCTGGCAGCACCGGCTGGACGCGGCCTGGGGTCGCCCTGGACACGGCCCGGCTCGGCCTGGCAGCACCGGCTGGACACGGCCCGGCTCGGCCTGGCAGCACCGGCTGGACACGGCCCGGCTCGGCCTGGCAGCACCGGCTGGACACGGCCCGGCTCGGCCTGGCAGCACCGGCTGGACACGGCCCGGCTCGGCCTGGACACGCCCCGGTGCGGGGACCGCCGGCCAATCGGCGCCCTCTCCGGCTCGCTGCGCGCCCCTGGTAGGCTCCCGCGCCCGTCCGTCAGACGCGCGGCGCCGCGGCCGGGCAGGTCTGGCCAATCAGCGCCCGCCTCGGGCGTCTCCCCTCTCGCGGTAGGCTCCTGCGCCCGTCCGTCAGCTGGGTCGGGGGCGGCGGCCGGGCGGGCGCCGAGTTCCGGACGCGCGGCGACCGCGGGGTGAGTGTGGCGGCTCACCGGGCCGGGGCGCGGGGCCGGGGCGGGCGCGGGGCCCCGGGGAGGCCGCGGGGCCGGGGCGGGCGCGGGGCCCCGGGGAGGCCGCGCTGCCCGCCGGCCGGGAAGGGGCCGGCCCCGGGGGTGTCTCCGCCGCGCGGAGCCGGAAGCGCCAAGTCGGAGCGGGGCGGGCGCCGGAAAGTTCGCGAACTCCCGGGCGCCCGCGGGGCGGCGGGGGGACCCGAGGCAGAGCCCGGGCCGGGCCGGGCCGCAGGGGGCGTGTGTCCGGCTGGCCCCGGCTCGGGTCCAGCGGTCCTGCAGCCCCGCTGCTGGGGGTGCTGAGGGAGCCCCAGGCCCAGAGCGCGCACTTGGGGTCGGCCAAGGGCAGCGTGGGGTCCGGTGGCTGCGTCCTCCCCTCGTCCCGCATGGGCGCCGGTTCTAATCCCGGCTGCTCCACTTCCCGTGCAGCTCCCTGCCGGCTCGTGGCATGGCTGGGGGGGGAGTGGAGCAGCCGGGATCTGAACCATCGCTCCTGTGGGACGCTGGTGCTGCGGCTGAGGCTTAGTCCGTCATGCCGTGGCACTGGCCCCCAGCCGTTCTCAGTTGATAGTCCTGGCTTGGGAAAGGGCCTTTCCTGGGTGTGTGCTTGCCTAGCCCGTGGCCCCGGCGTGCCCTCCCAGCTGGACCTGAGCTGGGCTGTGCCATCAGCATGCCCCCTGGGGCTCCGTGCAAGTGGGCTCGTGCGTGGGCGCCCAGGGGCCAGCTTCCTGCGCGGGGTCAGGATGGGCTCAGCCACGGAAACTGTGGTGGAAACCCAGGCTTCGACCGGGACATGGGATTGAGGGCTCCTGGTGGTGGCCTGCCTGGGCAGCTGGGGGGGCTGGGTGGGGCAACTGGCCTTGTCCTTGCCCCTGCCCTTGGCTATCTTCCGCTCCACTCAGGCTGCTGTGTCGAAGCGCCATGCTCTCGCCCACTTGGGCCTGTACCCTCTGCGTGGCTGCTAGCCACGGTGAGGCCTCCTCTCCCCGACTCCTGGGGCCTGGCTTCTGTGTTTGCTGCTTGTTTTTTAGAAATTTATTTTTATTGCAAAGGTAGGTTTGCAGGGGGAAGGAGAGAGAGATTACATCCACTGGTTCATTCACCAAGTAGCTATGATGGCTGGAACTGAGCCGATCCGAAGCCAGGAACCAGGAGCTGCTTCCGGGTCTCCCACGCGGGTGCAGGAGCCAAGGCCTGGGCTATCTATCCTCTATTGCTTTCCCAGGCCACAGGCAGGGAGCTGGATGGGAAGTGGGGCTGCTAGGACAGGTCTGCCTGTGTGGGATGGTGTTTGCAGGCGGTGGATCAGCCTGTGAAACTGCTCCACTGACCCCGGCCTTGGCCGTTTCTGCATGCATGGACTGCTGTGCAGGACGTGGCACCCATCCCCGGGGCAGGGTGTTGGCGTGCTCTGAGTTCCAGGGTTGTTTTTACTTGAAAGATGTAGAGGGAGAGATTGGAACTTGATTGCCTGGTTCACTCCCCAAGGCTGCACCAGCTGGGGCTGTGCCAGGCCGGGGCTTCCCTCCCGTCGCCCACGCGCGTGCAGCAGCCCAAGAACCTGGACCAGCCTCTGCTGCTTTTCTAGCGGGCAGTTGGATGCAAAGTGGAGCGCTGGGACTTGAACTGGTGCCCACACAGGGTGCTGGCTCCACAGGCCTGTGAAGTGGGTGTCCCATTGGGACAGGTGTAGGGCGTGGTCAGGGAGCAGAGAGCTGCCCAAGGCAACTCCACCTCAGCCCTGCTGCGTGGCCAGCTGTCTCTCACACACACTCGCATGGTACGACACAGCCCTGCTGCATGGCCAGCTCTCTCTCACACACATACACACACACGGCACAGCCCTGCCACGTGACCAGACACACACCCCGTGGCCTGGAGGGTGTGCTAGGATCTGTTCCAGGTTGGATGGCTGATGACCTTTGACCTGGTATGGTCCAGGGTGGGGCCAGCAGGCCATGGGGCCACGCACTGGTGTCCACATGTGATCAAGGGTCCTTTCTCCTCCACCATGCCTTGTGTGGTTTCAGAGAGCGGCTCGGTGCGGCCCCTGCCCTGGCGTGGAGGACTTGAAGGCTGCAGGGTGGTTTCGGTTGGCACAGTGTCAGCCGAGCAGCCTGGAGTCATCATGGTGGTTTGCATTAAAGAACTAGGAACGCAGATGGGATTAGATGTAGTATTCAACTCAAGCACTTGAGGACCTGCGGAGCCGACAGGGTGTTGGTGGGACTCAGGCCTGCCACGGCATGCTGTGAGGCTGTCACCTTCCCTGGCTGGCGCTGTGGACACCAGAACACCCTGAGATCAGAGAGATACACAGCCCTGCTTTGTGGCCAGGACGGACACACACACACACACACGCACACACACACGCTCACACGCTGCGTGGCCAGGACAGACACACACACACACACACACAGCCCTGCTGCGTGGCCAGGACAGACAGACACACACACACACACACACACACACACACACACACACCCTGCTGCGTGGCCAGGACAGACAGACAGACACACACACACACACACACACGCACGCTGCGTGGCCAGGACAGACACACACACACACAGCCCTGCTGCGTGGTGTTTCTTCTCAAGGACAGGCCCGTCTCAGGTGTCAGCGCCCGTGGGGTGTTACCAGGACGGTCCTTGTGCCGTGAGCTCTGAGGAGTGGGGTGGCTGGGCAGGTCGGAGTCAGATCCGCCTGCTGCTGGCTGCTCGCGCGGGCTTGGCGTCGGGCTCTGCTGACAGCGGAGCGGGAACCAAGCTGATTTAACTGTGACCCTTGCTCCCTGTGACACCTGGCAGTGTGACCGGCCCCCTGTAGCGTCGGGTCAGCTTGGAGCCCTCCAGGACAGCCCTGCCTCTGGACGGCCGCTGCTGCCGTCCTGGCCTTGAGCACACCTGCTGGCAATGACTTTCTGAGGTACCAGGTGAAGCTGCCAGAGGCCAGTGGACACCAGGAGTGAGGGACTGGGTGTCAGGATGGGCCTGGCCACCCGCCAGTGCCCCAGGCACTGTTGGCCCTTTAAATGTCTTCAGGATTGGCACACTGGACGTCACTCTGTGGGAAGCCCCGGCTGGCTGTGCAGGGTGGGCACCAAGGGGCGGCTGGCGTGGTGTGGGAGGTGGTGTCGGCGGGGTTGGCGGGCGAGCCATGCGAGGGAGGGCCTCGGGTGTGTCCCACTGCCTGGGCTGCCTGTGAGGGGCACGCAGGCCCTGCTGCTGCATTTGGGCTGCCGTCTCTCCATCCTGACTGCCAGAGAGTGTGGCCCCAGGGTTGCAGGGGCCTGGGCCCTGGCAGGAGAGCAGGGGCTGCCCCTTCGTTGGCCCTCCCGAGCTGTGAGGAGACCTGTGCCCAAGGCTCTGGCACCTTCCTGGGCTCTGCCCTGGTGGGAGATCTCAGGAACCCAGCCCTTCCCGCTGGACCCTCCTTGAGGGTGGCAAGGCCCCTCCCAGGTCACCTGCCTGCTCCTGGGGCATGGCCATGTGCCGTGGCTGGTCCCCTGGGTGAAGGCAGCCTGGGCCTTCAAGCTGCAGGGGGGTGCTGGGCCCGGTCCTGCAGGACGGGGACAGGTGCCCGGGGCCAGCTACGGAGCCGCTCAGCCCGTGTCTCCTGCCCAAGCTCCGTCCTGGGTCTCGGGCTGCTGTCTGCAGGTCAGGGAAGTGGCCTGGTCCTGACGTGCCCGGCATGCCCGGCAGGCCTGGTCTGACTCTACTTCAGCCAGAGCTTGGGGTGCTGAGGCTGCGGAAGCGGGCAGTGTCCTTCCCTCCCCCAGCCCTGCCCACTTGTCCGCTGGTCCCCCACAGGGAGGAAGATTGGGATAATTGATCTGTCTCCAATCCCAACTTTCCCAAAAACAGAAGAGCTGGACACGAGAGGTCCAGGTGAAGCCCTCGGAGGTGCCCGGCAGGTGGTAACTGAGGGCAACTGCTTTCTGTAGCATGGGCCTCGAGGCTACTCAGTCCGGAACAAGCTTCCAGGGGTCATGAGGAAGGCAGACGGGGGGCACTGACCCCAGCTGTTAGCTGGAGGTGGCCAGTGCCCAAGCCGGGGCATGTGCTGGCAGACGGTGCCCGGGTGGCCCCAGCTGGTTTCTGAGACCCCGAGTGTTCCTGGGCACGGCATGTCGCGTGCCTGGCCCTCTCGGTGGCTGCTGCTGTAGGGCCCGCTGCACTGCCTTCCCACGAGGGGCCCCCGAGGCGCCATGACACGTGCTGTGTTCTTCCTCAGGGGTTCCTGGTGCACGGGGGTCCCAGCTCCCATGGCTGCAGCCAGCGTGACGCCCCCCGACTCCCTGGAAGTGCTGCAGCCGGGCTACTCCACGAGCCTCCTGGGCACCAAGTTGGAGGCCAAGTACCTGTGCTCGGCCTGCGGGAACGTGCTGCGGCGGCCCTTCCAGGCCCAGTGCGGCCACCGCTACTGCTCCTTCTGCCTCAGCGGCATCCTCAGGTGCGGCGGGCGCCGGGTGAGGCAGCGCGCAGCGTGCCCTGAGCGCCCGCGCTGTCTGGGGGCCCTGTGGGTGCAGGCCGAGCATGCTGGTTCCCCGGGCGGGTCTCACCGGGGCTGCTTCTGTCCCCCACCAGCTCCGGGCCCCAGAACTGTGCCGCCTGTGTCCGTGAAGGCATCTATGAGGAAGGCGTTTCTGTCTTAGAAAGCGCTTCAGTAAGTCGGATCACTGCCTGAGGGGGGCGCGAGCCAAGCGGGCAGGCCAGGCCGGCGGAACCCTCCCTCCAGGGCCACCAGGACGGGGTGCACTGGGGGGCTGCGTGCTGCAAGCTGGGCAAGGCCTCACCTGAGGGCTGTGGGCTCCTCAGGCTTTTCCAGATAACGCTGCCCGCAGAGAAGTGGAGAGCCTGCCGGCCATCTGTCCCAACGACGGGTGCACCTGGAGGGGCACCCTGAAAGAGTACGAGGTGAGGGTGGGCCTCCCTCGCGGCCTGGCGTCCGGGTGGTGGCTGTGTGTCCCGGGGCCGGGGCCTGACTCCTCTGCTCCAGGGACCAGGTCTTGGCCCTGGATGAGGTGGGTGTGGTGAGGGCCTCGTGCCCAGGGGAGCCCTCCCTGCCCTGGGCACAGGCTGGCCTGGCCATGTGTGACGTCGGGGTTTGGGTCCTGTCTCTTGTTCTTGGGGGCTGTGCATCAGGTTCTGCTGGCCTTATAGGACCTGTGACCCCACAGGGGCTTCTGGGGCAGAGACGGCTCAGCACCTGATGCCCGTGGCCTTTGTCGGGGCTGGGCTGGGGACTCCACTGTGTCCCCTGTACTCTTAGGCACCTGGCAACAGGGCCTGAGTGCCAAGGCTGTGCTAGAGACCATCTGGAGGGTCCACCCCTCTGCCAGTCAACTGCGTGGCATGGGGGTTTACCGCAGGTAGCACTGGTCGTGAGCCCAGAGTGGAGGTGGCATGTGTCCGCTGGCACTGCTGCATAGCTCTGTGGTCCCACCCTGGCCACTGACATGCTGAGCTGTGCAGGGCCGGCCCTGGGGGATCGGCCCCCTGCGCTCCGGGGGTCACGTTCCTGGAGCAGACAGTGGCCGTGGAGGCATTGCTAGGAGTGCCCCCCAGCTGCCCCAGAGCTGCTGCAGCCCCGGCTTCTTTGCTGCACTCCACCTGGGAGGTGGGCCGGCCTGAGTGGCAGGCTGTTACCTGTCCTCCGGGCCAAGCTGCCTGGGCTCTCGGGCTCTGGGTTTTGGCTTCTGCCCATGGGCAATCTTGGCTGGACTTCAGTGAGCAGGGTGGGGGTCGGGGGTTGCTTGCCCTCTCCCTCCTCCCTGGTGACACCAGCCTGTGCTCGGGGCACTGTTCCATAGGGAGTGCCCTGAGGCCCAGGCTGCCCACGCACATGCCCGTGGCAGCGTCACCCACGCCGTACTGCCGGTTGTTGTCTGTGGAGGGCACACGCTGGGCTCAGGATCTGACCTGGGAGGCTGGGAAGCAGTGGCCCTGTCTGTTGAGGGGATCCTGGGGGCCTTGGGGGTCAGGAGGGTGGGAGGAGTGTCCCCAGCTCTGCCTGCAGCCCCCTGGTGCTGGGGTGGTGGCTGTGGCTTCCGCCGAGGGCCTGGGCCAGTGGGCACCGGCTGCGGCCCTGCGTGGCCCTGCAGGCATGCTGTTCGGAAAGTCCCTGGCTGTGCCCGGGAGACTGGAAAGCCCCTGCCAGGAGGGGCAGCGTGGGGGAGGCGGCTGCCTGGGAGCTGGCTGACAGCCCGGAGCCAGGCCTCGGGCGGAGGGGGCCTGCACCAGGCGTGCGCCAGGCATGCCTGGGGACCCTTCCCGAGGACACGGCCTCACTGCCCTGGCAATCTGAGCTCTGGGGAAGTGGGTAGTGACACGGCCCTGTGAGAACTTGGCCAGCAGGCCCTGTGGGGAGGCGAGGGCTGGCACCCACATGCCTGGGGTGTTATGGGGGCTGCTGCAGGGCACCATCCGGGAGACTTGGGACCCCAAGTGAGAGGTGGGGGCTTTCTAAGGAAAGATTCATTTGAAAGGCAGAGCACGAGACAGGGCTCACCATGGGCTGTTTGACTCCGCGGTGGCTGCCACAGCCCGGTGAGGCTGGGCCATACAGGATCCAGGCCCTTCCTCGGGTATCCACACGCCCGGGCCGTGGTCCACTGCTTCTCCAGGAGCGTGGGAGGGCGGGGGTGAGAACAGCCAGCGCTCGGCTGCGGGCGGAGTCTGAGGCCACAGCCTGACCCGCTGGGCTGCTGCGCTGGGCGGCTGGGGAGTGCCCACAGAGAGCCAGCTTCCACCGCTGGCATCAGGAGTGTGGCTTCGTACTGTCCTGCTGTGCGGCAGGCGATTCAGCCCCCCGGCTGTGCACGCGTACCCCCTGCCCTCTGTGGGCCGGGTTACTCACCCCTCAGACTGCCCTCCCTCGGGGTCTGCTGGAGTGTGGGGGCCGTGAGACACCATGGCTTCTGAGACGAGAGTGGGTGGCCACATGAGCCACGCAGAGCCCGGCCAACACCGGCCACGGGGGCTCTTAATCCTGCGGGTGCTGGCAGTGCTGACCGGGGACAAGGTGTCAGCTTCTAGCTGAGCCCCGGACCCTCGTGGGGTGGGGCTGCCCGGCTGTCCTGAAGGCCGCTCCTGCTCTGGGCCTCCACGCACCTGCTTGCGTGAGCTGTGGGTTCCCAGCTGTGCCTGGCGTGGTGTGCCCTGGGGTGTCTCAGAGCTGGGCGTGGGGGGTGGGAGGGCAAGGTCGGGGGAGAGTGGGGGTGCCAGGCGAGGCGTCTGTGGGGGCAGTTTCAGGGAAGAAGATGATGAGGTTCTGGATACGGGGGTGTCGGCTGTCCTGGGGTGCAGGGGTGAATTCTCGGGGTCTCTTTCCCAGAGTCTGGGAGCAGCGTTCTGGCCTACAGTGCAAGAGCTCTCTCCCCCTGCCCAGCCTTGCAAATAAATCTTTGCTTTTTAAATGTTTTTGTGTATAAGTTTTGCTGCCTTTTTTTTTTTTTTTTGAGATTTACTTATTTGGGCCAGTCCGAAGCCAGGAGCCCCATCCAGGTCTGCCTTCCCAGGCCACGAGCAGGGACCTGCACGGGAAGTGGGGCAGCTGGGCTCAAGGCGGTGGCTTAACTCGGTGCAGCACACACCAGCCCCTTTCTGGAGAAGGTAGAAGGCTGGTGTGAGAGCGAGCTGCTCCCCTCTGGCTGCTGCTAAGGGCCTGGGAAGAAGCACCAGGCCACAGGGACCTTCCACCCGCGTGGGAATCCCGCTGCAGCTGCTGGCACGGGGTCTCTTCCCCCTCTGTCCTCTCAGTCTTTCAAATGAGTGAAAACCTGTCAACTCGGGTGGCTGTCGTGCCAGCAGGCTGAGTCGGCACCGAGGAAGCCACATCCCGTCTGCTGCGCGCTTTTGCTTGTGCGGCCTGCAGGAGAGGCTTCAGTGGGCTCCGAGCCGTGGCCCGGCTTGCCCTGCACATTGAGGGTGCCTGGGGCGTGAACCAGCAGGTGGGACCGTCTGTTAGCCTTCCTTTCAAATAAGTAAGGGCAAGTGAGAAGCCAGCCACAGCCCTCGGACTGCCCGTCCCTGGGCTGCAGGCAGAGTCCCGCAGAGCCCTGCTGCGGCCCAGGGCTGGCCTGTGCGCCCACACTGCCTCCCGCACCCCTCCTCGGGCGACCCTGGCTCTGCCCGCTCTCCTGTGGTGTGTCTGACCCAGGGGTGCAGCCCCCCTGGGCGGGCACGGGGAGGCATCCAGTGGCTCTGAGCCCTTCCCTGTGGGCCCCTCTGACATCTCCCGTGTTAGCAGAGCTGCCACGAGGGACAATGCCTGTTCCAGCTGACCGAGTGCCCCGCCTGCAAAGGCCTGGTCCGCCGCTGCGAGAAGGAGCGCCACGCCCAGCACGAGTGCCCCGAGCGGAGCCTGAGCTGCCGGCACTGCCAGGCCCCCTGTGGCCGGGCCGACACGGAGGTGCGCAGGGTGGGCGGAAGGCCAGGAGTGGGCCTGGCTGTGGCCAGAGCTCCCTTGGGGTGCCTTGGGTGGCTTTCCCATGGCATCAGCAGGGAGCTGGATCAGAGGTGTCCACATGGAATGCCGAGGTCACGGCCACTGCGTGACCCACTGTGGTGCAGAGTGCCCACGCCACAGTGTGTGTCATTCTCACATCTGAAATTTAATATTGGAATGAGTGGATTTTAAAAAAGATTTCATGTAGGCCAGGTGCGGTAGCCTAGTAGCTAAAGTCCTCACCTTGAATGTGCCAGGATCCCATATGGGCGCCAGTTCTAATCCCAGCTGCTCCACTTCCCATCCAGCTCCCTGCTTGTGTCCTGGGAAAGCAGTCGAGGATGGCCCAAAGCCTTGGGCCGCGTGGGTGACCTAGAAGAGGCTCCTGGCTCCTGGCTTCGGGTCGGCTCAGCTCTGGCCATTGTAGCCACTTGGGGAGTGAACCAGTGGATGGAACATCTTTCTCTCGGTCTCTACATTTCTCTGTAAAGCTGACTTTCCAATAAAAATAAGTGAATGTTTAAAAAGATTTAATGTATCTTAAGGACAAATTTATAGAGGGGAGGAGAGCGATCTTCCATCCACTGATTCACTCCGCAAGTAGTCACAGCAGCTGAGACTGAGCCGATTCAAAGTCAGGAGCTCCATCCGGCTGTCCTGCATGGGTGCAGGGTCCCAGGTTCTTGGGCCATCCTTCACTGCTTTCCCAGGCCTTCAGCAGGGAGCTGCGTGGCAAGTGGAGCAGCCGGGACTTGAACTGCTGCCCGTGTGGGGCACCCTGGACTGGGGACTGGCAGTCAGGGTGTTCATGGCTCTCCCGGGAGGACTGGGTTGAGCCCCTGTTCTGGCTCCAGCTCGAGCTTCCGGCTAGTGCGAGCTGTGTGTGCAGCAGGCGATGCTGCCCTGGGGAGAGCTGGGTGGGTTCAGCCTGGGGAGCTCTGGCCCAGCTCGGCTGTGGCTGTGGGCAGGAGAGGAGCGCCATCCTGCGTGTGCCTCGTGGCACTGTCTCTGGACTCTGGGCCTCAGTCGTCCCCACTGCTCTTGCCCTCTTGCCCACGTGCTCGTCCTAGGTGTTGGGTGCGGCATGGTGGCACTGTGTGCCCCTGGCTTTCAGCACCCTGCCCAGGGTCTCGGCTCGCCCTCTCACAGCCTTGGACTGGGTTCTGTTTCCTAGAAGCTGCAGGGCAGCTGGGGCAGCGTACACACAGTGGGCTCAACTTTTGCCTGTGGTGCCAGCAGCAGACACGCGCACCAGCTTGAGTCCTGGCTGCCCACTTCCCTGCCGGCCTCTCCTTTGTGTTGGGGAGGCAGCAGAAGGTGGCACAGGAACTCGGAGCCCTGCCTGCCCTGCCTGCCCTGCCTGCCCTGCTAGGGGAGACCTGGAGGGAGGCCCACGTCCCAGCCGTGACGGCCACTGGAGAGTGAACCAGGAGGTGGGGGCGCTCTGTGTCTCCTTAGAACCGTCCTGTGCTGTCTCCAGGCGCTGGCAGGAGCAGCGGGGTGCACACTGGCGTCCGTATGGGATGCAGGCGTCTTCACCTGAGGTGTCGGGGTGCTGGGTTGTGCAGTGTGACCCCCCACTCTGACTCCTGACCCTGAGAGGTGGCGATGTGGTCAGCACTGGGATGCCTCCCTTCTAGTGGGAGCCCCGACTGCTCCTGGTCATCAAGGCCGTCTGGGGGATGAACTGGGGGCCCGGGGGCTGTCCCTCACTCTGCTTAAGGGAACCTGTGAGAAGGGGCCGTCCCTGGGCTGCGGGTGGGCCTGCAGGGTCCTGCCAAGAGCTGGCTGCTGCTGCAGGTGGGTGGAGGGTGTCCCAGGAGCACTATGTCCTGCCTCATGCCATGCTGCTTGTCTGACAGGCACACCATGCCATCTGCCCCAAGTTCCCCCTGACCTGTGAGGGCTGCGGCAAGAAGAAGATCCCCCGTGATAAGGTGCGCTGTCTGGGCATCTCAGCAGACTCGGGACCCTCGTCCTGGCAGTGGGGCAGGCGTCCATCCTATCAGTGGGGCAGGCGTCCGCCCGACTCTGGCTGGGCCCTTGTCCTAGCAGTGGGGCAGGCATCCACGCGGCTCTGCCTGGGCCCTGGGCGGGCTCCGGTGGGGGGGGTCAATCCAAGGGCCCCTGCCTGAGGTGGTACATGGGTTTGCAGGGTGGCTTGGGCAGGGCGTGGCTGGCTCTCACGTCAGCACTGCTTCCAGTTACAGGAGCACGCCAAGACGTGTGGCAAGTGCCGGGTCCCTTGCAGGTTCCACGCCATCGGCTGTCATGAGGTGGTGAGCGCAGGGCCCAGAGGTGGGGTCCGATGTGCTGGCCTGGATGCATCTGCCTTCACCCAGCTCTCTTCCCTGGCTGCCCCCCTCCAAGCTCCCATCGCACCCACCCTCCTCAGCCATCAGGTGTCTAAGACCCCTGGCTCTTGCCGCCCCGTCTCTGAGAATGCCTTCACGTGGGCATAGCAGCAGGTTGCTGGTGACACCTGTCAGCTGGTACACCCTCACTTGGGCCAGGGCAGGGCCTCTGGCGGCTTCCAGTAAGGGGCTCACAGCTCTGCCTTTCAGGGTGCCCAGGCTGAGGGCCTCCTGCAGGCCCCACGTTAACATAGAACTGGGGTTGGTGCCTCTGTGTGGGTTTGGGGGGCCCCACTTGACACTCTGGGGTCCTAGCATGTGCTAGGCTCTGCTCCTGGGTGTCTGGCAGCACGGCTGTTTGGGGGTGTGGTTTGCTTTTTAACTTACAATCCTGAAACAGGAACGTAACCAGGTTTGTGTTCTGTGTGCAAGTTTGGAAATGGCTCATTCGCAGCATCAGCTCTTGGTGGGGCTCTTGGTGCCTGCTGCCACCCTGTGCCCTGAGGCGGCCGTGCCCTTGATGCCTGCTGCCACCCTGTGCCCTGAGGCGGCCGTGCCCTTGGTGCCTGCTGCCACCCTGTGCCCTGAGGCGGCCGTGCCCTTGATGCCTGCTGCCACCCTGTGCCCTGAGGCGGCCGTGCCCTTGATGCCTGCTGCCACCCTGTGCCCTGAGGCGGCCGTGCCCTTGGTGCCTGCTGCCACCCTGTGCCCTGAGGCGGCCGTGCCCTTGATGCCTGCTGCCACCCTGTGCCCCGAGGCGGCCGTGCCCTTGGTGCCTGCTGCCACCCTGTGCCCCGAGGCGGCCGTGCCCTTGGTGCCTGCTGCCACCCTGTGCCCCGAGGCGGCCGTGCCCTTGGTGCCTGCTGCCACCCTGTGCCCTGAGGCGGCCGTGCCCTTGGTGCCTGCTGCCACCCTGTGCCCCGAGGCGGCCGTGCCCTTGGTGCCTGCTGCCACCCTGTGCCCTGAGGCGGCCGTGCGGAGGTGTTCAGCTTGCGACAGGGCCGGCGTCACTGGGCCAGGGACAGGCTTGCTCTCCTTTCCATTGGAAATACTTTCAGAATGTATTTTATTTATTTGAAAGGCAGAAAGCTGCTGGTTCATTCCCCAAGTGGCTGCAGGGAGCCAGGCACGGCCGTCCTCAGGCAGGTTCCCGGGCCATGAGCAGGGAGCTAGAGCAAAGGTGGAGCAGCTGGGGCTTGAACTGGCGCCCATGTGGGCTGCGGCACTTGCAGGCAGAGGTGCTCCTGTTGAGCCACCACCCCAGCCCCTCCTTTTCATTTTTGTTTATTTATTTTTGCCATTTCTTTTTATTTTATTTTTAATTTTGAAGGATGCACGCCCATGTGGGTCTCTACTTCCTCTTTTTTTTTTCAGATTTACTTATTTTTATTGCAAAGTCAAATATATAGATAGAGGAGGAGAAACAGAGAGGAAGATCTTCCATCCAATGATTCACTCCCCAAGTGAGCGCAATGGTCAGAGCTGCGCCGATCCGAAGCCAGGAGCCAAGAGCTCCTCCAGGTCTCCCACACGGGTGCAGGGTCCCAAAGCTTTGGGCTGTCTTCGACTGCTTTCCCAGGCCACAGGCAGGGAGCTGGGTGGGAAGTGGAGCAGCTGGGATTAGAACTGGCGCCCATATGGGATCCTGGTGCGTTCAAGGAAAGGACTTTAGCTGCTAGGCCACTGCACCAGGCCCCTCCCTCTTTGTTTTTAATGAAGTGTGTCTTAAGTGACTCAGGTGACAGCATTGCTGCAGCTGAGGACGAATGTGCCGGTGGGCCTGAGGGCCGGGGCAGGTGGGGCCTGTGCCCTGAGCCCTCCGCGTGTTCCAGGTGGAACTGGAGAAGCAGCAGGAGCACGAGGCCCAGCGGCTGCGGGAGCACCTGGCCCTGCTGCTGGCCTCGGTGCTGGACGCCAAGCCCCTGCTGCGGGACTGCTGCCCGGAGGAGCCCGAGCTCCTGCAGAGGTGCCAGGCGCTCGAGAGCAAGACGGCCACCTTCGAGAACATCGTCTGTGTCCTCAACCGGGAGGTGGAGAGGGTGGCCATGACCGCCGAGGCCTGTGGCCGACAGCACCAGCTGGACCAGGACAGGATTGAAGCCCTGAGCAATAAGGTGTGAGCCTGCTGCGGGAGCTGCCCCGTGCTCGGAGCCGGCTGCAGCCCACGCCCCTCCCCTCCTGCGTGTACCCAAGGCCCTGGCTCAGGGAGGTCACAGCGACCAGCAGGGGAGAGGGGAGGGGCAGGTGCAGGGCGAGCGAGGGTGTCGGGGTGTGCGCCCCACGCCGGCCCGTGCGTCGTGACGGTTGGGGCTCACAGGTGCAGCAGCTGGAGCGGAGCCTGGGCCTCAAGGATCTGGCCCTGGCCGACCTGCAGCAGAAGGTCCTGGAGATGGAGGCATCGACCCACGACGGAGTCCTCATCTGGAAGATCTCAGACTTCGCCAGGAAGCGCCAGGAGGCCGTGGCTGGCCGCACGCCCGCCATCTTCTCCCCAGGTGCTGTGTTTTGAGCCCTCGTGGAGCGGTCCCGGGGACAGGACAGGAGGGACGTCTGAGCTCCTGTCCCTGCGGGTGGGAGTCGTGCCGCCTGTCTGCTCCCAGGACAGCACTAGTTGTTGGCATACAGTCCTTCCCTGGTGACGAGGCTGGGCATAGGCAGAGGGCCCCGGGTGGGCGTGGGAGGAGCACGGTCAGGACAAGCAAGACCGTGCTGGTGCTGCGTCTCAGCCACAGGAGCCGCAGGGCTGCTGCTCGTGCTCCCACCCGGGGCCCTTGATGCTGTCCAGGGAGGCCGTGAGCTTCGTCCCCCGCGCTTGTCCACACGCCTTGCCATGGGCCGGGCAGCAGGACGGCGCTTGTGTGACCTGGGGGAAAGCTGGCACTCAGCACCCAGGCTGTGGGCGGCGGGCCCTGGGGGGGGTCCTAAGCCAGTCTTCCCTGTCCTTTCTGGGCTTGCCCTGGAGGGTTGGGCAGGGGACACCCAGGCTGGACCTCACTGGCCGTGGACACGTGGCTCTGCTAGGATGCCCCTCGTGTCTGGTTCAGCATGCGGGGCTTGGGCTGAGCCAGGCAGGTGCCCCCAACTCCCAGCCAGCTTGGTGGTTCACTGTAGATGACTCAGCCCACAGCAGTACTGCTTGTCCTCAGGGGACGGGTCGCCTCATTAGCAGCCGGGTCACGGGGTGAGGTGGCCAGCCCCAGCACGGGGTAGTGCCTGCCTCCCCGCAGTGCCACGCCCGCGGCTCACCGTGCCCGTGCTGCCCCAGCCTTCTACACCAGCAGATACGGCTACAAAATGTGCTTGCGCATCTACCTGAACGGCGACGGGACCGGACGGGGCACACACCTCTCGCTGTTCTTCGTGGTGATGCGGGGCCCCCATGATGCCCTCCTGCGTTGGCCCTTCAACCAGAAGGTGGGCGCTGACCCAGTGCCGGTACCCGGCCCAGGGCCACAGGCCCCCAGAGTGTCAGAGGGGAGCCCTTTTGGTGGAGTTCACATCCCGGTTGACTCGGCCTGGGCTGGAGGGGAGCCAGCACTGGGGGAAGCAGGGTGGGAACTGCACAGGCACCCTGGGGCCTCGTCCCGTGAGTTGCTCGGGGTCCCGGGTGACAGCCAGCACTTGAGGCCTCCTCCAGCGACGGCCACGGCCCAGGCAGGAAGGCCGGCCTCAGCTGCCGGCTGCTGTTTAAGCTGATGGAGTGGAGTGCAGGGCAGGGAGGGCTCTTCTTTGGTTTATTCCCAGATGGCTGCCAGAGCTGCTTCCGCGTCCCCCACGCGGGCACTGAGGCTCACGGCTTTCCCACTGCTTCCCCGGCCATGAGCAGGGACAGGTGTGAGGGGGAGCCACAGCCTGAGCCGGCGCCCATGTGGGCTCCCGGTGCCGCTGGCTTGGCCCGCAGCCCTGCAGGAAGGCCAGCTCTCTGTACTGTCCTGGCCAGGCAGCGCTGGCCTCTGCCCGGCCCTGCCCTGCTGTTCAGGGCATTTGGGGAGTGAGCCAGTGACTGTAAGATCTCTCCCTGTCCCTCCCCTTCTAACTGCCATTCAAATTAAAACTTTGGTTTTTTTTAAAGATTTATTTTATTTTTATTGGAAAGGCGGAGAGACAGAGAGGAGAGACAGAGAGGAAGATCTTCTGTCTGATGATTCACTGCCCAAGTGAGCACAACGGTCGATGCTATGCCCGTCTGAAGCCAGGAGCCTCTTCTGGGTCTCCCACGCGGGTGCAGGTTCCCAAAGGCTGTCCTCAACTGCTTTCCCGGGCCACAGGCAGGGAGCTGGATGGGAAGCAGGGCTGCCAGGATTAGAACTGGTGCCCATATGGGATCCCAGGCGTGCAAGGCGAGGACCTTAACCACTTGCGCCACCGCGCCGGCCCCCAAATGAAAAATGAACAAATGAATCTCAAACAAAAAGCTGTGAGACATGTACGTGAGGGCCTGTGTTGTGGCTATCACGTAGAGCTGTCCCTGCCGTGATGGCATCCCGCCCGGCAGAGGGCACCCAGCTCTCAGTGGAGACATGGTGGGGGGGAGCAGGGAGATGGTCCAGTCGCAGTCCGGGCCCAGGTGTCCACAACAGCCAGGAACTCCGGGCACGCTCGGACCTGACTGCTGGGGGCCCAGGGCTTGGGTCTCATCTGCTGCCCCTCGGTGCCTCAGGGAGCAGCAGGTGGCCCCTGTGCTGACCACGCACGCCTGCTGCAACAGGCTGCCATGCTGGGCTGAGTGGAGGTGGGTGTTCCCATTTCGGGCAGAGAGCAGCGGGCACAAGGTGCGCTGACCCCGAGGGCCCGGACCTGTGCCGGGCGTGGTGCTGCCCCGTCCCGGGCCCGCGCTGGGCCTGTGCTGACCTGTCCCGCCCTCTGCAGGTGACCCTGATGCTGCTTGACCACAACAACCGGGAGCACGTGATCGACGCCTTCCGGCCAGACGTAACATCTTCGTCCTTCCAGAGACCCGTCAGCGACATGAACATTGCCAGCGGCTGCCCGCTCTTCTGCCCCGTCTCCAAGATGGAGGCCAAGAACTCGTACGTGCGTGATGACGCCATCTTCATCAAGGCCATCGTGGACCTGACAGGCCTCTAGGTGCCTCCCGCGGGAGGCCAGGCAGCTGGGCGGGCGTGCTGCAGCACGAGCGAGCAGGGCGAGCGGGCCGGGCGGCCAGGGAGGGCCTCGGCCCAGGGCCGCGCACGGCGTCCCTCGGCAGCCGATGCGGTGGGACTAGCTGAGGGTCCCCCAGCACCCCAGGAAGACGCCCAGAGGAGAGCGAGGCTTCCAAGCAGCAGGAAGGGGTGCTGTGTGCCCCGAGACCCGGGCCCCAGAGCCGAGAAGCCAGGAGCCGCCCCTGGGGAGCAGGTGCTTGGAGCCAGGCCGGCGTCTGGGGGAGTCTGTCCACAGGGCCCAGCAGGCGGGCTGGCTGTGGGCGGTCAGTAAACCGTGAATGTCTGAGCCTTCCTCCGGGCCTCCTGGTTTCCTTCCTAAGTGCTCAGAGCAGCTGGGGCTGTGCCATGAAGCCAGGAGCCTGGGTCGCAGTCTTGGTCCCCTTGAGGGGGAGGCAGGAAGCCGAGCTGGGGCTCGCACCCAGGAACAACAGGTGCCAGGCTGCCCTGAGGGCTCTGTGGGCGTCTGTGTCTTCAGTGGGACTGCACAGTGGCACACGTTGGCCTCGATGGCTGCAGGGGAGGCTGGCCATGGACCCGAGCCAGCGCTGGGGCGTGTGCCGAGCGAGGGGCGGGGCCATGTGTGGCCTCTGCGTCCTGGCCTTGGTGGGCTGTGCTGGTGGGGGGCTGCTCGGGAGGGGGGGTGCCAGGGAAGCCCCCGGCAGCTTTGTGGGGCCCCATCTGGCAGGGAGGGGCATGGGTGGGCGGTGCCCGCCCCCAGGTGTGCCTGTGCAGGCCACGGGCATCCCAGCTGCTCGCCTGCCCGCCTTGGTGTTTGACCTTACCGTGTGGGATGCCCTCAGGCCCTCCAGCGGTGCAGCTTCTCAGACGCACACCTGAGCATCAGCATGCCACGAGGGCACCAGTTCAATTCCCGGCCACTCCACTTCCCATTCAGCTCCCTGCTGTCGCCCAGGTCCTTGGGCCCTGCTCCGTGTGGGAGACCAGAAGTTCCTGCCCCTGGCTTTGGCCCAGCCATGCTGCTGTGTGATCCTGTGAGGAGTGAACCAGCAGGTGGAAGATCTCTTGTAACTAAACACATCACAGTGGGGCCCAGCGCTGGCCTAGTGGCTTGAGCCAACAGGATGGCATACAGGCACTGGTTCATATGCTGGCTGCCCCTCTTCCCATCCAGCTCCCTGCTTGTGGCCTGGGAAAGCAGTGGAGGACGGCCCAAAGCCTGGGGACCCTGAGCCTGCGTGGGAGACCCAATAAAAGCTGGCTTCAAATAAGTTCAGCTCCAGCTGTTGTGGCCAGTTGGGGAGCGAATCAGCAGTCAGATCTGTGTAAATCTGCCTTTCCAATAAAAGTAAATCTTTAAATCCAGAAGAACCACAGTGGGCACTTACACATTCATATGCCTGTTTTATGGGCAGGAGACACTGAAAGGCCAGTGTCGTCAGCGGCCAGTGCAGGGCCAGAGCCCGGCCGCCCCCGGAGTGGCCGGGACCCCCTGCAGTCGGCGGGGAGTGGCCGGCTGCGGGCATCTTGGGGCAGTGTCAGGATGCACTTTTATTTTTTCTGATTGTTTTTTTTTCACTTGAGGGAGAGGAGAGATCCGTTTGCTGGTTCTCCCCCTCCCTAGGTGGTGCTCCACCCCGTGGGTGCAGGGGCGCAGTGCTGGGCTGTCCTCTGCTGCCTTTGTGGGGCATCTGCAGGAACCTGCCAAGTAGGAGCAGCTGGGGTCTGAACTGGTGCCCACATGGGCTGCTGGCAGCTGATGGTCCAGGGGGAGCGTTTGGGGCTCCCTGTGAGCGTGGGGATCAGGGCAGGGCTGGCTCTGCCCGCTCTTGCAGCCATTAGCTTCAGGCCTGATTGCTGGCAGAGAACACGCTGTCTGAGCCTGTCACTGGCGTGCCCGAGCGACTGCACGTGGGCATCCAAGGATAGGCCCTGTGGGCAGGGCTCACGTGGGAGGCCTGGCGTGCAGTGCTGTGGGCACAGCCCACCCTGCGCCATGGCTGCTGTGACTCAGCACGGAGACTATGATCCCCACCCCTCCTGGGTCGGCACAGGATGGGCACGGGTCAGTCAGCAGCCCTGGGCTCCTCCCCTTCAGCCTGGCCCTGCACAGGGCACCCAGCTCCTCCAGGCCACCACCCCTCCAGCTGGGGTCAGTGCTGCTGGCCACACCCCCAGGCCTTCTCCATGCGTGCCTACCGGTGGTGCCCTCAGTGTTTGTACCAAGGGCCACGAGGGAGCCCACCTGTGGGCAGGAAGCACTGGACAGCTGGCCTCAGATGCCAAGAGTTGCCCCCACCTCCCCAGGGACCCCAGGCTCTGCCCATGCCCTGCCCCTCCCCCACCCCCAGGTCAGGACGCTGTGTGACGGGCACACCTGGCGCACCTGGGTGCCCTGCCCAGGCAGAGGGCGGGGCCAACCCCTCCTGCAGACAGACAGCAGTGGCTATGACAGCAGTTTATTCAGTGTTCCGAAGCAGCCGCCTGTGGCCCCAGCGGGCACCAGGGCGTGGCCCACAAGCAACTATCCTGAGTGGCCGGGTGCAGGGCCACGGGCGCCCGCAGCCCGGAAGGAGGGGCGCCCGCCGAGCGAGTGTTGTGAAGGGTGTGTATGTGGGGGTCCGGCTGCCCCCCGAGCATCGCTGCTCCAGCAAGGCCTCGCCTCCCCACCCCCCACCTCAGCGCCTGTGGCTGCCGAACCAGGAGAAGAAGGGCCGGGGGCGCAGGCGCGGGGCGGCCTGGAGGAGGCGCACGGCGCGCGGGGACCGCCAGGCCTTGATGGTGGCGTCGTCGCTGGCCGTGAGCAGCAGCTCCTGCTCGCGGGGGCTGAAGACCACCGAGTTGACCACATCCTCGTGCCGCAGCTTGGCCAGGCAGATGTTGTAATGCCGGTCCCAGATGTAGCCGTGCCGGTCCTCAGCCCCGCTGCGGGATGGGGTGGGCAGGACAGGGTCGGTCTGGCTGGAAAGTCGCTCCTCCAGGCCCCTGGCTCACTGCACAGGCCCCGCTAGTCCCCACCCCTACCCCATGCCCCCCTGCCCCTACACCTGCTGGGCCCCACCCCCTGACCCTACACCTGCCGGGCCCCGCCCCCTGCCCCCACCCCCTGCCAGGCCCCGCCCCGTGCCCCCTACACCTGCGGGGCCCCATCCCCTGACCCAACACCTGCCGGGCCCCTAGCCCCCTCCCTTACACCTGCCGGGCCCCGCGCCCCGCCCCACACCTGTCCGCCCCACCCGCACCCCTGCACCTGGCCACGAAGTCGCGGCTGACATCGAGGAAGATGAAGAAGCACTCGTCGTTGGGCGTGTAGGCGCGGTGTGCCCGCAGCGCCCGCTTCACCTCGCGCATGGTCTTGAGGTCGAACACCAGCAGGTCGATCTCCTCGGCGATGGGCGGCGGCTGCATGGGGTCGGCCACCACGGCGCCGCGCGGCCAGGCCCGGCTGTTGACGTACAGGTACCTGCGGAGGGCGGCTGCTCAGCACCGCACCGCCAAGAGCCCCGCCGCCCCCGCCCCGCCGGGGCCCACCGGTGGTCGGGGGACAGGCCCATGCCGATGATGTGGCCGTGCACGTCGATGACGTGGTCCAGCGCGTCGAAGAAGGCTTCCGAGCCGTGGCCCTCGCCCAGCACGGGCCCGGCCGTGGTCATCTGGTGCGGCAGGATCTGCTTGATGCCTGCGGGAGGCCTGCGTGAGCCCGCCTGTGGCTCGCCCCAGGCTCCCCTGGCCAGCCGGGACCGGCCGCCCTGAACCCCAGGAGCCCCACACGCTTCACATGTGACCAGGCTGTGTCCCGGAGCCAAGGGGTGACCCCACCTGCTTGTGGGTCCTGCCAGAACCCCAGGGTCTCTGGGACTGCGGGAACCTGAGCCAGGCCCGGCCCCTGCATGCCCAGCCACCGCACGTGCCAGGACCTGCCATGTCCCAGGCCCCACCCCACGTGCCAGACCCCGCCATGTCCCACCCCATGTGCCAGACCCCGCCATGTGCCAGGCCCCACCCCATGTTTCAGGCTCCTCCCCTACATGCCCAGGCCCCTCCACGTGCCCCGCCCAGCCCCGCCCAGCCCGTTACCGATCTGGTGGGGCGAGTAGGTGAGACAGCCGGTGGTGAAGATGAGGTACTTGGTGCGGGCGTCGGCGGCCCCCGGCTCAGGCGGCTTGGTGTGGCCCTGGGCCAGCAGCTCGGCCACCCTGGTCTCCAGCACGCGCTCCGACAGCGGCGCCTGGGTGTCCAGCGCACCGTTCAGCAGCCGCCGTGGGCCCCGAGGGCGGACAGGCCCAGGCGCCCGGCTCGTGCCCTCCTCATCGCTGTCACCATCAGCGCCCAGGTCGAAGACGCGGGAGGGGCCGGCGGCGGGGCCGGCGTCCAGCAGCAGGTCCGGGCTGTCGAAGCGGCCACAGTCGGCCACCATCACTGTGCGGATGGTGCTGGCGTTCAGGTTCTGAATCTTGAAGAGGCGCTTGACAACATTGACGTTCTCCGACTCCACATCCTGGGGGTGGCGGCCGGTGGGCAGGGGCAGCGGGTGGCTGGCAGTGCGCCCTGCCCTCCTCTGCCCTGCCCTCCCCCCCCCCCCCCCGTGCCCTGCCCTCCCTCCCCCCCCCCGTGCCCTGCCCTCCCTCCCCACCCCCCGTGCCCTCCCTCCCGCCCTCCCCTGCCCACACCTGGAAGGCATTGTTAAGCCACAGCACAGAGCAGGAGGTGATGTCCCCGATGCGGTGCAGGTTCCCCGAGATGAGGCACGTCTCAGTGAGCCAGCAGCCGAACACGTCGTAGGGTTTGTTGCGCACCCGGGACAGCAGGGCGAAGGTGTCTGTGGGGAGGCCACGCCTGGTTGGGCACCCCAGACGGTTGGGTGCTGCGGACCGGCAGGCACACGGGTGCCCACACTCACCTAGGCTGATGACGGCAATCTCCCCGGAGGAGGAGTTGTGCGGCCCCAGGAACACGCCGGAGGCCAGCAGCAGCGAGTCGTCGCGATTGAACTGGGAGAACTGCGTGTAGCTCCAGTTGTACGGTCGCATGTCCGCGCTGTGCAGCAGTGAGATGGCCAGGCCATTGCTCCAGATCTGGGGGCAAAGGCGGGCAGGTGGGCGGGTGGGCCAGGGCAGTGGGAGGCATGTCCCTACGCCAGAGCTGCAGGGGGGCACAGGTGCCCCCCCCACATGCTTGGGGAGGCACTTGGGTCATCACTCCTGCACACACTGCACACCTGCTCCCCTCCAGCCCCACACACACTGCACACACCTGCTCCCCTCCAGCCCCACACACACTGCACACACCTGCTCCCCTCCAGCCCCACACACTGCACACACCTGCTCCCCTCCAGCCCCACACACTGCACACACCTGCTCCCCTCCAGCCCCACACACACTGCACACACCTGCTCCCCTCCAGCCCCACACACACTGCACACCTGCTCCCCTCCAGCCCCACACACACTGCACACACCTGCTCCCCTCCAGCCCCACACACACTGCACACACCTGCTCCCCTCCAGGCCCGCACACACTGCACACACCTGCTCCCCTCCAGCCCCGCACACACTGCACACACCTGCTCCCCTCCAGCCCCACACACACTGCACACACCTGCTCCCCTCCAGCCCCACACACTGCACACACCTGCTCCCCTCCAGCCCCACACACACTGCACACACCTGCTCCCCTCCAGCCCCACACACACTGCACACACCTGCTCCCCTCCAGCCCCACACACACTGCACACACCTGCTCCCCTCCAGCCCCACACACACTGCACACACCTGCTCCCCTCCAGCCCCACACACTGCACACACCTGCTCCCCTCCAGCCCCACACACACTGCACACCTGCTCCCCTCCAGCCCCACACACACTGCACACACCTGCTCCCCTCCAGCCCCACACACACTGCACACCTGCTCCCCTCCAGCCCCGCACACACTGCACACACCTGCTCCCCTCCAGCCCCACACACACTGCACACCTGCTCCCCTCCAGCCCCACACACACTGCACACACCTGCTCCCCTCCAGCCCCACACACACTGCACACACCTGCTCCCCTCCAGGCCCGCACACACTGCACACACCTGCTCCCCTCCAGCCCCACACACACTGCACACACCTGCTCCCCTCCAGCCCCACACACACTGCACACCTGCTCCCCTCCAGCCCCACACACTGCACACACCTGCTCCCCTCCAGCCCCACACACACTGCACACACCTGCTCCCCTCCAGGCCCGCCCACACTGCACACACCTGCTCCCCTCCAGCCCCACACACTGCACACACCTGCTCCCCTCCAGGCCCGCCCACCTTCACCGTGCAGTCCTTGGAGCAGGACGCGAAGCGGCCTCCGGAGTGCGCGAAGCTGAGGTGCAGGACCTGGTCCGTGTGCGCCGTGAGCGTCTGCACTTCCACGCAGGGCACCGCGTCGTAGAGCCGCCGGAACTCGTCGTACCACGACGTGGCCGCTGCGCGCAGGCCGGGTCAGACGGCCGCCCTGCCCGCCCTGCCCGCCCGCCGCCCGCGGGGCGCGCACCTGGGTGCCGGGGCACGTCGCGGGCCACCTGGAAGTAGCGGTAGAACTGCTCCCGCCACAGGAACTCGTCGCGGGCCACGGCGCGCCACTGGCGGCACACGAGGCCGGCGGCCAGCACGTCGGCGGGGCCCAGGCTCAGGAAGATGTGGTAGAGCAGGCTGTCGGGGAGCAGGGGCGCGCCGCCGTCCGCCATGGCGGCATGCTGCCGCGAGCCCGGCCCGGCCCTGGCCCCGAGACTGACCCCGTCCGCTCCCCGACCCCGCACGGACCCCGCACCGACCCCGCACCGGACCCGTCCGCTCCCCGACCCTGACCCGGCCCCGTCCGGCCGCTCCCTCCGCGCCCGCGTCTCTATGGTCCGGTCCGCCAGGCCCGACGCCTCGAGCCCCGAGCCATCGATGGCGCGCGGCGCCCGGAGGCTGGGCTTCTCGGGGTCTGCGCATGCGCGCGCCTGGAAGCCTCCGCTCCGGCTCCCCCTAGCGGTCTGGAGGGCGACGGCACGCGCCCTGGCACAAAGGTTCGAGACCGACCTCGACCCTGGAGCAAAGTGACCGGCTCAGTGCTCCAGGCCGTGAGGACAAGGCCAACTCTTGGAGACTCTCGGGCGTTCAGTGTGCCGGAAGTCAGCTGGGACCTGGGTCAGAGCCATGCCTGGAGGCCCTAGCGGGGAGTGCAGGTCCAGGCGGTGACCTTGGCCAGAGCGGGGGCGGGCTGGGGGCCATTGGACTCCGACCCCGGACCTGCTGCTGCAGCCCAGCGCCTCCCCTGGCCTCCCTGCAGCCACCATGGTGCTCCCTGGGTACGCCGTCTTCTGGGCTGTGCTGCTGGCAACGGGCACGCTGGGCCGCAGGGTTCAGAAGCCGGCGGGACCCACGTCCCTCATCACCACGGTCCAGCCCAAGGCTGGCTTTGACGCTCAGCGGGTAGGGCATGTGGAGCAGGTGTAGGGGAGGCGGCTCGGATGCCCCCGTGCCCTGCAGCGGCTCCGTGCCTCCCCTCGCTCCTCTGCCCCAGTTTGCAGGGACCTGGCTGCTGGCGGCTGTGGGCTCCGCCTGCCGCTCCCTGCAGGAGCAGGGCCACCGGGTGGAGGCCACGACACTGCACGTGGCCCCCCAGGGCGCAGCCTTGGCGGTCAGCACCTTCCGCAAGCTGTGAGTCCTCCCGCGTGGCTCCCCTCCCTGTCCCGCACCCCAACCCCGCTGCCCCCTACCCACGCCCCTCCCAGCAATGGGATCTGTTGGCAGGTGCGCCAGCACTACGGGGACACGCGGGTCCTTGGCCGCTTCCTGCTGCGAGGTGAGGCCGGTGCGGGGGCAGTGTGGGACCGGGGCGCGGCAGGGCTGCGGGGCTGACTTCCCTGGCTCTGCCCAGGCCAAGGACCCCGGGGTCCAGTGCACGTGGTCGTGGCTGAGACAGACTACCAAAGCTTTGCCGTCCTCTACCAGGAGCGTGGGCGGACGCTGTCGGTGAAGCTGTATGGTGCGTGGGGGGGTCTGTCCGAGCCCTGCATGGGGGGTCTCTCAGAGCCCTGCGCCCCTGCGTGGGGGTCTGTCCGAGCCCTGGCCCCTGCGTGGGGGTCTCTCAGAGCCCTGGCTCCTGCGTGGGGGTCTGTCCCAGCCCTGGCCCCTGCATGCTCGGGGGGTCTCTCTCAGCCCTGGCCCCTGCATGCTCGGGGGTCTGTCCGAGCCCTGGCCCCTGCGTGGGGGTCTCTCTCAGCCCTGGCCCCTGCGTGGGGGTCTCTCTCAGCCCTGGGCCCTGCATGCTCGGGGTCCCCACACGCTGACACCGCCCCCTCGGCCCGCAGTGCGCTCCTTTCCTGTCAGTGGCTCGGCCCTGGATGAGTTTGAGAGGCGAGTGGCCGAGGCCAGCCTCACACAGGACAACGTAATCTTCTTCCCCACCTACGGTGAGTGTCCTGGCGGCGCCCCGCCCCGCCCCGCCTGCGCCCCCTCACCCCTGCGTGTCCACCTCTAGGCTTCTGCGAGGCGGCCGACCAGTTCCATGTCCTGGACGGTGAGTGGGGGCGGGCAGGGATGGGCACCCCCTGGAGATCCGTGACTGACGCACCCACCCCTGTGCCGCAGAGGTGAGGCGTTGATGGCCCACAGCAGAAGCTGGACCCTGCGCTTGGAGCCGCCTCCACCCTGGAACCTGCCTGACGCGGAAGGCACCCTGTTCATTAAACTTTGACTGAGGGCTCCTGGCTCATGGCTCCCCTGGCCAGGTGCAGGGGTGGAGGTGGGGTTGACCTGAGTGTCCCCACGGGGCAGGGCCGGAAGGGGTGGGGGCGCGCAGGGGCTGCGGGCATCCTGACAGGCGGGCTGGAAGGGGAGCTGGCTGGAGGGAGGCCTCGCCTGGGGCCCCAGGGCAGGGCAGTGGCTGACCCTCCTCTCCGGCCCACCTGCCTGCCCCCGTCAGGGGCCCGGGAGCACGGACAAAGTGCTCTCAGAGAGGGGTGGGAGAACTTGGCATGGAAGGAGCTAGAAGCAGCAGCAGGCGGTCTGCAGTCCCACCCCACCCCCCTCGGGTCTGCAGGGAGAGGGGCTGCCCTCTGGCCCTCGCCACACTCAGCCAGACCTGAGTCAGCCAGCCAGGCGCTGGACGCCCCACCCGCATGTCAGCGGCAAGTGTGACCTGTGCCCGTCCCCAGGTGGCCAGTCACTTGCTGTGGGCTCAGCGGTTTGAAGCCACAGCAGTCCTGGGACCCTCTGTGCCCTGAGGCACGGGGAGCTGGGAATCCAGGCCGTGCCCACCCAGTCTGAGGGGTCTGGACCGGAGCACCCGTGGAGGCAGCACCCCAGGATGGAGAGCAGGACCTGACTCCAGGCACTGGCCTGCTTTTCCCCGGGGCAAGGCCGAGGCCCCGCCGGGCTCTGGGCTGGGACAGCTGCTCTGTTTGCACAGGTGCTGGGCCGGCCCAGGCACAAACACGGGCCTCCATGGGCACTCCCGGCCTCTAGCTTACTCATTGCTAGCTCCCCCGGGGTGGGTGAGGACAGCGGGCAGGCTGCAGCGGGGTTCCGGGCTGCCGGTCTGGCCCCTCCACCTGGCCAGCACCGACTCCCACCTCGCAGGGGCTCACGGGCGGTCTTGACCTTCCTTGCCCAGGGGACCTGGAGACAGGAGGGGACGGGGCGGGACAGGCCAGGGAGGAGGGCCGCCCCCCTGCACCCCAGGCGGGGGAGAGCCCACCTGCAGGGAAGCAGGTCACAGGTCTCCCCTTGCGGCCCCCAAGGGCCCTAAACACACCTGTGGGGCCCTGATTGGGGGCCGTGGTCACGTGCGCGCTCCCTCCAATGGTACCTCGGTGGGAGGGGCACCCAAGTCGGCCAGGGTGACCAGGGCATGGCGTCTCTGGTCCGGCTGTGGCCGGTCAGGGAGCGGGGGTGTGGGGCTGGGATGGGTGCTGTGGGGCAGCGTGACAGGGTGCATTCAGGGGCCAATCCACCCACCCACTACAGGGGTCAGGAACGCGGGGGCCGCCTCCCCTCTCTCAGGACCTCCTACCTGGGGGGCAGGACCTGACTAGCCCCTGCCCTGGGGGCCCCAGCCCCCCTCTTCCACCCCTGGGTCCTGGGCCCATCCGCAGGTGGGTCAGTCCTGGGGATCGCCCAGTCCTGGGGTCGCAGGGGGCTGGCAGGTGGGCTCTGAGAAGGGTCACAGCAGCATTCCTCGTGGGCAGAACACTGGGTCCAGCAGAGAAGCCCTGGTGAGTGGGCAGCCATCTGAAGGGCCCTGCCCCGTCCATCTGCCCCAGCCCTCCCTGGGCCCTGCCCCGTCCATCTGCCCCAGCCCTCCCTGGGTGCAGCATTTCTGCCAGCCTGATGCTGCAGGCCAGGCGGCAACCCCCCTGGGAGGGCCCCTCTGGGAGGCCCATAAGCCCCAGCCAGCCGCTCCACCCCACGGCAGCTGCCAGCATGGGGCCTTGCTGGGCCCTGGGGCTGCTGCTGGCCCTGGCACCCATCCTGCTCGGCCTGTCCCCAGCCCGCCAGCCCACCCTGCCCCAGTGGCAAGGCTTCCAGGCGCAGCAGGTACAGGGTCTCTGGGGCCAGGAGGGGATGCACACCTCCCAGGGGACCAGCCTGTTCTCAGGGTTCCTATAGGAGCCCCCCAACCCGTGGCAGGGACCGGCAGCCCCCCTTCCCATAAGCTCTGCCCGTCATCCCACTGCTGAATCCAGGGCAGGCTCCGTCCCCAGCCAGCACCATCCAGGCAGGCCCCGCCAGGGAGGGCCGCCCCTCCTGCCCGTGTGTCACCTGCGCTCGCAGTTCCAGGGGGACTGGTTGGTCCTGGGCCTGGCGGGCAACAGCCTGACAAGGAAGGACCGGGCCCTGCTCAACCCCTTCCTCATCACCTTCGAGCTCAACGAGAAAGGCCAGCTGGAGGTGTCCAACGCCATGACCCGGTGAGGGGCACACTGCCTGGGGGAGGGTCGCTGGACCAGAAGAGGGGGTGCTGGCAAGCTGTGGGGGGCTACGCCTGGCCCACCCCCCCCGGGCCTGGCCTCTGGTTGGCCTCCTCCTGAGCCAATCATTGCACCTGCTGGGCTCCTTGAGGAGCCTGCCCTGGCTGGCCACCTGTCCTGCTGCAGGCAGGGGCCTCTGGGGTCCTCAGGTGCCCTGAGTGGGGACACTGCAGTGTTCAGGGGTCTGCCCACTCCGGAAGCCCCCGAGTCGTGGTTTCTTGGGGCTGGCGGGGAGCAGGGATCCAAGAGCAGGGCCTGGGTGTCCCTCTTGCCAGCCCTGCAGGGGCGACAGCCCTGGCCACCTTCATGCCAAGCTGCCATCTGCAAGCACTTTTGCTCGGCCATCCAGGCCTGGCCTCGGCTGAGGGGGCAGGCTAGTGACTGCCCACGGCTCCCCAGGGACAGGCCATCCCGTGCCCATCCGTCAGAGGATGGTCCGGCCTACGGAGGGTTAGGGGCAGGCTGTGCCTGGGACACCCCCAGCAGGCCTGGCCAGTTTCCGGAACATTCCCCTGCTGCTCCTCGCCCCCGCAGGGGCAAGCGCTGTGACACCTGGAACTACGTGCTGACGCCAGAGTCCCAGCCAGGGCACTTCCGGGTGGATGGCCTTACAGGTGAGCAGACATGGGGGGGTCTGGGCTTTCCTGGAAGGAGTCTCACTTTGGTGTCCTCCACCCCAACCAGGGCCGGAGAGCGAGGTTGTCCAGGTGGTGGAAGGCGACTATGAGAAGTTTGCCCTGGTGGTCTCCCAAAGACTCACTGGCACCCAGACCATCCTGCGAATCAGCCTGCTGGGTGAGGGGCGTCTGGGGCATCTGGGGCAGGGCACCTGCCGGGGGAGGGACGTCCAGGCCCCACCTGCCGGGGGAGGGGCACCCAGGCCCCGCCTGCTGGGGGAGGGGTGTCCAGGCCCCGCCTGCCGGGGGAGGGGTGTCCAGGCCCCGCCTGCTGGGGGGAGGGGCGTCCAGGCCCCATCTGCCAGGGGAGGGACGCCCAGGCCCCGCCTGCCGGGGGAGGGGCACCAGGCCCCGCCTGCCGGGGGAGGGACGTCCAGGCCCCGCCTGCTGGGGGAGGGGCGTCCAGGCTGGGGTGCGAGTTTCACACACTTGCTTCCCTGGCCAGCAGTCAGGATCTGGCAGTTGCCATCAGAGGTGAAGAACAAATTCTTTTGCCTGGCCCGCAGCCAGGGCCTCAAATGGGACAACATTGTCTTTCCAGATCTGACCGGTAACTGTCCTGGGGAGCGGCCGGGGAGGAGGGGCCTGGACCCCGAGGTGCTGCACCGCACGGGGTCACCCATGGGTGGGGGCAGCTCCCGACCGGGTCCTCCCTCCCCCTGCCCTGCCTTTGGGGTGCCTGGGCTGCCCCAGGGCCCGCGGGCCTGGCCGGTTCACTGCAAGCCTGTAGTCCCACCTCTGCCTCTCACGCATGGCAAGCCATCGTGCTGTGGGCCAGCCAGCCCGGCCCAGCGCTGCCCACACGCACCCACGCGTGTGCACACGCCCACCTTGGCAGGCTGCCACGGCTCTGGGGGACTCGGGGCCAGCAGGGGAGGCTCAGGTCTCAGCACCCCCGGCCACAGCACTGTCCCCACCGCTCTCCCGTTCCTGCCCTCAGAGTGGTCGCCTGGCCCGCACAGCTGCTGACGACAAAGCGGCCCCTGACTCCGTGCGCCCCTTCCCTCCACCTGAATAAAAGTGCCCGAACCCGAGCGTGGCTGTGGGGACCGTGGGGTGCTGGGCAGCTCTGGCTCCACCCCGCAGAGGGTCCTGTCAGGTCACTCCCAGGACACAGCCCCTCCTCTGGGGCCCACTGTCCGGGCACAGCTGGCCGCAGGCACACTGCCCTATCCCGCTGCGTTCAGGGAGCCCGGGCCTGGGTGAGAGCACACACCGGCCGAGGCCCAGCACCACAGGGCCCCAAGACCCACGTTCAGTGGCCGGCCCTGACCCACAAGTGTCACTCAGCTGAACTGCCTACTGGGCGGAGAGAGGGGCCTACAGGCGAACGAGCAGGACAGGCCGGCTCCCTGGAGCAGCAGACTTGCCCTACCCTGGCCAGAGCATCCCCGGGCCTGGGGGCCGTCAGCGGGCGTGGGAGCAGGTGGGTCGGGGATGCAGCGGCTGGTCCAGGAGGCCTGTCGCAACACTAGCTGCTGTGTCTGCTGGTGACAAGGGACAGGCTGCTGTGGCCCTGGACGGCGCTGTGGCAGGGTGGAGCCTCGTGGTCCCCTGTCCCACCATCCCCTTCTCACCTCTCACGCTGGCAGCCCAGAGCCTGGACAGAGGGGAGGGGTCAACAAGGACCTGGAGGGTGGGCTTGCTCCAGCACCGCCCATTTCACACCCTTTTTTGCAATTATCGGGAATGTCACAGCATCAGATGCATGGTGGGAGTTTAAAGATTTACAGAGAGGAAGATGTTCCATCTGCTGGTTCACTTCCCAAGTGGCTGCAACAGCCGGAGCTGAGCGAGTCTGAAGCCAGGAGCCAGGAGCTCTTCCAGGTCTCCCATGCAGGTGCAGGACCCCAAGGCTTTGGGCCATCCTCGGCTAATTTCCCAGACCACAGGCAGGGAGCTGGAAAGGAGGTGGAGCAGCCAGGACTTGAACTGGTGCCTGTATGGGACCCCGACATGTGCAAGGCAAGGTCTGTAGCCACTAGGCTACCATGCCGGGTCCTAAAACTTTTCTTTCTTTTTTTAAATTAATTTATTTATTTAGCGTTGGAAAGGCAGATGAGGAAAAGGAGAGAAAGAGAGAAAGATTTCTGCCCACTGATTCACTCCCCAAGTGGCCGGAGTGCCAATCCGAAGCAGGAACCCCACGCAGGTCTCCCACGCAGGTGCAGGACCCCAAGGCTTTGGGCAGTTTCTCCGTTGTGTTCCCAGGGCATAAACAGGATGGGAAGCAGGGCTGCCAGGACACGAACCAGTGCCCATATGGGATCCCAGTGTGCAAGGTGAGGACTTTAACTGCTAGGCTACCTCACCAGGCCCAAAAAACTTTATTTTAAAAATTTTGTTTGAAAGGCAAAATTACAGAGAGGAGGAGAGACAGAGAGAGAGATCTTCCATCCACTAATGAACTCACCAAATGGCTGCAGTGGTCAGTCAGGCCAAGCCAAAGCCAGCTTAGAACTCTGGGCCACAAGTCGACCTGGACCCACCCTGCAGCCATGCGCGATCAACCACTGGGACCACTTAGAGGAGCAAGGCGCCAGCACGAGGCGCAGCCGCACCCGTGCTAGCATGTCACACGGCCCACCCTCTCCCGGCTTGCATGCTGCACTGCCCGGGGCTGAAGGCTTCGCGTCCTCGCAGAATTCCTCCCGTGTGGTCCCGGGGCCGCCCAGCGCAGCCCCCGGGCGTCCACCTCAGCCAGACCAGGAGCCCCCCGTGTCGGGGCCTGCCGGGGCAGCTGGAACGCCTGGGAAGCACAGGGCCCGCCCCACCCGGGTGCAGGCCTTACCCAGGGCAGACAGCCGCTGGCCTCGGCCCAGCCCGGGGGGTGGGGATGGTCACACTGGGCCGGCCTCCCCGATGCCTTCAGCAAAAACAAGCAGAAGCCCGTGGAAAGTTCCAGATCCTGACCCAGTTTTTGCTTACCCAGGTGCCTGGTGGTGGGGGGCTCTGCCCCGCTGTGCCTGCACTGCCTCCTGGCCGGATCTCGGCAGGTGCACACAGGCCAGCCCTGGGAAGCAGGTCGAGGGATGGTCCGGGGGCCGCCCTGGCAACAGACCCACTGGCTGAGCCGAGGCCAGCGCCTGGCTGCCAGACCCCAGATGCAGGGTGATCAGCGGGTCACCCACGGGGGACAGCATACCAGGACCCCACCCCATGGCATGAGTTCCAGTCCCAGCTGCCCCACTTTCCACCCACTTCCTGCTGGAAAGGCAGGAAGGTGCTTGCGACGCGGCACCCCACGAGAGACCTGAAGCTCCGTGTGGGCAGTGACCCCGCGGAGGGGAGACCTGCCTCCCGCTCTTGCTCTGTGACTTTCCGACTGTGGTCACTTGCACTGTCGGAACCAAGAGCTTACGAGGGAGCCCCCAGGCGCCAGCGTGTTCTGAGCAAGGATACTTTGTGTCAGAGCGAGAGCGCTGGAGGCGGGCAGCCCCCAGAGGCGCTGCCAGGGTACGGGCAGCAGTGAGAGGGCAGAGAGCTTCCCTCTGCCAGGGCACTCCCCAGATGGCTGCAATGGCCGGAGCTGGAGTTCCATCCGTTTCCTGCTTGGGCGCAGGGTCCCAAAGCCTTGGGCCGTCCTTCCGGGCTTTCCCCGGCCACAGGCGGGGAGCTGGATGAGCTCTGGAGCAGCCGGGACTTGAACTGGGCAGTCTGACTTGGATGCCAGCCTTACGGGCAGTAAGCCCACCGAGCACTCTTGGTGGGGGGGAGGGATGGCCAGCGTCCGCAGGTGACCGCGCTGAGAAGCCCATGGAGCTGCAAGGGGCACCTTCACCTCTCACAGGTGGACAAGAGTTTCACCCTGGGCCTGGGGTGGTAGCCTAGTAGCTAAAGACCTCACCTTGCATGCACTGGGATCCCATATGGGTGCCAGTTCTAATCCTGGCAGCTCTGCTTCCCATCCAGCTCCCTGCCTGTGGCCTGGGAAAGCAGCAGAGGACGGCCCACAGCCTTGGGACCCTGCACCTGCGGGGGAGATGAAGCTCCGGGATCCTGGCTTCGGACCATTCCAGCTCCGGCCATTGTGCTCACTTGGGGAATGAATCAACAGACGGAAGATCTCCCTCTCTGTCTCTCCTCCTCTCTGTATATCTGAATTTCCAATTAAAAGAAAATAAATCTTTAAAAAGCTTTACCCCTGGGGCAGCTGTGCCAGAGGTGAGCTCCTGGGTTCGCGACCCCTTTTGGTCAGCCCACACCGGGGACAGTGTCCACGCACTGTGGAAGGAGAGCCTGGGGCAGGGGCCCAAGGACCTGGGAGTGTGGCCAGGCCTGCGCCTAGATCCTCGACCGGGAGGAGCTGTGGGAGCCGTGTGGGAGCCCGTGGGGTGGCCGGCCTGTCTCTGGCTTGGTGTGGGATGGTGTGCAGGGCCGGCAGCTGGGCCCACTGGGCATGGACGGCACCCGTCCTGGGCCTTTGAGTTGAGCTGCCTGTTCTCTGTGGGACAAAGTGGGTGCGGTGGCGAGAGGGCCCCAGGGTCAGCCCAGGGCCAGAGCCCCTGCACCCCACACCAGGCCTCCACTCCCCTGACCACGGCGTCATGGCAATCTCCTCACCCCTGCCCAGCCATCACACCTCAGGGCCAAGTCCTGAGCCCCTGCCTGGCCTGCACCCAGCCCCTTCCTGCCTGGGCCCAGGCCTGAGGAGCCATAGTCAGCCCAGGTCAAGCCAGGACCGTGTCCCCCGTACCACTGCACACAGCACAGTCCGAGAAGCAGGGCTCCTGGCAGCGGCCGCCTCAGCTCTGGGCCAGCCCTCTGTGCCCTTGTGCAGAGCAGGCAGTGAGGCCCCTCTGGGCTGGTGACCTGGGTGAGCTGGGATGCCCCAGGAACAGTGTAACCTCACCTCCACCTGTGTGCACAGACAGCCCACATGTGCACGAACAGGGTTCAACCACACATCCACGTGTGTCATACCAGAGAACAAACTGCATACAGCAGGGACAAGGTGCACACACACAGGGACAAGGTGCACACACACAGGGACAAGGTGCACACACACGGGGACAAGGTGCACACACAGGGACAAGGTGCACACACACAGGGACAAGGTGCACACACACAGGGACAAGGTGCATACACAGGGACAAGGTGCACACACACAGGGACAAGGTGCACACACAGGGACAAGGTGCACACACACAGAGGGACAAGGTGCACACATACGGGGACAAGGTGCACACACAGGGACAAGGTACACACACAGGGACAAGGTACACACACAGGGACAAGGTACACACACATAGGGACAAGGTGCACACACCCAGGGACAAGGTGCACACAGGGACAAGGTGCACACAGGGACAAGGTGCACACACACACAGGGACAAGGTGCACACAGGGACAAGGTGCACACACACACAGGGACAATGTGCACACACAGGGACAAGGTGCACACACACACAGGGACAATGTGCACACACAGGGACAAGGTGCACACACATGGACGGGACGTGCACAGCTTCGGACACACACGGACGGGACGTGCACAGCCCGGACACACACACACACACACACACACACACACACACACACACACACACACGGACAGGTCATGCACAGCCCCAGACACAGGTGCACGGCCTTGCCATGCAAGGACAGAAAGGCAGGCAGCTGCCCCGTCCGGCTCACCCCATGCCCCGGGGCACAGGGCCTTTGTCTGGAACACACTGTCTCTTTGTGTCCAGGAAGCTCTCTGGGGTGCTGAGTGGAATGTGGGCAGGAACTGCTTTGTTTTGCAGAAGTCCTCCCAGCACTCAGTCTGCCAGAATGCAGAGGGAGCAGAGTTCCCAGCCCTCCGCGCCTCCGTGGGAGTGGGGGCTCCTGGCCCTGGCCCCAAGCACCCCCATTGCCCGGACAAGGGTCTTGAGCTGCCCCAAAGGGGACGCAGGTCTGAGGGAGGGTGAGGGGTCCCCACCCTGGCCAGGCTGAGGGCATCAGGATGGATGGGGCGGGTGGCACAGCCCCAGTGGCCTGCCCTCCTATCTGCTGACTCCACAGGCCAGGCGGCTGGCAGCTTTGTCCCTGGGTCTCAAGGCCGCAGTGCTGCAGGCAGCACGGGGATGCCAGAGGGGCCACAGTGGTCGCATGTGCCACTGTGAGGGTAGACAGACCAAGGTGCCAGCCCATGAAGAGTCAAGGAAAGTAGCCATGGTGGCACTGTGCGGAAGGGGCCAGGCAGCTGGGGTGTGTTTGTGAAGCATGTGGCATGAGGCGTGAGGTGGAGGTGTGAGCTGGGAGGTGTGAGCTGTGAGGTGGAGGTATGAGCTGTGAGGTGGAGTTGTGAGTTGTGAGGTGGAGGTGTGAGCTGGGAGGTGTGAGCTGTGAGGTGGAGGTGTGAGCTGTGAGGTGGAGGTGTGAGCTGTGAGGTGGAGTTGTGAGTTGTAAGGTGGAGGTGTGAGCTGTGAGCTGTGAGCTGTGAGGTGTGAGTTGGAGGTGTGAGCTGTGAGCTGTGAGGTGGAGGTGTGAGCTGTGAGGTGGAGGTGTGAGCTGTGAGCTGTGAGGTGTGAGGTGTGAGCTGTGAGCTGTGAGGTGGAGGTGTGAGCTGTGAGGTGTGAGCTGTGAGGTGGAGGTGTGAGGTGGAGGTGTGAGCTGTGAGCTGTGAGGTGTGAGCTGTGAGCTGTGAGCTGTGAGGTGGAGGTGTGAGCTGTGAGCTGTGAGGTGTGAGCTGTGAGGTGGAGGTGTGAGGTGGAGGTGTGAGCTGTGAGGTGTGAGCTGTGAGGTGGAGGTGTGAGGTGGAGGTGTGAGCTGTGAGCTGTGAGCTGTGAGGTGTGAGCTGGGAGGTGTGAGCTGTGAGCTGTGAGCTGTGAGGTGGAGGTGTGAGCTGTGAGCTGTGAGCTGTGAGGTGGAGGTGTGAGGTGGAGGTGTGAGCTGTGAGCTGTGAGCTGTGAGGTGGAGGTGTGAGGTGGAGGTGTGAGGTGTGAGGTGTGAGCTGTGAGGTGTGAGCTGTGAGCTGTGAGCTGTGAGGTGGAGGTGTGAGCTGTGAGCTGTGAGCTGTGAGGTGTGAGCTGTGAGCTGTGAGCTGTGAGGTGGAGGTGTGAGCTGTGAGCTGTGAGCTGTGAGGTGTGAGCTGTGAGGTGGAGGTGTGAGGTGGAGGTGTGAGCTGTGAGCTGTGAGGTGGTGGTGTGAGCTGTGAGGTGGAGGTGTGAGGTGGAGGTGTGAGCTGTGAGGTGGAGGTGTGAGGTGGAGGTGTGAGCTGTGAGGTGGTGGTGTGAGGTGGAGGTGTGAGCTGTGAGGTGGAGGTGTGAGGTGGAGGTGTGAGCTGTGAGGTGGAGGTGTGAGCTGTGAGGTGTGAGCTGTGAGGTGTGAGCTGTGAGGTGGAGGTGTGAGCTGTGAGATGTGAGGTGTGAGCTGTGAGCTGTGAGGTGTGAGGTGGAGGTGTGAGCTGTGAGGTGTGAGGTGGAGGTGTGAGCTGTGAGGTGTGAGCTGTTTGGTGTGAGCTGTGAGGTGGAGGTGTGAACTGTGAGATGTGAGCTGTGAGCTGTGAGCTGTGAGGTGTGAGGTGGAGGTGTGAGCTGTGAGGTGTGAGCTGTGAGCTGTGAGCTGTGAGCTGTGAGGTGGAGGTGTGAGCTGTGAGGTGGAGGTGAGAGGTGGAGGTATGAACTGTGAGGTGGAGGTGTGAGCTGTGAGGTGTGAACTATGGTGTGTGGCATGATGCATGAGGTAGAAGGTTGCCGACTTGGAACCCTGGTGAGTATGAGTCTAAGGGCTGCGGGAACGTGAGTGGTGGAGCCCAGGCCCTGGTCACTTAGCTCTCTATTCACTCATTGAAGGGCTGGCCACACAGCTGGCCATAAAACTGACCATAGATCTGGCCACAGACTGACCGTGGATCTGGCCACAGAGCAGGCCACACAGCTGACTCCAGAGGAGGCGTGAGGACGGGCCCCGCTCTGCCAGCCTGAGCCCCTGCAGGCAGAGTCCCTCCAGGTCGGTGTGTGCTATGAGGGTCCTTGCCCTGGCAGACTGAGTCCACTGGTATCCTTGCTCGGTCAAGACCCCTGGGGACACCCTCAGGACACCGGGGCTGCTGGGAGAGCTGCGTTTCTAGGTGAGTTAGTCATGGGCATGTGACCTGTGGGAGGCTCCTGCCTTTGCGACCGCTGTTTCCTGTGAGACGGCGAGCTCGCGCCCCCAGCTCTGCCCCCACATGCCCAACTCTGCCCAGGCCAGGCTGGAACTTAGGGCCCCCACCTGGCAGCCATCACTGCTGCCCCCAGCACTGCCCCGGGCTGGAGTTGGACCCGAGGTAAACCCCCTGAGAAGGGGACCTGGGGCTGGGGCTGGGGCTCAGGCCTGGGGCACCCAAGGGCATAGCTGAGGCCAAGGCGGCCCAGGCCCGTGCTGGGCTGCTGGACCCCAGGGTGCTGGAAGGGGCAAGGGCAGCCCATGTGGCCCCTGACAGGTGGGCCCCCGGAGGTCAAGACCCAGCCCCCAGGGACAGGACGGAGCCCCAGCAGCTCGCACCCCCCTCCCCCGCTTGCTGCCTTGTGCCCCCACCCCCACCCCTTGCCAAGAGGGGGCTGGGGGCAGCTGCAGCCCCCTACGTCTGCAACTCCTGCAGGGTACAGCAGAGCTCTGAGCCCGAGGCTGAAGCGGCAGGCTGAGAGGGACACCGGACACCCATGGTCTGGCCACGGGGTTCACCCAGCTGGTCCCCGTTCTGAAGGCACATGGGCCGGCCAAGCCCTCCCCCACCCCACCGACAGCTGCAGGGCCGGCCCTGTGGGGCCTCTTGCATAAGCTGCGGGCCGGTGCCGCCCCCTCCCCCGCATCACGAGCCCGCAGTGGGCAGTGCTTGGCCTGGGTACTCGCCAAGGCCGGCGCATATAAGCAGGGGTCTGCCCAGCGCCGGGTGCTCGTCAGATCCACTCCGCAGGAATGGCTGCTCGACGCACGCTGTGCTTGGGGTTGGTGCTGCTGGCGGCCGTGGGAGTGCTGCAGAGCCAGGCCCAGGCCCCGGTCCCGGTGCAGCCCGATTTCCAACAGGACAAGGTGAGGGCCCCAGCACCGGCCCAGGACAGGACGCTGCGGGTCCGCGCGGGGCTCGGTGTGTGCAGCTCCCTAAGTGCGGGTCACAGCGCACGAACCCGGAGTGCGCCTCGTGCCCACGCGCGGACACAGGGCGCTCCGGGGCTGCCTGCAGGGCGCGCGCCCCTCTCCGGCCCCGGGTGCCCGGTGCTGCCCAGTGCTGCCTAGCGGCAGAGGGTGCGATGAGGGCGTGATGAGGGCGCGAGGAGGGCGCGAGGTGGGCGCGGCCTGCCGGGGAGGAGGGCTGGGGGTCCCCGGTCAAGCCGCGGGTCGCTCGCCGCAGTTCCTGGGGCGCTGGTTCACCGCGGGCCTCGCCTCCAACTCGAGCTGGTTCCGCGAGAAGAAGGCAGTGATGAGCATGTGTCTGTCGGACGTGGCCCCCATGGCCGAGGGCGGCTTCAACATCACCACCACCTTCCTCAGGTGGGACGCGGGCGGGCTTGCGGGGGTCGCCCTGGGCCCGGGGCGGGGGCACGCCTCTGACCCTGAGCGTGACCTGCTCGCAGGAAGAACCAGTGCGAGACGCGGAGCCTGCTGCTGCAGCCTGCGGGGAGCCCCGGCAGCTACAGCTACATCAGCCCCCGTGAGTGTCCCCACGCGGAGGCCGCTGGCCGTGACACTGACCGCCCAGCCAGGGCTGTAGGGAGCTGACCCTGCCTGGGCCCCACTGGGCCGATCACCTCCCTGCCCCAGGTTTCCACCACCCAGGGGCTACCCTGGCTTGACCCCTCCCTCAGGATCCCCTCCCCATGAGAGGACGCCCCCAGCCCACCTGACTCCCCAGCAGGCTCCCCCAGCCCACTTGGCCCCCAGCAGGCTCCCCCAGCCCACTTGGCCCCCCAGCATGCTCCCCCAGCCCACCTGACCCCCAGCAGGCTCCCCCAGCCCACCTGACCCCCCAGCATGCTCCCCCAGCCCACCTGACCCCCAGCAGGCTCCCCCAGCCCACCTGACCCCCAGCAGGCTCCCCCAGCCCACCTGACCCCCAGCAGGCTCCCCCAGCCCACTTGGCCCCCCAGCATGCTCCCCCAGCCCACCTGACCCCCCAGCAGGCTCCCCCAGCCCACCTGACCCCCAGCAGGCTCCCCCAGCCCACCTGACCCCCAGCAGGCTCCCCCAGCCCACCTGACCCCCAGCAGGCTCCCCAGCCCACCTGGTCCCCCAGCAGGCTCCCCAGCCCAGGTGGTCTCTTGCAGACTGGGGCAGCACCTACTCAACCTGGGTGGTGGAGACAGACTACCAGGAATTCGCGCTGCTGTACAGCGAGGGCACCAAGGGCCCCGGGCAGGACTTCCGCATGGCCACGCTCTACAGTAGGTGCCCTGGCTGGGGGGTGGGGGGCCTGCGGCCTGGCCCTGCTCCAGCCCCCTGTCTCTACCCCAGGCCGCAGCCAGACCCCCAAGGACGAGCTGAAGCAGAAGTTTAGCACCTTCTGCCAGGCCCAGGGCTTCCCCGAGGATGCCATGGTCTTTCTGCCACGCAACGGTGAGAACTCCACCCTGGGCACCCTGGGCACAGCACCCCTGCGTGGTGTGAGGGCGGTGGGCAGCCAGGGCAGGGACAGGCACCCCTGGATGGGAACAGTTGGGGGCCGCTGAGCATGGGGACGGGCTGGGACCAGGGACACCGACCACAGCTCTCACCCTTTCTCACAGACAAGTGCCTCAAGGAGCAAGACTAGGTGAGCCGGGCGCCCCACCATGCAGCAGGCTCTGCTGTTAACCTGTGAGGGGCCGCGCATGGCCAGGTCCCAGCTGGGCCAACTGGCAGAGGCCTGGGGTGGGAGGGTGGGACCCTTGGATGGAGACGGGTAGGGGGAGAGGGTGGGGACCCCCTGGAAGGGGTGTGGGGAGACTCACAGAGCCAGGCAGCCCGGGCTCGGCTGTGCTGACACTGCTGCTCTCGCCGCCAGGACACACCTGCTGGGCTCCTCCTCGGGCCTGGAGACGCCCCCTACCCCCTGCCTCTTCCACAAAGCGCTTCTGGCCCCTCGGGTGCTCCTTGATGCTAAGAAATAAACTGAGCAAAGTTGGCTCCGGCTTGTCCATTAGTGCCCTGGGAGCGGGCCCCCAGCAGGGGGTCACCCTGGGAGCAGGCACGGGTCCCATGCTGCCCTCAGTAGGGTCACCTTTGCTGCCCCTCTGCCCCTCACCCTGTAGCCGGCCGGCTGTGCCCTGCACCATCCGTTCACAGGACAGGAAGGGGTGCAGGCCCCGCCGTGTGTGGGGGAATTAGCCCGGCCCTCTGGGCAGAGGCGATAAGGGCCGGGGACAAAAAGGCACACTTGTTTAGAAGCCACAGATGTGTCCCTGCCCCCTTCCGCCCTTCTTCCGCAGGCTGGGGGTGGTCCAGGGCCAATCCACTGCTCCCTCCCTGCCCCCGAGCACCCCGATGCCAGGGCAGGGCCCTGGGTGTCCACACAGCAGCCTTGTCCCCTCCCAGAGACCTGCCACCACAGCCATGCTGTGCCTGGCCAGACCGGACCTTCCCAGGGCTCTGGCTCCATCCCAGCACACCAGGCAGGTCCAGAGGGGAACATGGCATTCCAGTGGCCATCTTGGAAGAGGCAGCCATGCCTGGCTGAGAGCTGGGGGGGCCAGCATCCCAGGGAAGTGTCAGGAGCTGCACCTGGCTCTGGGCCCAGGCCAAAGCTCTGGGGGTGGGTAGAGCTGGGTGGAGGAAGTGGGCTTTCTGGTCTGGTCTGGGGGTCCCTGGTCCAGGCTGGGGGTGTGGGAGAGACACCTCCCTGGAGCCCAGCTGGTGCCCTCTGCGCTGCAGGCTGGGTCAGACTTCACCCGGGGATGGGAGAAGGGCCATTTGGCCCCAGCCTCCCTGGGCACTGCCCCCAGGTGCCTGTGGGAGCCACATTGGGTGGCTACATGAAGACGCTTGCTGTCTGCTGACCCCTCTGGCCAGCAACAACTTGGCCCTCAAGTTCAGGCACCCGCCGAGACCAGGGCCAGCATGGGGCTGGAGACACTGGGATGCGGGGTGGTCATGTAGGGGCTGCTGCTCAGGGGTTGGGGTCTCTGCAGACCCCCTGGCAGCTGTCAGCACACGACCTTCACCAAGGACTCGGTGAAGCAACATGGTGAGGGCAGCTGACCCTGGACACGCACGAGGGCGCTGTGTGCCGAGTCCAGCTGCAGCTCTGCAGTGGGCTGAGGCCCCGGGACACAGCTGGCCCCCCAAGAACCCGCAGGCTGGTGGGGGACTTGCCTGGAGTCCCTCCCCTCCTCCTCTCCCCTCCCCTCCTTTTCTCTGTTCACAGCCTTCCTGTTCCTGCCCCTGAAGGCCCACCAGAGTTGCAGCCCAGCCAGAGCGCTCTGTAGCCCAGGAGCAGTGGGTGCTGCTACCGCCCCTGCTCAGGGAGTAGGAGGCTGGGGGGCACCCCAGCAGGAGGGCACCGGCAGGCACCCCAGCAGGAGGGCACCGGCGGGAGGGTCTTGCCGTGTCCTCTGTGGGGCACAGGAAGTGACGGCAGAGTGGATACTGTAGCCCCCCTCCCCAGCCCGCCACAAGCCAGGGGAGCGGGGTCGGCAGGGACCTCACTGGTCCTGTGGGGCGACTGCCTGGGAGGGGCGGAGGGGGCGGACTTGCTGAACTGAGGGGGGCGGCAAAGGGGGACGCCGCACTCCTGAGGAATCTGGCGGGGGGGGTGGGGAGCCTCAGCCTTTGTGCCTCGGATCCTCCTAAGCTGCACCCCGGTGCCCCCCAGGCAGCCCTCCCAGGGCCCTACTTCTCCTCCGACGGTTGGGGATTCAGACAGAATGGGGGCAGAGGAGGGGGCACCCCAAAGCATCTGTGGGAGCTGGGTGCTTGTGCCTGCCACCAACCCAGGGTATGTGGTCTGGCTGACCTAAGAACCTTCTAGAACCTGCAGGCAGAGTGGCTGCTGTGTGTGAGGTCAACGGTTCAGGCAAGCTCCTGGGTGGCCACTGTCCGGCTGCCCCCCAGGGCCTTGGGCTGGGGACGGCGGTGAAGAGCCGTGGGGAAGTGGCGCAGTTGAGGCTAAGATGTCTCAGCTCCCTACGGTGCCCGTCCTGGTCCCTCCCTGCCGCCCTCGAGGGCCACCCACATACTTGCACGCACAACACAACAGATGCACGCCATACATGATGTATACATGGCACAGAAACACATACATGTACAGGCACTTGCCCCGGGGGGACCCCTGTGCCCCGCAGCACCACTCCTCCCTGCTCGGGCAGGTGAACGCCCCAAGGCTCCCGGCTCCTGGCTTCAGCCTGGCCCAAGTGTCCAGCCGGGCACTCCCGGCACCCTGCACTACCCGCCACTGGCCACACAGGGGCAGCCTCAGCCAGCTTCCCGTCTCCCCAAGCCTGGAAGAGGCGCTGGAACCTGCCCACGTGCCACCTGAGAGCCAAGGCCCCCAGGCCCTGCTGGGCTGACCCCTGACCTTATGCTCCAGCTGAGCTCACCCCCTCACCCCTGCACTGTGCCGGCTCAGCCCTGCGCGCTCCCTGCTGTCCCTCTGCAGGGTCCCCCAAGGCCAGGTGTGGGGAAGCGTGTGTCAGAGCCACGGCCACGCCATGTTCCCCTGTGTCCGAGCCATGGCCACACTGCAAATCTGCCCCCGGGTCCAGCGTTTCCTGGATGGTTGTGTCCTCTTGGGATGGGGAGAAGGCATTTATCTGAATGACAGAAAGAGCCTCCATCACTGGCCACACCCCAAATGCCCAGAGCAGCCAGGGCTGGGCCAGGAGCTCCTCTGGGGTCCCCACGTGGATGGCAGGCACCCAAGGCCTCAAGCCGTTGCCGCTGGCTCCCAGGGTCTGTGTCAGCAGCAAGCTGGTGTGAGAGGCCAGAGGCAGGCATGGAGCCCACAGGGCCCTGGCAGGGCTATGCGTGCCACCGCTGGAGTAGATGCCCACTGCACCTGGCTAGCACTCAGCCCTCCTGACCCCCACCCGCCCTCTCTCTGTGCTGGGGTGCTCAGAACCCCTCCCCCCTCACCACACTCAGCTCCCACAGCTCAACAGCTGCAGCTGGGCCAACCAGCTCCCACCAACCTTATCTAGGGCCCGGCACCCCCTGCTGCTCCCCCAGGCGGCTGCAGCACTGGGCAGCTCCCCTGCCTGGCGCCTCCCTCCAGTTCCCACTGCCCACGCAAGGCCCCCTCCGCAGCAGCCAGCCCCACTGGGGTCTGCGGCCCTGTGTTCAGCCCCCCAGCCTGTCCTGCCCTGCCCCCTGGAACCACGAGGGCTTCATACCCCAACGGTGTCACTCACCCCCGACCCTCGCAGCTCACTCAATCCACATGTCTTTAAAATGCTTATTCTTGGGCCCGGCACGATGGTGCAGTGGTTAAGGTCCTCGCCTTGCACGCCCGGGATCCCATATAGGCGCCGGTTCTAATCCTGGCAGCCCTGCTTCCCATCCAGCTCCCTGCCTGTGGCCCGGGAAGGCAGTCGAGGACGGCCCAAGGCTTTGGGACCCTGCGTCCAAGTGGGAGACCCAGAAGAGGCTCCTGGCTTCGGATCAGCATAGCATCGGCCGTTGCGCTCACTTGGGGAGTGAATCATAGGACGGAAGATCTTCCTCTCTGTCTCTCCTCTCTGTATATCTGCCTTTCCAATAAAAATAAAAATAAAATCTTTCAAAAATAAAACAAAATATTTTTTTTTAAAAAAAAGCTTATTCTTTGCGTGGGGAATGCTTATTTTTTGCCTGGGGGGGTGAGGTCTCCCGCCCCCGGGGACACGCCCTGGTGGCCCAGGCAGCAGGGGCTGGGAGTTCCTCCAGCTGCCCCACGAGGCTGATAAGGACGCGGGCACCTCCGGAGGTGGTATAGGCACTCCTTGTGTGTCCCCGGGGGTCTCCGAGACCCACCCAGAACGGTGTTTAAGGGCTCCGGGGCTCGATCCAGGGGCAGGAGAGAGCCACAAAGGGGTGCCCTCGGAGCCTCACCAAGTGCCATGGTCCCTGGTCCAGCTGAGGGAGCAGGTGTCAGCGGAGGTGCGGATGCCCGCCTGCTGCCGCGGCCCCGGAGGCCCAGGAGGCCGCGGTGTGCCTGCCTGATGCAGGGTCCGCCGGGGCGCAGGGGCACGGCTCTTTCGGCTCAGCCTCTGTGCGGGCCCTGGCGTCAGGAACAAGTGCCCGGCCCGGGGACACCGAGTTGCCAGCGGTGCGGGATGCTGGGGCGAGCCGCGATTCGGGTCGGTCCGGAGTGGCGAGTGTGCGCCACAGCGGAGGGCGCGTGGGCAGCGCGCAGGGCCGGGAGCGCCCGAAGGCGGCGAGGAGGGCGCAGCTCGACTCGGGGGCACCGCGCGCCCCTCCGGGCAGCACAGGGCCGCGCCGGGCCGCGCCGGGGACAGCCGGAACCCAAGGCGGGCCGGGCGGGCCAGGCGGCCCCGGGCCCGCCCCTTCCTGCCCGGCGGCCGCCCCGCCCCGGCGTCCCGACCCGCCATGGCGCCGCCGCTGTGCACGCTCCCGCCGGGCCCGGGGCCGCCCCGCTTCGTGTGCTTCTGCGAGGGGGAGCGAGACGGGCCTGCGGGCGGCGTCCACGTCTGGTGAGTGAGCGGGCGCAGCGGGGCGGGCGGCGCGGGCAGCCCGGGGGCCGCGGCCTGACCGTCCCTCCTGCCGCAGCGTGACCGATGGCGTGCAGCTGTGGAGCACCTGCTCGGCGCCGCACGGCCCGGCCGTGGGTAAAGGGGCCGCCCCGAGGCCGGGCTGGGGCGGGGGGCGCGGGGCCAGCCCGCGGGTGACGCCTGTGCGCCCCGCTTTAGGCGCACGCCGGCCCGAGCGCGGCCCAGGACACCGTCGCCCTCTTCAGGTGAGCCCGGGGCCGGGCGGGCGGACCGGGGCGCTGGGGCGGGCGCGCGGCTCAGCTGGCGGCCTGGCTCTGTTCGCAGGGCAGCCTGCCAGCAGCAGGCCGTGACGCTGACCCTGCAGGAGGACGCGGCGGCCCTGACGCTCTCGGGGGTCCCTCCCGCCCTGACCTTGGACCTGCGCAAGGTGCCCGCGGCAGAGGCAGCCCCCAGGCTGCAGGCGCTGACCCTGGGCCTGGCCGAGCGCGTCTGCAGCCTGGAGCGGCGCCTGGCAGGTGGGCTCCTCCCTCCCCACCTCCCCCGGTCGGAGGGTGCCTGCGCGCGCCCCTTCCCCTGGCAATGGCGGTTTCCTTCCTCAGCTGTGGAGACGGCCGCGGCCCCCAGCCCTAGGAAGAGCCCTAGGCCGGCAGGGCCTGGACCCTTGCTCCCAGGTGAGGTGATGTGAGGGGCGGGGCCGGGCCCCAGAGGGGAGCTGGGCTCAGGGGTGCCCGTCCTGTGTCCCCCCAGATGTGGAGCCCCAGCGAGGCGGCCCCGGGCAGAGGGTCAGGAGGCGGTGTCCTGGGGAGTCCCTCATAAACCCCGGCTTCAAAAGGTACCTGTCCCCCGCCTCTCCTTGCCCTGCCTGGCCCATTTGGCCGCGCCCGCCTCACCCGTCTTCTTCCCCAGTAAGAAGCCAGCGGGCGGCGTGGACTTCGAGGACAACTGAAGTGGCCACGTCCTGGGGACTGTCCCGAGTGGGGATTGGCTGTGCGCAGCCTAGACTTGGACACCTGACATGGTCACGCCTGGGGGTGGGCTTGCGGTCACACAGCAATGGCTACTGCCCTGCACCCCCATCCAATAAAGGCCCCTTGAAGTGGAGGTACTGACCCGGCTTGGTACCTGGGGGTTGGCCAGGGGCAGCAATTCGGGGACTCCTTGGGTCCCGCACTTTGACGGGGGGGGGGGGGGGGTCGAGGCCTCCGTTCCCTGCCCCGAGGCTCAGGCAGGCAGTGCCCCTGCACACGCATCCAGGCATCCTTTCTGGCCGGCCCAGGAGCCAAGGGGGCACAGCCAGGGCCCCAGGCTTGGGTCCCAGCTGCAGAACACAGCCCCCGCACACCCCAGAAGAACACTCACAGGTTCGGAGCACACACGTGTTTGGGGGTCTCGGGCACACCCCTGGCCTGGCCTGGGCTGGCAGGCTCAGCACCGCCCCCTTGAACGTCAGGGCGCCCTGCCTGACTGGTTTGGGAACCCCATCGAGGCCGCTGCACGGCTTCCTCGCACAGTCATTCTGGCTCTTGGGGTGCGGGTGCTAGCGGGGGCGCACGACAGGCCGGTAGGCCGCCAGGATCTCGGCACTGGGCGGACACGTGTACTTGAACTCCTTCTCCTGCTGCGCATTGTCCAGGTAGCGGCGCACGGCCCGCAGCTCAGCCGGGATGGGCACGTGGCGGAAGTGCGCACACACGGCCTGCGGGGTACACGGGGCGCGGTGAGGGTGGGGCCCGTGCTGCCCCCCCATCCCCACTCCCCGGCCCTGCGCTCACGTCCACAATGTGCAGCTTGGGGAGCAGCCTGCAGTCAGCCAGGGTGAGCTGGTCGCCGTCCAGGAAGCGGCGGCTGGACTCCCGCAGCTGCGGCTCCCGCGCCAGCTCATGCTCCAGGGGCGCGCGCAGGTAGCCGTCCAGCCGGGCGAGGGCGCGCAGCAGCTGCTGGTACAGGGCTGGGGGCGCGAGCGCCATGAGGCCTGCCCAGGCGCTTCAGCCCGAGCCCGGCCCCGGCCCCCGGCCCCGACGCCCCTCACCTTGGTCTTGCGCGGGCGCAGGGTTCTTGATGAAGGCGGAGAACTTGTGGAAGACGTCGTTGCCCGCCGTGTTGGACTCCCGGTACCGCGGCGCCAGGCTGGGGAAGCTGCGAGGGGCGGGAAGTGGACTGAGGGCGGAGAGCCTGGGGCCACCCCCACCCCCGCAGCACCAGCACCCCAGGCTCACTCGGGCGGCCCCAGCGTCTGCTCCAGGAACTCCTCGATCTGCAGCGTGTCGGTCTTGGCCTCCCCGTCGTACAACAGGATGGGCAGCTGCGAGCCTGGCGCGAAGTCTTTGAGCACGTCCAGCGACCTGGGGGCGGCGGGCGGAGGGGGCGGGCTGGGGCGGCGACCGGGCGGGCAGGGCCCAGCCGCGTCCCGGGGTCTTACCTGTGAGTATCCACTGTGGTCAGGGTGAAGGGCACGCCCTTCAGGAGCAGGACCATGAAGAGGCGCTGGCAGGACGGGCAGTGGCCCACGCTCTCACCGTCCTCGCTCGCCTGGGTGGGTGGGGCCAAGCGAGCCGGCTCAGGAATCCTGCCACCCAGCTGGGTGGAACCCACCTCTCCCTGCCGGGGCCCTGGAGCCCGGCCAGGGCGGGCCAAGTGTCAGCCGAGAGCTCTCGATCTGGACCCAGGGAGGGAGGTGGCGGCGGGCTTCCAGAACTTGGGCAGGGGCTGGCCCTGGGGCCAGGTGAGAGGGCGAGGTGGCCCGGGCCTGCTGGGCCTGCTCTGGCTTCAGATCCTGGATCCCCAGCGTGGGGAGGGGCAAGGTCTGGCTGCCCACCCCGATGGAGCTCCAGATGGGTCCCCGCCCCCTCCCCTCTGGGCATACCAGCCCCCTGAGAACTGAGCCCCTCCCAGAGCCACCCTGGGTCCTGGGGCTCCCTCCCCCCCCTCCCGCCCTCTGCCTCCGTGGGACCCCCTGGGCCAGGCCCCAAAAGGGGTGCGAGCAGACCCCGCCCTCGCCCACCTTGACGAACAGCTGCAGCGTGGAGGTTTCAGCCATGGTGGAGCCGGCGCTGGGCGCGGGGTGCGGCCCGCGGCTCTTAAAGTCCTGGGTGCTCCGCCCTCCCTGGCCCAGCGCCGCCCTCCTTAGCTGCCCGGCAGGCGGGAGGCCTGGCCCAGAAGTGGGCTCCCCCGTGGCTGTGTGGGCTGGAAAACTGGGCGTCCTGGGCTGGCCGTGGCTGTGACCCCAGCCAATGCTGCGGGAGCACCCTCAGCCAGAATGCTTGGCGTGGGGGAGCCTTGGGGACAGCTCAGGGCCAGGCTTTCTGCTTGGGGACCCCAATCCTGAAGGCTGTGGGTGGGGCAGCAGACTTGGCTCCCCTGGCCTCAGCCCCACCCCCACCTGTAGTCCTGGGGTGTCACGGGGTGACAGAGAGGGGAGACGCCCTCGGGGACCTGGCTCGCTCTGCCAGGCGCCGGGAGGGGCTGCGTTCCTGGCATGCCCTGTTGGGCAAGGAGGGAATCTGGGCTCTGGTGCCAGGCCGGGAGGGGCCCTGGTGGGTCTCCAGCTGCTGCAACCCTCTCTGGGTGCCGAAAATGGAGCCAGGGGTCAGCAGCCACAGCCCCCAGCCCTCCTGGGGCCCAGCTCAGTATCCACCGGGCTCCTCACTGGTGGGGTCCACTCAGGTGTCCACCGGAGCTCCTGTGCCCCCAGTGGCCATGAGCGGGACTAGCCCCACTGCCTGGGGCTGCCCAGGGCCGGGTGGTGCCTGGCTGTCCCATGGCTGGGCCTGGTGGCGCCGCTCACGCCCACTCGGCCGCCAGCCTGCTAGCCAGGGCGTCTGTGCCCATCAGGCCCCGAGGCCCCAGGCGGTCTCTGTGGTGCACGCCCCAGGCAAGCCCACCCCCGCCTGCTTGGGATCCTGCTCTCAGGCAGAGCCGAGCAGGGGATGCAGACCTGAGGGGCTCCAGCAGCTGGAGTCCCGAGCCCCACTTCCTCCACGCCGGCCCCCATGGCAGGCCCACACCCAGCCCCACGCACGCAGGCATGCACAGCTTTTCTGAGTTTATTGAAAACAAACATCTGTGCGCTATGTACAGGCCCCACGCCCAGGTGGGGGTCAGCAGAGAGCCAAGCTGGGCCGACGAGGGCGGGAGGAGGGCAGGGGCTGACCTGGCCCGCAGCACTGGCTTCTGCCAGGGCAGCTTCCTGGGCGGCCGCCTGCAGGGCAGGGCAGGGCAAGACTCCTCCCACGGGAAGACCACCAAGCCTGGGGAGGGACTGCCCCGAGTTCAGTGTCCGAGGAGCCAGTGCAGATGGCCAGGCGTCAGAGGGTCAGGGAATGCCCGGTGAGCCCACCGACCTAGGACAGTGGGCAGCACTGGGCAGGCAGGTGGGGGCTGGGTCAGACCCCAAGGCTTTAAGGCAAAGCAGGGCGAGGGTGTACGCAGCCCGGGGCTGGGCCAGCCTTTGGCACGACAGGGAAGGGCCTTGGTGACCGCCTGATGGGCGGAGGATGGCGCTGGGCTGCGGGGTGAGGTCCCCCAGCCTCCAGCTCCAGGTCCTGGCAGGTGGCACTGGGGACGGGTGGCCCTGTCCAGGCTCCTGAGGCCGATCAGCAGAGCGTGTCTGTGCTGAAGGATAGCTGAGCCTGGGGGTGGGGGGGGACAACGATGGAGGCTAGCCATGGGGAGGGCCTGGGACCCAGCCCAGGACTTCCAGGCTCCCCTGCTCACCCCGGGGGGAAGGCCGCCCAGTGCCTCTCGGTCCTGCCCTGTCCTTAGGGCTGGTCCTGTCCCCCACCCCTGTGGACAGATGCTGCCTGGCTGTCGGCACCCCCAGGGCGCTGGGGCGGCCAGCTCACCCGCTCCTCCTCGAAGCTGATGAGGCCCTCGTCCTCCGTGTCCAGGTCCTCAGGCTCATCGGCCGCCAGTGCCCGGAGCTCCGTGGGGGCTGACCGCGGCCGCAGCAGGCTGAGCAGGCGGCCCAGCGGGGACTGCAGAGCTGAGGGCGGCTCCGCCTCCTGCTGCTCCAGGCTGTCGCTCTGCTTCTTGGCGAAGTTCACGAACACCTGGGGGGCGGGTGGCATGGACAGCTGGTGGGCGGCATGGGCAGGGGGTGGGCAGCATGGACAGCCAGCGGGCAGCGGGCGGGTGACATGGACAGCCAATGGGCAGCGGGCGGGTGGCATGGACAGCCGGCGGGCAGTGGGCGGGTGGCGTGGGCAGTGGGTGAGCACAGGCAGCGGGCAGGCAGTGCAAGGGCAGTGGGCAGCACTGGCTGTTGGAGAGTGAGGGCGGTGGGTAGGCAGTGTGTAGGTGGATATGGGCCATGGGCAGCAGGTAGTGTGCTGTGGGTGGGTGGGCACAGGCAATGGTTGGGCATGGGCGGGTGGGCGCAGGCAGTGAGTGGACATGGATGGGCGGGCATGGGCAGCAGGCAGGGGGCACTCACGTTGTCCAGCGTGGTCTGACTGACCGAATAGTCCTCAATGCCCAGCACGCCCACCACCTGCTCCATCTTGCTGAACACCTGGGCCAGCGAGATGTGCTCCGACTTCAGCTGGTACTGCACCTTAGTGTGGTGCCGCTCCTGCGTGGGCAGGGGGCAGAGGTCAAAGGTGAGATGGGGTGGGGCCGGCCCCTCGCCTCCCCGGCCCGTCCTGCCCACCTTGAGCACCGCCTCCGGGAAGTTGCGGCTGAAGAATCGTACAATGTCCTTGACGTTCTGGCTGCTCTTGGCACGCACCGTGATCATGTAGCCGTCCCCAAAGCTGGCAGCACCGGGGGGGGGTGTTGCAGTGGGCACAGCCCTGCCGGCTCCTGCACCCCCGCCCTCCTGCGGGCTCCTACCCGCCACCCGGCCTCCCCCCGCGTCTGCCCCCCCGCCTCCCCCAGCGTCTGCCCCCCCAGCCTCCTGCCGGCTCCTACCCGCCCCCCGGCCTCCCCCAGCGTCTGCCCCCCCCCGCCTCCCCCAGCGTCTGCCCCCCCGCCTCCCCCAGCATCTGGCCCCCCGCCTCCCCCAGCGTCTGCCCCCCGGCCTCCTGCCGGCTCCTACCCGCCCCCCCGGCCTCCCCCGCGTCTGCCCCCCCGCCTCCCCCAGCGTCTGCCCCCCCCCCGCCCTTCCCCAGCGTCTGCTCCCCCCTCCAGCTGGCCCCCTGCCCCCCCGCGCTCACCGGTTCTTGAGGTGCTGGATGCTGCCCAGGCAGCGCAGCCGTCCGTTCACCATGATGGCCAGGCGTGTGCACAGGGCCTCACACTCCTCCATGCTGGGGGGACACACAGGGGCTGGCATGGGGAGCGCGGGGCTGGGGCCCCGGAGGGGTGGGGGTCTCACCTGTGCGAGGTCAGCACCACCGAGCGGCCCGTCTTGATGAGGTCCAGGATGAGGTTCCAGAGGAAGCGCCGGGCCTTGGGGTCCATGCCCGTGGTGGGCTCGTCCTGCAGTGGGCGGCAGGCTCAGCCTCACCCAAGCGGTGTGACCCCCAGAAGACACGGGCAGAGCAGATGGCGAGGGCTGGGCTCACCAGGAAGATGAAGGCGGGGGAGCCGATGAGGGCGATGGCGGTGGACAGCTTGCGCTTGTTGCCGCCGCTGTAGGTGCCGGCCGGCTTGTCGGCGTACTTGGTCAGCTCCAGCTTCTCCAGCGCCCAGCGCACCACCTGGCCAGCGGGGCAGTCAACCCGGGGCCCCGCAGCCACGACCCGCCAGCCACACCACACCCGCCGGGCCTCACCCGCGCCTCGTCCTTCCAGGGCACGCCGCGCAGCCTCGTGTACAGCTGCAGGTGCTCCCGCGCCGTGAGCTCATCGAAGAGCGCGTCGAACTGCGGGCAGTAGCCCACGCTCTGCTGCACCTGGAGTAGCTCCCGCAGCACGCTGGGGAAGGAGGGCGAGCTGGCAGGGGTGGCCCACACAGAACCCCACCAAGCGCAGGCCCCGCCTCCAGGGCCACCCGCCCGCCGCCCGCACCGCTGCCCACCTGTGCCCGTTGACGAAGGCCTCGCCTCCCGTGGTGCTCTCGTCCCCCGTCAGCATCTTGAAGGTGCTGGTCTTGCCCGCGCCGTTGACGCCCAGGAGGCCGAAGCACTCGCCGGGCCGGACGCCGAGGCACAGACGGTCCACGGCCAGGATACGCCCAGTCTTGCGGGACTTGTACACCTGGCGGGGACGGGGCCTGACTGGTCAGCGAGGCCCGGGCCCATCCCGCCTGCCCACGCGCTGCCCACGCCCACCTTGGTCAGGTTTTCAATCTTGACCATGTCGTTGTCGGCATCCCCCCGCAGCACACGCTGGCGTTCAGTGGCCACGTCCACGTCATCCTCCACCGGCTTGGTGGATACGGGCATGCGCCTGCAGGACAGGGCGCACAGTGGGGCCTCGTCCACCGGCTTGGTGGACACGGGCGTGAGCCTGCGGGACAGGGCGCACAGTGGGGCCTCGTCCACGGGCATGCGCCTGCAGGACAGGGTGCACAGTGGGGCCTCGTCCACCGGCTTGGTGGACACGGGCATGAGCCTGCGGGACAGGGCGCACAGTGACACCTCGTCCACCGGCTTGGTGGACACGGGCATGCGCCTGCGGGACAGGGTGCACAGTGGGGCTGCAGGACAGGGCGCACAGTGGGGCCTCGTCCACCGGCTTGGTGGACACGGGCATGTGCCTGCGGGACAGGGCACACAGTGGGGCCTCGTCCACCGGCTTGGTGCACAGTGGGGCCTCGTCCACCGGCTTGGTGGACATGGACACAGGCATGTGCCTGCAGGACAGGGTGCACAGTGGGGCCGTCCCAGCCCCGCCCGGCCTTGGGCAGTGGTGCCCGCCCGGCTCACTCACTGTGGCTGGCGTAGGAAGTTGTACTGGCACATGAGGGTCAGCAGGAAACCGACGAAGCCCTCGGCCGTCATGGCAACCAGCCCCCGCGTGACAATGTCCCACTCGAACGGTGACTTCACCTTGTCCCACTGGCCTGTGTGGGTGGACGTGGGTGTCAGGCCGCTGCCCGGGGCAGGGGGGCACAGGCAGCCGGCCTCTCGCTGGCTCACCGATCTTGGCGTAGTACTCGTTGATGTATTCATTGTAGGCCATCTCCATCAGCCCGTGGCCCAGGTTGTAGTTGGGGAAGATGAGGAAGCAGCTTTTGAGGTAACTGTTGACCACCTTCAGGTCCTGGGGGTCAGGGGTCCGGGGGTCACAGGCTCAGCCTCCATGCCAGCTGGCCCCGCCCACCCACCATGAGGCCCCGCCCACTTACCAAGGCTCTGCCCGCCCGCCCAGGCCCCGCCCACCATCCTCAGGCCCCGCCCACCATCCTCAGACCCCGCCCAGCCACTCCAGGCTCTGCCCACCACCATCCTTAGGCCCCGCCCACCCTCAGGCCCTGCCCAGCCACTCCAGGCTCTGCCCACCACCATCCTTAGGCCCCGCCCACCACCAGGCCCCGCCCAGCCGCCCAGGCCCCGCCCAGCCGCCCAGGCCCCGCCCACCTTGTCATGCTCGAAGAGCTGCAGCAGGAAGGTGGCCACGGTGGCCGTGATGCCGATGAAGAGGTTGATGACGATGAGGAATACGTAGGCAGAGCTGGGCACCTCGAACCAGAAGGAGGCAGGGTACATGATGGGTGTGATGGACCACCTGTGGACGGCAGGCAGGCGGTCAGCAGGGGGCCAGCCCGCCAGCACCCCTCCCACCAGCACCCACTCCTGCACTCACTCCTGCCAGCACCCCTCCCGCCAGCACCCACTCCTGCACTCACTCCTGCCAGCACCCCTCCCACCAGCACCCACTCCTGCACTCACTCCTGCCAGCACCCCTCCCACCAGCACCCACTCCTGCACTCACTCCTGCCAGCACCCCTCCCACCAGCACCCACTCCTGCACTCACTCCTGCCAGCACCCCTCCCGCCAGCACCCACTCCTGCACTCACTCCTGCCAGCACCCCTCCCACCAGCACCCACTCCTGCACTCACTCCTGCCAGCACCCCTCCCGCCAGCACCCACTCCTGCACTCACTCCTGCCAGCACCCCTCCCACCAGCACCCACTCCTGCACTCACTCCTGCCAGCACCCCTCCCACCAGCACCCACTCCTGCACTCACTCCTGCCAGCACCCCTCCCGCCAGCACCCACTCCTGCACTCACTCCTGCCAGCACCCCTCCCGCCAGCACCCCTCCCACCAGCACCCACTCCTGCACTCACTCCTGCCAGCACCCCTCCCACCAGCACCCACTCCTGCACTCACTCCTGCCAGCACCCCTCCCGCCAGCACCCCTCCCACCAGCACCCACTCCTGCACTCACTCCTGCCAGCACCCCTCCCGCCAGCACCCACTCCTGCCAGCACCCCTCCCGCCAGCACCCCTCCCACCAGCACCCTTCCCACCAGCACCCCTCCAGCACCCACTCCTGCCAGCACCCCTCCCGCCAGCACCCCTCCCACCAGCACCCCTCCCGCCAGCACCCCTCCCGCCAGCACCCCTCCTGCACCCACTCCTGCCAGCACCCCTCCCACCAGCACCCCTCCCACCAGCACCCCTTCAGCACCCTTCCCGCCAGCACCCCTCTCACCAGCACCCACTCCTGCCAGCACCCCTCCCACCAGCACCCCTCCCGCCAGCACCCCTCCCTCCAGCACCCCTCCCACCAGCACCCACTCTCGCCAGCACCCCTCCCACCAGCACCCCTCCCGCCAGCACCCCTCCTGCGGGCGCTGACCCATAGAGCAGGAAGAGCGAGAGCACAGCTGGGAAGTTGGTGGGCGACGTGTAGGCCGGCAGGTCGAACACGAACAGGATGATGACACAGCAGGTGGCCGGGACCAGGTAGTTGAGCTGTGCGACAGGTGGTAGGTGAGGGGCCTGGGTGGAATGGAGCCTGGGCAGCAGTGGGCGGTAAGGACAGCCAGGCAGCATCTACCCACCACCCTGTCCCACACCGCTGGCCCCACCCACCTGCCCACACCGCTGGCCCCGCCCACCTGCCCACGCCACTGGCCCCGCCCACTCACCATGTCCCACACGTAGTTGGCGAGCCAGTAGATGACCGGGTTGCAGCCGCTCACAAACTGCAGGTGCTTGGCCTTGGTGGACTTCTCTGCCACCAGGAAGACCACGAAGCTGGCTGGCACGAAGGACATGGCCACGATGATGAAGATGGCAATGACCACATCGGTGCCCTGCAGCCTGGGGGAGGCGGCACTGGGCTCAGCCCCGAGCGGCTGCAACTGCCCCGGGCGCCCCGCCCACCTCACTTACAAGTAATCCAGAGAGAGGCTGGCGCTGGTCTTGTTCATGGGGTGGTTCGTGACGGTGATGCCTGCGTGAGGAGCTGGATCAGGCCCTGCCTGCCCCTGGCCACGCGGGGAGGGAGGACGCTCCTCCCAAGGGGATGGGAGCTGGCCCTGCCCACAGGTGGTGGTGTTGCCTGCCCCTCACCCTCGCCGTAGGTCACCGAGGCACCCCCCCACTGTGGGTCACCAAGTCACCCCCCACCGCAGGCTACAGGGTTGTCCCCTCTCCCCTTCCCTGTGGGCCACCCCCTCTTCCCCATCGGTCACCCCACCCCCTCCCCATAGGGTCACCCCTGCCCCTCACCATGGGCACCCCTGCCCCTCACCATGGGCGCCCCTCCCCCTCACCATGGGCACCCCTGCCCCTCACCATGGGCACCCCTCCCTCTCACCATGGGCGCCCCTCCCCCTCACCATGGGCACCCCTGCCCCTCACCATGGGCACCCCTCCCTCTCACCATGGGCGCCCCTCCCCCTCACCATGGGCACCCCTCCCCCTCACCATGGGCACCCCTGCCCCTCACCATGGGCACCCCTCCCCCTCACCATGGGCGCCCCTGCCCCTCACCATGGGCACCCCTCCCTCTCACCATGGGCACCCCTCCCCCTCACCATGGGCGCCCCTGCCCCTCACCATGGGCGCCCCTCCCCCTCACCATGGGCACCCCTCCCTCTCACCATGGGCGCCCCTGCCCCTCACCATGGGCACCCCTCCCTCTCACCATGGGCGCCCCTGCCCCTCACCATGGGCACCCCTCCCTCTCACCATGGGCACCCCTCCCCCTCACCATGGGCGCCCCTGCCCCTCACCATGGGCGCCCCTCCCCCTCACCATGGGCGCCCCTCCCCCTCACCATGGGCACCCCTCCCCCTCACCATGGGCGCCCCTCCCCCTCACCATGGGCACCCCTGCCCCTCACCGTAGGCCGCAGGGTTGCCTTTACTCTTGGGCAGGTTGGCACGGAGAATGGCGTTGTTCAGGCTGTTGAGGTAGGTAGGCATACTGTGGTAGCCCTTGTTGTTGTAGAACACCTGGGAGGGACACGGGACATGGACGTGCGGCCCGGAGGGCGGGCTGGGCCAGGAGCCCCCACGCGCCCACCTGCACTCACCTGGGCTGCCCGGCGCACTGCGATTTTGCGCACCATGGGCGGGGCCCGCGCGCCGAACGACGCCGGGATGGACTTGAGCACGTTGCCAAAGGTGATGGCTCCGTACCTGCAGTGAGGCGGGCGGTGGGCAGCGGTGAGGTGGGTGGCGTGGGCAGCGGTGAGGTGGGCAGCGGGGTGGGCGGTGGTGGGCAGCGGTGGGCGGTGGTGGGCGGCGGTGGGCAGTGGTGGGCAGTGGTGGGCGGCAGCGCTGGGTGGCAGTGGTGGGTGGCAGTGGCAGCGGTGAGGTAGGCAGCGGTGAGGTGGGTGGCGTGGGCAGCGGTGAGGTGGGTGGCATGGGCAGCGGTGAGGTGGGCGGCGGTGAGGTGGGCGGTGGTGGGTGGTGGTGGGCAGTGGTGGGCGGCAGTGGGCGGTGGTGGGTGGCGGTGAGGTGGGTGGTGGTGGGTGGCGTGGGCAGCGGTGGGCGGTGGTGGGCGGCGGTGGGCGGCGGTGGGCGGTGGTGGGCGGCGGTGGGCGGCGGTGGGCGGTGGTGGGTGGCGGTGGGCGGTGGTGGGCGGCAGTGGGCGGTGGTGGGTGGCGGTGGGCAGCGGGCCCGCCCCCTCGTGCCCAGCCCCTCACCGGTGCAGCCGGAAGCGGTCGGAGGTGAAGAGCAGGTACTCTGAGACGTTGTGTCCCGTGATGTCTGTGAGGATGTCGCCGGTGACCGCGCGCATCTGTGGCGGGTGGCCGCCCACGCTGCTCGGGCAGGAGAAGCCGGTGCCCTGCGCAGAGCAGGTGCACCGCACGGGCTCCCGCACCAGGCGTGGCAGCGACGGCGCCGACGTCCACGGCTCTGCGGGCACGAGGCTCCATGAGCGCCCAGGGCGCACGGGGTCCCCGCGCCCCGCAGCCCGCGGTCCGACGCCGCACCTGGCCCTGCCGTGGGCGGCTGAGAGCTGTTGCGGGCCTGCAGCAGGTCCTCGTCCGGCGCGGGCGAGGGCGGCGGCGGCACGAAGTTGGAGAGCGGCAGCCCCTGCGTGAAGGACTCCAGGCACATGCTGTCGAAGAAGCGTGCGGCCAGCAGCCGTGACTCGCCGCTGCTCAGGTTCAGCAGCGGGCCCAGGGACCCGTTGGCCGGGGACTTGAGCACGCAGGTGGCGCCGATGCCCGACGGCAGCCTGAAGGTGCCCACCAGCTGCTGGGGGCTGGCGTCGGGGGACAGCCGCAGCCTGGAGCAAAAACAGCACAAGCTGGGTCCTGCCCGGCCCCCACCCAGGTAGCCCCGGCCCCTCACCTGCCGGCCCCCACACCCCCGGCTCCACTAAGGCCTTGGTGCCCGCCCGCCCGCCCACACCTTGGCACCCCGGCCTTGGCCTCACCGATACTCCCGGCGCTCCTCATTGGCGTAGGGGATGAAGTTGCCACGGGGCTGCGTGTAGTTGTGGTACTGTGAGGGGGACAGCACGAGCGGGGGCAGGTCCCCTGGAGTGGAAGCAGGAGCTGGTTGGTGCCGGCTCTGGCCAGCAGCTCTCCCAGCCCAAAACCCAAGGCTGAAACGTGGGGTGCAACTCAGGCGCCCAGAGGGGCCACGGCCGGGGGAAAGCCCTACCGATCTCGGGGACAGACAGGGCCACGGTCATGGCCACGGAGACGAAGAAGGCGGGCAGCAGGATCTGAGAGCAGAGCGCCTTGGAGTTGCGGCGGGCACAGTGGAAGCGCTTGACCAGCAGCCCGTGAAACTGGCGTGCCTTTAGCCACCAGCCCTGCAGCCTGCGGCCCTGGCCCTCCTGCAGGGGGGCGTCCGCCTCGGGCTCTGCGCAGACAGGCAGGCCTGGGCTCAGGCAGCACCCACAGCCCCGGCTTCCCCAAGGGGTCCCCCGAGCCCTGCAGCCTGCGGCCCTGGCCCTCCTGCAGGGGGGCGTCCGCCTCAGGCTCTGCGCAGACAGGCAGGCTGCCCCCGGGGCCACCCAAGCTGCCCTCAGACGCCCACCTTGCAGGCTGACGTTGTCAGGGTCCTGCGGGTTGTCGAGGAGTGGGCGGTAGTCACCGCAGACATCGGCATAGCCAGCCCCCTCGTCACCCCGCACGGAGCCCACAGAGGACGCCGAGTGCAGGGAGGCCTGGGACCGAGCCAGCTCCGCGCACTGTGCCAGGTTGCCAGCCTGGCCCTCGCCGGACGCCAGGCCCTCAGCCCCGGGCAGCACGTCCTTCCGCGACTCCTTCCCGTCTGCCGGCAGAGGAGCAGTGGGCTGAGGCCTGCTGGGACGCCAGGCTGCACCCCGCCCGCTCGGACCTCCATGGGGCCCGCGAGCTCACCAGCCTCGCTGTTCTCCAGTGACTGGTCCTCCTCCGACACCTTCAGGAACACTTCCTCCAGTGTCGTGTCCATCAGCCCGAAGCTGCTCAGGTGCAGCGACTCAAGGCTGCACTCCAGGCTCTGGGGGTTGGGGCTCAGCATGCCGTGCCTGCTCCCACCTTCCCCGCCCCCAGCTGAGCCCCACCCCACCTCCCCTGTCCCCGTCCCCACCCCTGGCTGCGCCCGCTCCCACCTTCCCTGTCCCCACCCCTGGCTGAGCCCATCTCCTCTGCTCCGGCTGTGCCCGCTCCCACCTCCCCAGCACCCGCCCCGGCTGCCTGTTCGGTACCTTCCCTGCCCTGCCCGGTACCTGGAAGAGGCGCTCGAAGGCCCCCTTCTTGGTGGCCTCGCTGGGCAGCATGTAGGAGAGCTCAGTGCTGGTGTCCGACACCAGCAGGCAGGAGGCCACGTGCTTGCGGATGAAGCGAGACACCAGCGGCTCCGAGCAGTTGCTCAGCGGGGCTCGGCCGGAGGGGCTGGAGGCCAGTCCTGGCTCTGGGAGGGAAGGGGACAGCGGGGACTCACTGGGGGCAGGAGACCCGACAGGTCCAGGCGGGGCAGGAGGAGACGGAGAGAGAGGTTGGCCGCGGCCCCACGGTGGGGACACGGGTGGCCCCTCCTGGAGGGGTCCCAGGGCAGAGTGGCCTCAGCACAGACCTTGGGGACCCCCAGGCTCGGCAGGCCGCTTAACCAGCGTGAGGCGGTACCCGTCGCCGTAGGCGCCCTTGAGGAAGAGCGGGGACCCACAGCACTTGAGCTTCCCGTGGGAGATGATGGCGATGCGGTCACCCAGCAGGTCGGCCTCGTCCATGTGGTGAGTGGACAGCAAGATGGTGCGGCCTGCGGGGCGGGGTGGTCAGCGAGGCCTGCAGGCCAGGCCGGCGTCTCCGGGCGGCCCCCACTCACCAGGCTTGTACTTCAAGATGAGGTCCCAGATGGCACGCCGGGCGTAGGGGTCCACGCCGGCCGTGGGCTCGTCCAGGATGACGGCCCGGGAGCCACCCACGAAGGCAATGGCCACGGAGAGCTTGCGCTTGGTGCCACCCGACAGCGTCTGCACCAGCGAGTGCCGCTTGTTGGACAGCTCCAGGTCTTCGATCATCCTGCACACGGGCAGCGGGCCGTGAGGCCGAGGGCACAGCGGAATCCGGACCAAACCAGGCCCAAGCAGCACAGAGCCCCGCCCACCAGCCCCAGCCCCACCCACCAGCCCCACCTGGCTGCAAGCCCCGCCCACCAGCCACAGGCCCCACCCACCAGCCCCACCTGGCTGCAAGCCCCGCCCACCAGCCCCATCTGGCTGCAAGCCCCACCCACCAGCCCAGCTGGCTGCAACCCCCGCCCACCCACCACAGGCCCGCCCCGAGCCCCGCCCACTTGTCCATCTCCTTGCGGATCTCGGCCTGCGCCATGCTCTTGAGCCGTGAATAGAACCACAAGTGCTCCTCCACCGTGAGGCGGTCGAACAGCACGTTGTGCTGCGGGCACATGCCCAGGTTCTTGCGGATCTCGTCCATCTCCGTGCGGATGTCGTGCCCGTAGATGGTGGCCGAGCCCGACGTGGGCGGGAACAGGCCGGTCAGGATGGACCTTGGAGGCAGAGGAGGGATCGGTCACCCAGCCGGGGCCCTGCGGACACGCCTGACCCCTCGCCCCGCTGGGCACTCACATGGTGGTGGTCTTGCCGGCCCCGTTGTGGCCCAGGAAGGAGACCACCTGGTTCTCGTACAGGTTCAGGCTCAGCTTGTTGAGCGCCAGCTTCTTGTCATTCTTGTAGACCTTGGTCAGCCTGTCCACGCACACCACCAGCGGCAGGTGGCCGGGCTCCTCCTCCATGCCTCGGGTCTCCTCTGCGGGGGGAGCTGGTCAGCAGGCTCGTGGGGACTGCCGGGCCCACCCCGGCCTACACCGGACTCCCTGCCTCACCGAAGCGCCGGCTCTCCATGGCACAGGCCTGGTCCTCCTCCATGACGCTGAGGCGGGGGGCCCGGGCCCACGGCCAGCTCCACTCCCAAGCCTCGGTCCGCCCACTGCCCAGCCAGTAAGACTTCTGCAGTGGGAAGTACCAGGGCCGGGGCAGCCCATACATGCCTGGGGGTGAGAGGGAGGGCAGGCTGACCCGGGGCCAGCCGAGTGCCCGGCCCCTGGCCGGCTGGCTGGGCCCGCCTCCCCTGCCCCTCCAGGGCCGGCGGGTACCTGGGTGCACCGCCTCAATGTACCAAGTGAGCACGCCGTACACCAGGGCGTCCACCATCAGCATGGTGACGGCCAGCAGCAGGTTGAAGTCGTCTCCTTCCACGGGGGACTGGCTGAACGTGTGCCACTGGATGCCCACGCCGGCCACCTCGTAGAGCGCGAAGTACTTGGAGCCCAGGCCGAAGGCCGTGGTGGACATCAGGGACTGGGTGGGAGCAGCGCAGGGTCAGCGGGCAGCACGTGCCCACCTCCCGCCCGGCCCTGCCGCCCGCCCGCCCGCTCACCGCGATGCACTTCTCGAAGGCGGTGATTTTATCGTGGGCCACCTCCTCCCGGATGGCCACATACATGTAGGGCACGTAGCTGAGGAAGTAGATGATACCGCCACAGGCCGAGGCTAGCTTGGCCTTGGAGTACAGCACAGACACCAGGAAACTGGGAGACAGCGGGTCGGCCGTCCTGCACCTGCCAGGAACCCTGCGGAGGGCAGCTCCACCCACCCCAGCCCAGCCCCGGGCCTGGGCACTCCACGGCTGAGCAGGAGCCCAGCAACAGCCCTGGGCTCACCCCTGGGCGCTCCACTACCCCGCCCGAGCCCAGCAACAGCCCTGGGCACTCCATGGCCGCCCCTGAGCCCAGCAACAGCCCTGGGCTCACCCCTGGGTGCTCCACGGCCTCTCTATGGCCCTGCCCCCAGGCTCATCCTGACCCCACCCCCTGGCCCGCCCCTCACGCGCTCCTGCTCACCAGAACATGATGGTGGCCACGGCGTAGACAGCCAGGAAGAGCCAGATGATGAGCACGTGGCTGTGCAGCAGCACCTGGCCGTACTTGAGGATGGCTGTGAGCGCCGTCACCGAGATGGACAGCTGCACGAAGCCGGTGATGAACCAAGCTACCCAGTGCACCGCGTTGTTCAAGCCCATGGTCTTCATTACCTGCGGGCAGGGCTCCGGGTAGGCCCACTGCCCTGCCCTGCCCAGGCTCCGCCCCACTGCCCAGGCCCCTGCCCTGCCCAGGCCCCTGCCCTGCCCAGGCCCCCTGCCCTGCCCAGGCCCCCTGCCCTGCCCAGGCTCCGCCCCACTGCCCAGGCTCTGCCCCACTGCCCAGGCCCCCGCCCTGCCCAGGCTCTGCCCCACTGCCCAGGCTCCGCCCCACTGCCCAGGCTCCGCCCCACTGCCCAGGCTCCGCCCCACTGCCCAGGCCCCCCGCCCTGCCCAGGCCCCCCGCCCTGCCCAGGCCCCCTGCCCTGCCCAGGCTCCGCCCCACTGCCCAGGCTCCGCCCCACTGCCCAGGCCCCCTGCCCTGCCAGGCTCCGCCCCACTGCCCAGGCTCCGCCCCACTGCCCAGGCCCCCTGCCCTGCCAGGCTCCGCCCCACTGCCCAGGCCCCCTGCCCTGCCAGGCTCCGCCCCACTGCCCAGGCTCCGCCCCACTGCCCAGGCTCCGCCCCACTGCCCAGGCCCCCTGCCCTGCCCAGGCTCCGCCCCACTGCCCAGGCTCCGCCCCACTGCCCAGGCCCCTTGCCCTGCCCAGGCTCCGCCCCACTGCCCAGGCCCCCCGCCCTGCCCAGGCTCCGCCCCACTGCCCAGGCTCCGCCCCACTGCCCAGGCTCCGCCCCACTGCCCAGGCCCCACCTCCTTGAGCCGCTGCTCCTTTTCAGCCACGATGTGCTGGATGGTCATGGCCACCGAGTAGACCCAGGAGATGACCATACAGAGCGGCATCATGTGCTCAATGACAAACAGGAAGCTGCAGGGGGACAGCGTGAGTGGGGGACAGCGTGAGTGGGGACAGCATGAGTGGGGGACAGTGTGAGTGGGGGACAGTGTGAGTGGGGACAGTGTGAGTGGGGACAGCATGAGGGGGGAACAGCGTGAGTGGGGGACAGCGTGAGTGGGGACAGCATGAGGGGGGACAGTGTGAGTGGGGACAGCGTGAGTGGGGACAGCGTGAGTGGGGGACAGTGTGAGTGGGGACAGCATGAGGGGGGACAGCGTGAGGGGGGACAGTGTGAGTGGGGAACAGCGTGAGTGGGGACAGCGTGAGTGGGGACAGCGTGAGTGGGGGACAGTGTGCGGGGGGACAGCGTGAGTGGGGACAGCGTGAGTGGGGGACAGTGTGCGGGGGGACAGCGTGAGTGGGGACAGCATGAGTGGGGACAGCGTGAGTGGGGAACAGCGTGAGTGGGGACAGCGTGAGTGGGGACAGCGTGAGTGGGAACAGCGTGAGTGGGGGACAGCATGAGGGGGGACAGCATGAGTGGGGACAGCGTGAGTGGGGAACAGCGTGAGTGGGGACAGCGTGAGTGGGGACAGTGTGCGGGGGGACAGCGTGAGGGGGGACAGCATGAGGGGGGACAGCGTGAGTGGGGAACAGCGTGAGTGGGGACAGCGTGAGTGGGGACAGCGTGAGTGGGGGACAGTGTGAGTGGGGACAGCATGAGGGGGGACAGCATGAGGGGGGACAGCGTGAGTGGGGAACAGCGTGAGTGGGGACAGCGTGAGTGGGGACAGCATGAGGGGGGAACAGCGTGAGTGGGGACAGCGTGAGTGGGGACAGCATGAGGGGGACAGCATGAGGGGGGACAGCGTGAGTGGGGAACAGCGTGAGTGGGGACAGCGTGAGTGGGGACAGCGTGAGTGGGGACAGCGTGAGTGGGGGACAGCGTGAGGGGGGACAGCGTGGGGGGGCAGCGTGAGGGGGGACAGCGTGAGGGGGGGACAGCGTGAGTGGGGGACAGCGGGAGGGGGGGCAGCGTGAGTGGGGGACAGCGTGAGGGGGGGACAGCGTGAGGGGGGACAGCGTGAGGGGGGGACAGCGTGAGGGGGGACAGCGTGAGGGGGGACAGCGTGAGTGGGGACAGCGTGAGGGGGGGACAGCGTGAGTGGGGACAGCGTGAGGGGGGGACAGCGTGAGCGGGGACAGCATGAGGGGGGACAGTGTGCGGGGGGACAGCGTGAGGGGGGACAGCGTGAGTGGGGGACAGCGTGAGGGGGGGACAGCGTGAGTGGGGGACAGCGTGAGGGGGGGACAGCGTGAGTGGGGGACAGCGTGAGGGGGGGCAGCGTGAGTGGGGGACAGCGTGAGGGGGGACAGCGTGAGGGGGGGCAGCGTGAGGGGGGACAGTGTGAGTGGGGGACAGCGTGAGGGGGGACAGCGTGAGGGGGGAGAGTGTGAGGGGGCGTCCCCGGGCCTGCCCCGCCCCCACCCAGCCCAACACTCACTCATCACGCGTGTAGCAGGGGTACGGGAACACCTGCACGTAGCTGCCCGGCTCCACCACGTCGTGGCCCACAAACGTGTTGATGATGGCGCGTTCCATCATGTCTGTGGAGGGCAGGGTGGCCATCAGCACCTGGTCCCCCAAGGCGGCACTGGCCCCGCCCCCAGGCAGCACTGGCCCCGCCCCCAGGCAGCGCTGGCCCCGCCCCCAGACAGGGCTGGCCCCGCCCCCAGGCAGCCCTGGCCACACCCCAGTGACCACACCCCACTAGTGGGCCCTGGCCCCACCCCCATTGCCACGGAGTGGGCTGCCCACCCTGGATCCAGACGAAGCCGTAGAGGAAGTAGAAGCGGCCTCCCGTGTTGGGGCCCGGGCGCCAATAGGCCCGGCGGATCTCGTTGGTTTTCTCTGTGAAGCTAGAATTCTGGCGGATCTTGTAGTGGACATGGGGGGGAAGAGAGCCATCCTTCCGGGTCTGAAAGATGACACCTGGGGACAGAAACACACACACGGTGGGAAGGGGCAGGAGGGAGCCACATCCGAGCCTGGCGCCCGTGCCAGGGGAGCCATGTCCGTGCCAAGGGAGCCACGTCCGTGCAAGGCGCCTGTGCCAAGGGAGCCACGTCCGTGCTGGGCGCCCGTGCCAAGAGATGAGAGGGGGACTCACTGGCAAACACTGTGACGTTGTCCTGGTAGGCTTGGTTGAGCGTGTAGTTTACGATGCTCTCCTCATCTGGAAAGCCCTTGAAGATGTCCACACTCACCTGCAAGGGAAGGAAATCAGTGCAGCCTGGGCGCCAGTGGGGCCTGTGGGGTGCAGGGGAGGGTGCCGGCTGAGGAGGAGGTGCAGGGGAGGGTGCCGGCTGAGGAGGAGGTGCAGGGGAGGGTGCCGGCTGAGGAGGAGGTGCAGGGGAGGGTGCCGGCTGAGGAGGAGGTGCAGGGGAGGGTGCCGGCTGAGGAGGAGGTGCAGGGGAGGGTGCCGGCTGAGGAGGAGGTGCAGGGGAGGGTGCCGGCTGAGGAGGAGGTGCAGGGGAGGGTGCCGGCTGAGGAGGAGGTGCAGGGGAGGGTGCCGGCTGAGGAGGAGGTGCAGGGGAGGGTGCCGGCTGAGGAGGAGGTGCAGGGGAGGGTGCCGGCTGAGGAGGAGGTGCAGGGGAGGGTGCCGGCTGAGGAGGAGGTGCAGGGGAGGGTGCCGGCTGAGGAGGAGGTGCAGGGGGAGGGTGCCGGCTGAGGAGGAGGTGCAGGGGGAGGGTGGTGGCTGAGGAGGAGGTGCAGGGGGAGGGTGCCGGCTGAGGAGGAGGTGCAGGGGAGGGTGCAGGCTGAGGAGGAGGTGCAGGGGAGGGTGCAGGCTGAGGAGGAGGTGCAGGGGGAGGGTGGTGGCTGAGGAGGAGGTGCAGGGGAGGGTGCAGGCTGAGGAGGAGGTGCAGGGGTCGGGTGGTGGCTGAGGAGGAGGTGCAGGGGAGGGTGCAGGCTGAGGAGGAGGTGCAGGGGAGGGTGCAGGCTGAGGAGGAGGTGCAGGGGAGGGTGCAGGCTGAGGAGGAGGTGCAGGGGGAGGGTGCAGGCTGAGGAGGAGGTGCAGGGGAGGGTGCCGGCTGAGGAGGAGGTGCAGGGGGAGGGTGCCGGCTGAGGAGGAGGTGCAGGGGGAGGGTGCCGGCTGAGGAGGAGGTGCAGGGGGAGGGTGATGGCTGAGGAGGAGGTGCAGGGGGAGGGTGCTGGTTGATTAGGGGGTGCAAGGGGAGGGATGCTGGCTGGGCAGCAGGTGCCAGCGGGGCCACCTTGGACATGAACTGGATCCAGCCGCAGGCCGCGTTGTCAATAGTGTCCAGCTGCTGTAGGAGGGCAGAGCCGTTGGGCAGCGAGAAGTTGTCATGCCGCAGGGCAGGAGGCAGCTGGTCCAGCGACAGGTTCATGGCCTCGGGCCGCAGTCGCAGTTCCGCCACATACTGCAGGGGCAGAGGGAGCAGGTGCTGGCTCCAGGGGCCGCAGCATGCCCCTGCCGCTGCCCTTCCCTGCCCGGCTCGCCCCACACCTGCTGCAGCCAGTGCAGGTGCTGCTGTAGCCGGCCCTGCTCCAGGAAGCTGCGGATCTCAGCTGAGGTGTTGAGCCAGACCTGTGCGTAGTGCGTCACATTGCCCACCAGAGCAAACGTCTCGTTGGCCTGCGGAGGCGGAGAGCGTGGCCATGAGACCAAGGACCCCGGCTCCCAGCCCCTCTGGTGAGCAGCGAGCCCCTCGCACAGCCCCCGGCCTCGCCCTGCCTCCCCTGGGGCACCCTGCCAGCACAGGGCCTGCTCTCACCAACTCCCCATTTGGGCCCAGCTCTGGCCCCAGCACCAGCACCGCCCCACCCAGGGTGGGAGCCTGTAGGGAGCAGGGCAGCCGCACCTTGAGGATGACACGGTCGGCCTCGGAGCCGGCCGGCGCATACAGGATCTTGGGGTTACTGGTCATGAGGTGCACCAGAAGGCCCAGGTTCCGCTGCTCCTTGCTGGTGAACCCCAGTGAGCTCATGTTGCCTCTGCGTAGTGCCTCGGGCTCGATGGTGCTGGGGCAGGGGCAGAGGGGTGAGGGGCAGGGCTGGGCACCCCCTGCCAGCTCCTATCCCCCAGCCCAGGCCCGGCAGCGAGCAGTACCGGTTATTGCCACAGAGGATGGGCTGCAGCCCGGCCCAGAGCTGAACGAAGGCCGAGCACTGGCCTTGGAGAGCGTCCGTGGTGGCCGGGGCTGCGGCGGCCGGCGTGCCCTCCTCGGCTGTGGCGTTGGCGCCTGGCCCTGTGCCGTTGGCTGCCCCGCCAGGGCTGCTGGAGGGTGAGGCTGATGCGCGGCCAGCACAGGCACCCTGGGGAAGCAGCAGGGCCAGCGCCGACAGCACGTCCACGTCCTGCAGGGCTTTCTGGGCGTCCAGCAGATCCCCGAGCAGCGCCTGCAGCCTCTGCGGGGACGGCACCGGCTGCTGGGGGTCCGAGCCATTGGGAGCAGCCAGGCCCAGCTGGGGGTGGGGGGAGGACAGGTCACGATGTGGCCCACAGCCCGGCAGGCCCACTGGTCAGCTGCCAGGCAGGGCCTCACCTGCTGGGCGATCTTGGCTAGGTCCAGCTGGCTCCGGAGCTCGGCGGCCAGCCCGGAGAAGCGGCGAGCACGCGCCACCGCCTGCCCACTGCACACGGTGTCCCGGTAGCCCTGCAGTGTTGCCTGCTGGTTCGCGGGCAGCACCAGGAGGCGGCCCAGCTCCCCAGAACACGTGAGCCTCTCCAGCAGAGCAGGGGCCAGCAACAGTTCCTGTAGCAGGGCCAGGGGACAGCTGGGGCCACAGCAGAGGGCCAGGCCCACCGACCTTGCGTCCAGGCCTGACCCACCCTGCAGCCAGGATGAGGAAGGGGCCGTGCATACTGCTCCCTTGCTCCCTTCTGGCCATGACCTCCCCCAGGACGCAGCCCCCCACCCAAGCCAGCGACAGCCCCCCTCACCTCCATCCGGAACAGGGGGCTGCCTCCCAGGCGGCTCCAGGGCTCCCGAGCCCCAGGGAAGGCCGATTCCGCACCCAGGGCAGGCCGAGGGCCTAACAGCAGGCGGCGGACCTGCCATGAGGGGGTGTCCAGCTCAGCAGCGCCCAGACCCCCTCCCTCCAGCCTGCAGTGGCAGCCGGTGAGCGGGGCTGTGTCAGGGGGCATGGCCAGGGTGGGTGGGGAGAGGGTTACACATCGGGGTGTGGCCAGGAAGGGTACCCAGCAGGTAGGGGGCTCAGCCACTGGTGCCTGGCAGGCAGGGGCGGTGGCCAGGCCCAAGGTGCTGCTTCCAGGCTGCAGACACGCCCCCTCACCTCCGGCGGGTCCACCCGGGCAGCCAGCAGGGCCTGGACCGTGCTGTTGGGCAGCGACAGGTTCTGCACCAGGAAGTGTGAGAGTTCCCTCGGGTCCCTGGCCACCGAGGCCAGCGCGAAGCTGGAAGCTGGACAGGCAGAAGGACGGCACTGAGGGGCCAGCTCCCCCCTCCGGGGGCACAGACGGGCCTGCGCCCTGCGGCGGACATGGGAGTGGACCAGGGTCACGGCCCAGCGCTCTCCACCCAGACACACCTGCAGATCTGTCCGAGTCGCTCTCCCAGGCACCCTGGCCGGCACCGAGGGCCTCCAGGCGCTCACGCAGGGCCTCCAGCTCCGAGCCCAGGCTGGGCCGCGCTGGGTCAAACAGGTCGCTGTCCTCCACCACGCGGCTGAGGCGCTCCAGCAGCTGGGTCACCCTGTTCCGGCATAGGTGTCACACGGGCAGACGGGGAGGCGGGGAGCAGGCAGTGGGCAACTGCCGGGGGCAGGGCGGGCACTCACGTGGAGTTGGCATACTGCAGGAAGCCAAACTCATCCCGCTGGCCGTCTGGGCACAGTGACTGCATGACAGGCAGGATGCCAGCCGAGGTCAGGGGCGCAGCCGAGTAGAAGGCTGGTGGGCAGGGGTGTGGGGAGCGGAGTCAGTCGGTCCGGGGTCAGGGTCAGAGAGGGCTGGCCCCCGGAGCCACAGCCCAGGAGCCGTAAGCACCGACCCAGCAGGTAGAGGTCAAAGGACCAGCACCTCCCACACACACCAGCCCCTAAGGATCCCTCTCCCCTCAGCCAGGGCAAGGCCAAGGCGCCTGGCACTCGGGTCAGCCCTGGACAGTGACCTCCGACCCCGGCCAGCCGGTCAGCAGGGTGAGTACAGAGGCCAGGACGCACAGGCTTATGAGCTGAGCAAGCAGCCGGCCCCACAGACACCCTCACGGCCCCCACCCCGGGGAGAGCGAGGGAGGCTGTGAGCGCGAGCGGGGACGGCCGACGGGCCGGCGAGGGGGCAATGCTCACTTACACACTGCATGCAGACCGACCGGCGGGCGACCATGCGGGGAAGGGACAGAACAGGGGAGCCCGGTGAGTGCCGGCAGCGGGCCCGGGGGCCTGGGGCGGGCGCCCGCCGACCCTCACCTTCCTTCACAGAGATGGTGGGCTTCTTCTGCCGCAGCCCCAGCAGGATGAAGAAGAGGACGAGGGGGATGAAGAGCTCGAAGGCCAGCACCCACTGCAGAGCACCGGCGGTGAGGGCCGACGGGCAGGCACGCACCTCTGCCCGCCACCCCAGCACAGCCCGGGCACGGACCACCGGTGGTACCCAGCCTCACCGGCTGTTAGCCCAGCCCAGGCTCTGCTGGCCACCCCGGATGCCCAAGGTGAGCTGGCTGGGAGGGCACGGGCACCACGCGCGTGCCCAGCCGACTTCCCCTTCAAGGTTAGCCCGCTCGACTCCCAGCTGACCACACACCTGCCTAGCCGCCACCCTCCACCCTGCAGGAGTGCAAAGACACCCCATCTCCCAGCTGCCTGACAGAACTCACACCTAGAGGCACCCTGGCCTGCTAGGGCCCCAGCTCCCTGCCCCCTGGCCCCACGCCACAAGCCCAAGGCTCTACCTCCTGGGGCAGGGTGCCCCCCCTGCACTTTCCCCTCAGGGTCACCCTGGGCGACCCAGAGCTCCAGGAGGCTGAGGGAGACGCCCTCTGGGGGTCCTGCAACCCAGGCCCAGGGAGACCCCTGCCTGGCCAGGCCCTGCCCCACCACCAGCCCCCAACCCCACCATCAGGTCCCGCCCCCCAGGTGTCCCTCACTCGGCCCCGCCCCCACCAGCAGCCCCGCCCCCACCATCAGGTCCCGCCCCCCAGGTGTCCCTCACTCGGCCCCGCCCCCACACCAGCCCCGCCCCCACCACCAGCCCCGCCCCCCAGGTGTCCCTCTCCCTCCTTGGCCGCCTGGCAGACACTGGGCACTGTTTACTGGGCCCTGACAATGGGGCTCTGTGGCCGGGAACACACGCCCAGCCCGTGCCAGCCTCCACCCCCTCCCCAAGCTGAGACGCAGCCCAGAGACAGCCCAGCAGGCACTGTGGGCACGGTGCTGGGCATAGGTGGCAGCAGGCAGGAGGGGTCACGCCCAGCTGCCAGCCCTGCCGCCACCCGGGCACCTGGGCTGCAGTAGCCACAGCAACAGGCCAGGGCTGCCTCCCCTCTCGCCATGGCAACGGCCACACCCGCTGCCCGGAGGAGGGAGGCATCTGGTTACAGGCGGATGCCTCAGGTCGGGCAGCACCTGGGGCCCCACACGGGTGCCTCGGGTAACCCAGCACAGTCATGCCCGACCTGCCCGCTGACGCTTCCGCCTGAGTGCCCACTCTGGGCCACAGCCACTCCCTGCACCTCCTCCGTGCCCTGGCCAGGGGGCAGACAGGCCTGCTCATCGGTGCCTAGCCAGGGGCGGTGGTGACGGCTGGGTCCCTGGCCCTACGAGGGACACTAAAGCATCCAGGGCTCGGGAGGGGACAGCAGGCACGGTGCGTGTGGGCCAAGCCTCCAGCCGTCCAGCTCTGAAGCCAAGACCCTGCCCAGGAAGGGGTGCAGCCAGTGATAGGGGGAGGACCCCACCCCATGGGGGCAGACCTTCGCACCCTTAGCGGCCACAGGTGAAGGCCCTGCCTGGGGCCTCTCTGGCCAGGGAGGCCATCCCGAGGACAGAGCAGCGGGCAGTTCCTTGCCAGGCGCCCACAGGCCCCTGCGCCTAATCGGAGCCTTGGGGGTCACCTCAGCTGCCTCTGCTTCCCTGGACTCATAGCAGGGTGCACTGCCCCCTCAGCCACAGAGCCCCAGGCACTCCGGGCAGGGACTGTGCTGCAGCCTGGGCCAGGTGCCTGGGGACACTGTCCATCCTGGCTGCCCACAGCCTTCGGTGCCAGGTGGTCCCCTCCAGGCCCCTCTCTGAGTGGGATGCAGGCTGCAGCCCCTGCACCCTAGGGGTCCCAGGGCCAGGCCGGGCGGGAGGGCGCCTCCCCCACATCCCCCTGCGGGCACTGCCCTGCAAAACATCAAGGGGTTGGTGCCCTGGGCCCAGGCGCGTTCCTGCCCTTCCTGAAGGAAGGCCCACAGCCGGGGGACCGCAGCACCCAGCCCAGGCAGGCAGGGCCTCTCCCACCACCTCTCAGGTCACCTGGTGTCCGAGACACGGCCCAGCCCCCAGCGGAGCCCTGGCAGGGAGTGGCTGGCACAGCGCCGCGGCCTGGGGGCGACCCGGGCCCTGCGCACCCAGGGGCGCCCGAGCTGCCCCAAGGGCCATCGCAGCGACAGCCTGGGGCGCCTGGGAGGAGGGGACCGCGGGGTGCCGGAGGTCACCTCGGTCAGGCCCCGGGCAGAGGGCAGCAGGAGACAGGGATGCGCCCCCCGCCCCCGCCCCGGGCCGGCCCCCCGGTCCCCGCCCGCCGGCCGCCCCGGAGGGCGCGCTGCGGAGGACGGCGGGCGCGTGACTCAGCCCCGCACGCGAGCCCCCTCCCCCGCGCCGCACGTGTCGGGGCGCGCGGCCCCTCACCGGGCTCCGCCGCTTGAGCGTCACGTTCTTCCAGAGCAGCAGCTGCAGCTGGTGCAGGAAGCCCATGGCGGGCCGCGCTCGGGCCCCTCAGCGCCGGGCCCCGCCGCCAGCCGCGCCGCTCGGCATCGCCCGCGCAGGGGAGCGCGCTCGGCGACGGGCACCGGCGCGCCTGGCTCCGCCCCGGCGGCCCGGCCCGCGCCCCGCGCCCGCGCCCCGCGCCCCGCGCCCGCCCGCGCTTAAAGGCGCCGCGCCCGGCTGCGGCTGCGGGCACCGTGCCGAGGGACCCCGCGCCGCCCCGGCCCGCCCCCGGCGGATCTCGCTCAGGTGCTGGCTGGCTGCTGTGTTTTAAAGGCTTTTATTTATTAGGGCGGCAGAACTGCAGAGGAAGGAGAGGGGTCGAGGGAGATCTTCCATGTGCTGGTTCACTTCACAAATAGCCAGGTCCCCCATGCGTACACGGGAGCCCGAGCGCCTGGGCCATCCTCCACACGTTTCCAGGCCATCAGCGGGGAGCGGCACGGCAAGTGGAGCAGCTGGGACTCGAACCAGCATGTATATGGGATGCCAGTCCTGCAGGCAGAGGATTAGCAGGCTACACCACTGGCTGACCCCCAATTTTTATTTTTCTTTAAGCGGGTAGGCAGATCCACGGGGGTGTGCAGCGTGGTTGAGGGGAGTCCTTGCCGCATGTGCAGGCGATGCTGGACAGACAAATGGGTGGGCAGGACTGGGAGCCGGGACGGGGGACCCAGCTCTGCACTGTATTCAGCTCGTCGTCAGAGTGGACGCCAAGGGGGGTCCACTGTAGGGACCGTGGGCAGCGTGAGGCTGGCCAGCCCTGCAGGGCACGGGGAGCAGCCCCTGGCTGCCTGTGTCCTGGGCAGGGCACTCGGGTCGGCGGGCACGGGGAGCAGCCCCTGGCTGCCTGTGTCCTGGGCAGGGCACTCGGGTTGGCGGGCACGGAGAGCAGCCCCTGGCTGCCTGTGTCCTGGGCAGGGCACTCGGGTGGCGGCAGGAGCAGCCCCTGGCTGCCTGTGTCCTGGGCAGGGCACTCGGGTTGGCGGGCACGGAGAGCAGCCCCTGGCTGCCTGTGTCCTGGGCAGGGCGCTCGGGTCAGTCTGCCAGGCCCAGGAGGCCCTGCAGGGCAAGGAGGAACACCTCACCGTCTGGCCGGCAGAGGGCAGGCGCCCCAGGTTGAGGGGCCACCTTCCAGCCTGCCCTTCCTGCACCCACCTTAGGGTCGGCCTGTCCTGGCCCCCCGGGGAGCCTCCCCCTCCCTGCACCTGGCTGGCACCAGGGCTCTGGGTAGTCTGAGGGGCGTGGACAGTGAGCAGGATCCAGGCAGGGCGCAAAGCTGCAGCGGAGAGGGGAGGACACAGCTGACAGGTGAGCCCAGCTTCCGGCCGCAGGCCCCACTCGAGCCCCTTTCCTTCCTCTCTGGCTGCTGGCCCTCGTCCTGTGTGGTGGACCGTGGCTTCCCATGACGCAGGTGTGCCCTCTAGGGCTGGTCCCGGGTTCTCCCCACCCACCTTGGGCAGGCTGTCCCCCAGCCCCGAGGGCCTTGCCTCCACGCCGGGTGGGCCAGGCCTGGACTCAATCAGTTCTCGCTCCAGGGGAAGAGGGAACTGGCTCCCTGGGGTCCGGCCTCTCCCTGCAGACACCTGCTCCCCCCTTTCCACCCTCTGCGGCTTCCTGGCTCCAGCCCCAGCCTACCTGTGGGTGGCTCAGCCCCGGAACCAGCCGTCCAGGTCCTCGTAGACCTGGTCGCGGGGCAAGTGGGGGAGACGGGCACAGATGGCGCAGAAACGCTCTCGCCAGTCAGCAAGCAGCTGCACGCGGAGCTGGCCCCGCCAAGCAAAGAAGCGCTGGTAGTGGCTCTCGTTCATGCCAATCAGAAAGGTGGCCAGCTCAAGGGCCGAGCCAAAGTCGTCCACATGAATGAAGGCGTCCCCGGGCACGAAGGCCTCATAGGTGGCACGCGGGGGCCCCAGGACCACGGGCACGGCACCAGCTGCCAGTGCATTGCGCCAAAACTTCTCGGTGATGTAGTCACGGTGCTGTGAGTTCTCGAAGGCCAGATAGAAGTGGTAAGGGGCCAGCGTGGGCAGCAGGCAGCTGGGGCAGAGCGGCCGCCGGCTGGCACGGCCGAACACGTCCACCCGCAGGTGCGGCGCCAGCTGCCGGTACAGCTGCACCCGCCGCTGCCGCTCATGGAAGTTGCTGATCACCCAGGCGGCCAGGCGGTTCTTGGCGGGCAGAGGTGGCGCGGGCCCCTGGCGTGGCTCCAGGCGACCATAGGGCACAAAGATGTCCGAGTCTCGCCGGTAGCTCAGCACCCAGTTGAAGATGCCACGCAGACGGTGGAGGCCGTGTGTGTGGCTGGGGGACTCCATGGAGGCCCACACCCAGGGCTGCCCACGGGGCCGCTGCGCCAGGGGCAGGTAGCTTCTTCGTGTCTCCAGCTCACGGTGATGGAAGACCACAACGTCAGCGCTGGCCAGCAGGCTCCGGTTGGTGCTTAGGTGGCAATGTGCCAGGCCATAGGGAGCACAGGTGTCTCGGGACAGCTCCGGGGGCTGGGCTGTGAAGGGCCAGTGCCAGACCAGGATGGTAACTGTAGGCTGGGGTGCTGGGGCACGCCCCGGGGCCAGCTGCAACAGCCGTGCAAGCCAGAGGAGCAGGGTCAGGGCCACCCCAGCCAGGCCCCTCCAAGCCCATCGCCTCCAGGTGGAGCTAAACACTGCCGGGGGAGGAAGAGAAGGCCGGTATCCCGGGGGGGCACAGCCCCCTGGGCCCCAGCACCCCATATGGGTCAGCCCACGCTCAGACATACACAGGCCCCAGCACACACACCCTGGTTCGCCCGGGCTGGGGGACACCCCTGGGCCCCAACATACTGCCCATGGGTCAGCCGGGCTGGGGGGACACCCCTGGACCCCAGCATACTGCCCCCTGCATCATCCGGGCTCAGGGATACCCCTGGACCCCAACACACAAGCCCCTGGGTCCAGTGCCCCATATAGGTCAGCCTGTGCTCAGACATACACAGGCCCCAGTACACACCCTCTGGGTCACCCGAGCTGGGGAACACCCCCGGACCCCAGCACACCACCCCCGGGTCAGCTGGGCTGGGGAACACCCCTGTGCCCCAGCACACCGCCCCCTGGGTCACCCAGGCTCAGGGATACCTCCGGGCCCCAGCACACGGCCCCCTGGGACACCCCTGGGCCCTAGCACACCGCCCCGTGAGTCAGCCAGGCTAGGGGACAACCCCAGGCCCCAGCACACTACCCCCTGGGTCAACTGGGCTGGGAAACACCCCTGGGCCCCAGCACACCTCCCCTTGGGTCACCCAGGCTCGGGGACACCCCTGGGCCGTAGCACGCCGCCCCGTGAGTCAGCCGGGCTAGGGGACACCCCCGGGCCCCAGCACACCACCCCCTGCGTCACCCAGGCTCAGGGATACCCCTGGGCCCCAGCACACTGCCCTGTGGGTCAGCCGGGCTGGGGGGCAGCCCTGGGCCATCATATAGCTGCTCTCCAACCCATGGTTTCCCCGAGGCCCACTCACCAGCATGGCTCATTTGTTGCGCCCAAAGTCTAAGATTCTCAAATCACAGCACAGCAGCCGGGTGCCCGGGCAGTCAGTGTCTCATCTGTGCAAGGTTAGGGAGCCACGGCCTTCCTGCCCCGCCCGCCCCGCCCCGACCACCACTCCCCGCCCCCAACCCTCTGTCTCCAGACCTCAGGCTGCTGGGAAGCAGCCAGGCCCAGGGCAACAGGCCAGGGTGGGGACCTTGGCCTAGGCCACCCCGGCCCCTGCTGCCCCTCTGCTGCCCCCTACCCACCTGCGCCACCTCCAAGAACCGCCTGGTGCCTAGGGCCCAGAGACCCTGAGAAGGAGCTGACGCTCCATGGGTGGGGGGCTGTGGGTCACGCCCCAGACCCCCTCCCCGAGGCTTCAGCATGAGGGGCTTTCCAGGGTGGAAGGGGAAGGGGTCGCCCTGTCCCTGACACAGCCGGTGGCGGGCGGGGGCAGGCGCCAGTGCTGGGGACAGGAAGGTCGTCTGGCTTGCTCTGCGGCCAGCCTGGAGCCTCAAGGGCTGGGGCCTCACCCTCCTCTGGCTGCTGGGAGCCAGGGTGCAGCCGCCAGGAGCAGTTGGGTCCGGCAGCCCTGCAGAGTTCCCCTCCTGGCTCAGCAACTGCCGGACGACTGGTGTGGCCCCTGCCCCCCACTCCCCTGCCTGTTCCCCGTCGACCGTTTGGCCACCTCACGGCACTGCATAACCCCAGCCTGCGGTGACTGCTTGTGCAACGTCCAGGGCGGGGAGGGGGCTGTGGGAACAGTGGGGCCCATCCGGTACAGGGCGAGCTGGCACCACCCTGGGAGGGGGCAGTCACGGTGGCACCTGGAGGTGGGTGTGGGGACCCCAGAAGACTCCACCCCACCCCCATCCCCCCAGGCGGTGTGCCCAGCAGGTGGCAGGGGCCTGCCGGAAGGAGGTGACCCAGCTGCAGCCTGGGTGACCCGGCCTTGGGCTGCCAGAGCCTGCCATCCTTCCTGTTTGTGCTGCCAGCCAAGCTGGAGCCCGCCACAGGCCTCCCCCACCCCCCACCCCCTGTCTCCCACACAGCCCGCTCCCTTCCTGGGTGGGCTCACGGAGCCACGCCACCCCCGCCCAGGACTGGCTGTCTTATCACAGAAGTGCCAGCTCAGCCTGGCAGGGGGAGGGGGCGTGGGAACCTGCAGGCTGGCAGATGGGGCTCTGAGAAGTGGGTCAGAATGAAAGAAGGAAGAGCTGAGGTGAGAGCATGACTCAGATGGAGAGCCGGGGTGGGGGGCTGGTGGAGCACAGGGGCACACTGGCACGGGCGGGTACTCGACCCAGCCCTCACGGGGACGCTGGCTGAGGGCCCCACGTAAGGGCTGTCAGGACTCCTGGGGCACCAGGTGAGTGCACCCCTGTCCAGGTCCCCCCAGGACCCAGGCACAGCCGGGCTGCTCGCTCTTCCTGCCGCTTGGGCCGGGCCAGGGCCAGACGTGGGTCGTGAGGGCCCCCTGGTGGCTATGGCCGACGCTGCCCACTGGACCCTTGGGGAGGTGGGTGCCTGGAGGCTGCGGGGCGAGGCGGTACAGGTGCAGTGTGCTGGCGCCAGCAGGTGAGGTGGTCCCCTCCCACCAAGCCTGGGGAGGGTCTCCAGGGATCTGCAGCGACACCCTGGCCCTTTCGGGTCTGCACCAACACCCCTCCCCCGACCCTGTGACACTCAGCTGACATTCTGGGACCCCAGCCAGCACCCCAGCCAGCAGGACTGGGCCTGCAACACTGGGGGCCCACACCACCTAGGGACTCGCTGCCTCCGCCATCTGTTGCCTGCATTTGACTGGGCTGGAGACATCTGAATGGCCATGCATCCACCAGGGTCGGTGCCAGGGTGCTAGGAGCAGGGAGATGGCCGAGGCCCTGGTGGGAAGCAGCACTGCCCACTGGGCCTGCTTTGGCCAGGGACTCAGCCACGGGGCGACAGAAGGCTTCCTCCTGGGCAGGAGCCCTGGGGCCGGTGGTGAGCTTCTGGGCTTCAGGGACAGGCACCTCTTGCAGGGTCTCCAGTCACTGCCAAGTTCAGGCAGGGTGTCCCAGAGTGGGCTGCCCCTGCCCTGGACAGTCCCCTCCTGGCCAGGCTTCCAGGAGTGGGCAGCCGGAGCCCTGGTATGCACTTGAGGCCCCATGAGACGGGACAGACTGGAGGGCGCCATGCCAGGCTGTTGCCCTCGGCCTGGGGGAGGGGCTCTGGGCTCTTGATGCCTCCTCCTGCAGCTCAGGTGAGTGGCAGGGCGCTCGCATGGGCAAGGTGGGTGGTGGGCACCTTCCCTGCCCTTCTTCCAGTCTCCCGCAGCAGCCAGGGGCCCATGAAGGCTCAAATCGCAGCAACAGAGCAGGGGCATAGGAAGCGGGTCCCCAGATCTGGGCTGGCCCCCAGACGCTGCTCAGGGCAAGCCAGGGCAGGACTGCTGCTCCCAAGTGGCTCAGACCTCCAGGGGCAGTAGCCCCCCACAGCCAGCCAACAGGGGGCTGGCCCTGCACCTCTGCCCACTCAGTGACCCTGGCCAGATGCGGGAAGGGCAGCCCCCAGCTCCAGGTGCTCCAGGCCCTGCGAAGCCCACCCTGCCCCACCCCTGCCTGCTGTCCCCCAGCGGGCATGGAGTAGGCCCGGCTTCTGTCCTCAGGGCAGGGCCCTGCCAAAATGTCCTGGGGTCCCCTGTGGAGGCAGCGGCTTCTCCAAGGGTGTTGAGTCTCTCAGCAGGAGACCCTGGCCCCCATGAGGGATGGGGCACACAGGCAAGGTGGGCACCTGGCCTCTACTGGCTCCACAAACCCTACAGTGCCCCAGCTGTGCCTGTCCCCGCGGGTCCCCGCACCCGGTTCCCCCACACAGAACACACACACAGGCGCACCGTCCGAACCTGGTTTTTTAATGGGAAACGCCAGGCCCGCCCCACCCGTGGGCCCCGCGGGACTGCCTCGGTCGGGTCACTGCGGCACGGGCGGCGAGGTGGGATCGAACAGCGGGTTGCGCACTTCCATCTCCCCGGTCTGCGGAAGCCAAGGGGGCGTCAGGCGGCTGCGCACCCAGGGGCGCCCGGCTGCCAGCGCCCCCGGCTGCCCGCGCCCCCGGCTGCCCACGCGCCCGCACTCACCGGGGCCAGCCCCGGGCACTCATACACCGTGAAGTCGCAGTCTTCGTTCTCCTCGTCCGACGAGGCCGAGTCCAGCTCCTTGGCCGGCTCTTTGTGCCTGGGTGGGTGGGGGGGTCGCTGGGTCCCGAGTGGGGGCGGGCGGGGACGGGGGAGGCGGGCGGGGCAGGGGGCTCGCGGGCGCTCACCGCTCCAGGCTGAGCATCTGCTGCCGCTGCCGCTGGAAGTGGAAGAGCTCGGCGCAGTGCGCCAGCCGCTGGTCACCAGGCTGCGGGAGAGGCGCGTTAGGGTGGGCGCAAGGGGCCGGACGCGCGGGGGCGCAAGGGGCGGGCCACGCACCGAGATCCGCGGTGTGGCGGGCGAGCCCGGCGCCTTCGTGGCGGCGTAGTCCACCTTCTGAGCCAGGCGCATGTCCCGCTGCAGCCTGTGGACACACAGCGCAGTGGGCAGGGCGACCTGGAGCCCGGTGGCCTCCACCAGCCCCGCACGCGGCCTACTTACCTGCACCAGCAAAGGGCAGCCATAGCGAGCGCGGCCACGCCTGCCACGCAGAAGCCCACGACCAGCACTGCGGGGGGTAGTGGAGAGGTGGCTCACCTTGCACACACACCTCCCCTCTCCCGCGGACCAGGCGCCCAGCCCGTCTGTGTCACCTACCGAGGGCCAGCGCGTCACCCCGCTGGCCGGGGTGCTCCAGCCGGGACACCTGTACAGGCCCAGAAGACGCAGGTGGGCCCAGGGAGCTATGCGATGCAGGGGTGGGGGCTGCAGGCGTCACGGGCAGGCCGGGCCTGGGCCCTGGGGCCAGCTCTGAGAAGCCCGGGGTGGCTGCAGGGAAAGAACACTTAAGGAGACGCTCCAGGGTCGAGGGGGCGAGGCAGCAGGGCTAGGGTCTCACCAGGCTCCTCTGACAGGGGTCCACCCGAGGCCCTCGGGGGCCCCGCCTCCTTCCGCGCCAGCTCCTGGGCCAGGAGGTCAATCTCATCTTCTAGTCGCGGTGGGAGTGGTCCCTCCCCTGTGGGGTAGGGGGTGTCAGGGGCCATCTCTCCCAGGGAGGGGGAAGTGGACCCGTCCCTGTGGGGTAGGGGCTGTCAGGGGCCACCTCTCCCAGGGAGGGGAGGCGGACCCTCTCCTGCAGTGTGGGTGGGCCGTCAGGGCCCATCTTTCCCCAAGGGTCTTCCACAGCTGAAGTGCTCTGTGAGGGGGCAGCCCTGGGCCTGGCTGCTGGCACTGGTAGCCCTAGCCTGCAGGCTGCTGGGCATCCCAAGCCACCATGGGGGAACCTCCCAGGGAGACTGGGGGGTATAGCAAGGGGTGGGGGCACAGGGTCCGCAAGGGACAGCTGCCTCCCCGCCTGGGGGCCACCTAGCTTCCACCACTCCTCAGGAGGGCAGGGTGGGGGCCTTCCAGGTAGACACAGCATAGCTTCCAGCACCTTCCACCAAGGCCCCCTGCCAGGACTCAGGGGTCCCTGGGGGCCACACACACCAGGCACCTCAAGGTCAGCCCCCTGACTCCTGGAGCCCGTCCCATGAACCACAGACCCAGAGGAGGGGGTTCCTCTGCTCCTGCCCGCTGACACCCTGGCCCAGCCTTGAGCCTGATCACCCCACAACACACTGGGGACCCACTGGCCCCTGCCGAGGCTGGAGCACATACCAGGGGGGCGGTGCGCCCGGGACACGCATCGGCCCTGGGAGTCCTCGTGGAAGGGTTGCAGGCAGGGCCCACAGGCGTGTGCTCCAGGGGGACACCGCGCACGCCTCTTGAGGGTGCAGTCCAGGCTCCGGGGACAAGTGGCCGCATCTGGGGAGGAAGCACAGGTCACACTCCGTCTGCCTGGCCACAGGACTGGCCGCCCAGGCCCCACTCCAGCCATTGTCCTGGGCAGGCCCCTCCTCTCCACAGCCCGCCTGAACCAGGAAGCCAACAGCGGCCGCCTGTGGAGCCGCCCAGGTTTCCTTGCCCAAGTCCTCCCTCCAGCCTGGGCCAGGCAGGCCCCAGCGGCCCTCCAGAACGGCGCCTAGCCACTAAGTGCCCGGAGCAAGGCCAGTGTGCCCGTGCCGTGGGCCCAGCTCTCCCTCTGGCTCAAGATGAGAGGTGACACATGCCTGCTCACCCTTCCCCCCACACCAGGGCTCCCCAAAGCCCACCGGGCCCTGGTGGAGTCCATTGTACCAGCCGGCTGCCACCCCCATGCCTACAAGCCTCTGGTAGAGCCCAGGGCAGGCCGGGGGGGCTCACCCGCTGCCAATCTAGGGCCCAAGCTGGGGGTCACCCCGCCGCCACAGCACCAGGACCCTGGAAGCCCTAACCCTAACCATACTCCCATTCCTGGAGACACCACCCCACTCCTCTGGGGTCCAGCCTGCCACAGGCGGTCGGGGGCACCCTGGGGACCACCAGGGCCTTTTTTCCCAGGCCCCCCACTGGGGATGGGATGCCTGGTTTCCTGGATGCCTGGCCTGCTTGGTTTCCTCGGAGACTTGACACTGCACAGCCCCCGGCTGTAGGCCTGCCAGTGGGTGGCGGGCACAGGCCCTCAGGCCGGCACCTGCCCTCCCCAGCCTGGGTCACTAGTGGGCCGGGCCCAGGGTTCCGGCAAGTTAAACATTAAGCCTCTGCGCACAGACCCACCTGGACCCCACCCACCAGCTGGGCCCTCCCAGGTGCTGACAACCAGGAGTTCCCCAGGCCCGGAGTGGGGGCTCCATGGAGATAAGCAGCAGCGGCAGCCACTGCCCTTTCACTGCGGGCCCCACGCAGCCACTTTGTCCACAGGGGCCTCGGTTTTCCGCTCTCTAAAGGTGGGCCAACAGCCCCTCCTTTGGGCGAACAGGCACCATCCCCAGGCCTGCACCTGGGGCAAAGGCGGGCGTGGTCCTGCGGACCCTGGCTTGGCTTCATCCTGAGGGGGTGCCCTCCCAGGCAGGAAGCAGCCCTATGAGTGGGCGGAAGCTGGCACAAGACCCCCGAGGCAGGGGCAGGCTGCGCAAGGCGCCCTCGCAGCCCTCAGACCCTGCCTGCCAGCACGGCCAGGGGCGCCCGCATCCCGACCCCAGAGCAGACGTGGGCGTCTGGCCAGCGAGCGCCCAGCCTGGGAGGCCCACAGCGATGGACCCCCGGCCCCAGACAATGCCCGCTGGCAGCCGAGAGAGGGCCCAGCGGCAGCACCCCTGCGCGGCCGGGCCGCTGTACCCGCTCATCCCGGGCCTGCGGGGCCGGGCCCGGTGGCAGGGCCGCCGCGCACCGCGTCCCTGGGCGCGCTCGCTCACCCGCGCGGCCGGCGGCGGCTGCGGAGGCCCCGCGCAGGGCCGCGCCGAGGACCAGGCCGGAGAGCAGCAGCCGCAGCAGCCGCAGGTGCCGCGAGGAGGGCGGAGGCACGGGCGTCGCCATCGGTCAGCGCCGCCGCCGGGGCAGCATGGCACCGCGCGGCCGGGGCTCGGCGCGCCTGGGGGGCTGCGTCCGGAGAGGCCGAGGCGCGGGAGGAAGAGGAGGCGGAGGCGCTGACGCTGCGGCAGATCCGGGTGCGGGCGCGCGGAAGTGCGCCTGCGCGCTGCACCTGCGGGGCGGGCTGGCCGATGGCTGCGCCGCCCCCTCTCCCGCCGGCTGCGCCCCTCTCCCGCCGGCTGCGCCCCCTCTCCGGGGCCGCCCCAAAGGCCGGCGCCGGAGTCCCGTCCCGCACCGCCTCCTCGCGCCCCTGATGTCTGGCGGGGTCCTGGCGCCGGGTGCGCCCCCTCCTCGGCTCCGCCTCCACCGGCGCGCGGGCCGAAAGTGTGAGACCCCCCAACAGCAGGTGCGCCCCGGTTCTGACGTCATCCGGGCGGGGTCCTCGGCCGCGGCGCTCTCGGGGGTGCCGCCAGAGGGCAGGAGTGACGCTGAGAGCTGGGAGCTGTCCAAGGTGGCCCTGGTCCCCGGGGAGCTGACCTCGCCCCTGCGCCACCCCTGCTGCTCCGCACGCCGGAGACCCCCGAAGTCCCCAACTCCAAAGCTGGGGCCGCACGGGCAGTGGCAGCCCCTCCCCAACACTCACCATACACCACAGGCTTCTCCCAGGAAACGGGGGGTAGGGGAGAAGCAACGGGACCCCCAGCTCCCAGCCTGGAGCCTTCTAATGGTACAGAAGGCTGAGCAGGCCCCTTTGGGGGTACAGGAAACCCAGGACACGAGGAGGACAGGGTGCTGCCCTGCGTGGGGTGGGAGCCCAATTCTGATCTCACCCGAGCAGCAGCCCCCCGCCCACAGCCTCACTCCTGTGTGGGCCTGTGAACGGTGGGGGCCAGCACTGCCCAGGGCCCCAGAAAGGCAGCAAGCAACACGAGCCACAGTGGCACCCAGGGGACCCGCGCAGCTGGAGAGACGGGGCGGTCCGCGGCGCTCGACTGGAATGTTTTATTAGCAAACTCTGGAGGCCCCGCCCCAGCCCCAGGCCGAGGGGTCCTCCCCCACCCCCCGGGAAGAGGAGAGCCGAGTCTGAGGCCAACGGGGCCTCCCCGCCTACTCCGGCGTCCTGCCAGCGGGGAAGGGGGTCCCGGCCCGCGGGCGGCCTTGGGGGCTGGTCGCTGCAGGTGCGGTGCAGTGCGGGGACCCCCAAAGCCCACCCCGGCGTTCCGCCAGCGGGGTCCCCGACCCTAGAGGGCGCTTGGCGACTTGGCGGCGCGCGCCTGGCGCAGCCCCAGGACCAGCGCGGCCAAGAGCGCGGCGGCGAAGAGCAGGAGGAGAGCGACCCAGGCGCCGGGAGCCGTGGCCTTGCGCAGCACCGGCGCGTCGGCGGGCACCAGGTTGGTGAGGTTCAGCATGTAGCCAAGCGCCCAGCCCACCGCTGTGTCCGCGGCCTGTGGGCGGGGGGCGCGGCCTCAGCTGCCGGGAGATGCCACCCCCGCACGCCCCTACCCTGGCCCCGGCGCTCACCTGCTTCTGGAAGGCCAGGCCGCCGAAGGAGCGCTCGTCGAAGCCGTAGCGGCTCAGCAGTTGCTGCACGAACGTGGCGACTGCGCAGTAGTCGGCCAGGCGGGCACGCTGCCTGGGCGCCCGGGTCTGCAGCTGAGACGCCGCAGGGATACCGTGGGGCTGCGGGCCTGCTGTGCACCCCATGCCCACGTGCCATGGCCTCCCTCAGGGGTGGACAGCCTGCCACGTCGAGGGCAAGAGTGGAGGAGTGTGCGCTCCAGACCTAGGTGGTGGGCCCCAGGGGTGTCTCCCAGGTTCCCTGATGTGGCCCACGCCTTCTGGAACCCAGGGTGTGGCAGCCAGGAGCCCTGGGCCCTCCCTGTTGGGAGCTGACCCCCTCACCTGTGGCCAGGTCAGGTTGCAGGTCGTCTCCACCGCGGCCTCCAGCTGCTGCAGGGTTGCCAGCGGCAGCCCCAGCTGTGACTTCAGGAACTCCACGGTGTAATAGAAGGCTGAGAAGGCCTGGGAGGCAGGTGGAGGGGAGGGCACAGTCACGCAACAGCGGCTGCCTTGTCTGGGGCAGCTGCCCCAGCCCGCGGCCTAGACTCACTATGAAGTTACCAGCCACAGGGGGCTGGAAGACGCCGTCGAAGGAGCAGCGGGAGAAGCCGCAGGGAGGGGAGCTGAAGAGCCGGGAGACCAGGGCGCGGCAGAGGGCCGGGCTGCCGGAGCCCTGCAGGACCACCTCCTCGCTGGTGTTGAAGGGCGGGGGCTGTTGCACGCAGGGCGCTTGAAACACGTCCCCCACCAGCACACGAGTGGAGTAATCGCGGGGCCAGCAGGGGTGCAGCCTGTGGGTCTGGGGGAGACCGGCTGCATGCGGCACCGCTGACCCCAGTGAAGACCCCCACCCGTGATGCTCCGGCACTGCCCAGTGTCACGTGGGCAGCACCACTCGGTGCTCAGGACACACGGGGCACCCCCACCCCAACCTCACCCTGGGCCAGTGCTCATGAGGGCTCCCTCCACTCCCAGGATGGCCATGGTCGGGGAGCGGCGTGGGCGGGCACCTGGAGGGCATGGGCCAGCAGCCTCCGCAGGACCTGGTCGCGGCCATAGCACAGGTGACTGTGCGTGTAGACTCGGTAGTGCTGGCCGTAGAGCCTCAGGTGGACCTCACCAGCAGGGTCCTCCACCGGGCCCGCCGTCTCGAACGTGATCTGTGTGGAGGCCCCGCCCAGGTCCAGGGCCCCCAGCGTCCCCTTCCGGGGCCGGAACCAGCGGCCCACCCAGCCGTACTGCCAAGGAGAGCGCAGCAGGGTCAGCCAGGGCAGGTGCCCAGGTTGCCCGGGGACTGCCCAGATCGGCTGCCTGCCTGCCACCCACCTTGATGAAGTTCTCCAGGAGGTAATTGGCTGTCACCCAGCCAAACACGCCCTCGTCCTGGCCAGAGAGGATGCGTGCCCCGCGGAAGTCAAAGGGGAACCGTGCCAGCACCTGTGACACGGCGGCTAGCACCTGGGCCGCGACCTCCGGATGGCTCAGGCTGCAGAATGCCGTGGCTGTGAGGGCCTCGCCCTGTGGCCCATCTGTCCCGGGGTCTGCCTGGCCCAGGGGTGTGGGGAGGGCTTCGTGGGAGCCAGGGTGCAGCCAGGGGCAGGGGGCACACTCACTTGAGCAGGCGCATGCCGGCCGTGGCTCCCAGATAGAGGGGTGTGCCCGCGTGACTCTCCCGGGGCACATCACGCAGTGCCTGCTCCAGGCATCCCACAAGGCTCTGGCCGGCCCCGGCGGGGTTGTCGGCGTAGCTGGAGATGCCCCCACCTACGGGGAGGCAGAAGGTCCCTCCCGGTGGGTGGAAGGCCAGGACCTGGCCAGTGGTAGTTGGACTCAGCTCAAGCTCACAGAGGGACCCAAGTGCCACCAGTGTTCGATGCTGCTGTCGGCCTGGGCGCGTGACACAGGTGCCAGGACAAAGCACTGGCCTCATTCTCCTCACCGTCCAACTCCGCTGGGCGGGCTGCCTGGGGCTCCCTCTCTGGAAGGCACCAGTGCCCGCAGCCCTGCCTGGTCCCACCAGGAGTGGGTCACCAGGCTCAGTGGCATCAGATGGGGGGCTTCACCTGGAACATGGCAGGAGCTGTGCTGGCTCACAGCTCAGGGCCTGGCTGCGGGGAGGGCCCTGGCTGCGGGGAAGGCCTGGCTGCGGGGAGGGCCTGGCTGCGGGGAGGGCCTGGCTGCGGGGAGGGCCTGGGGCGGGCGGGGGGAGGCTTCACCTGGAACATGGCAGGAGCTGTGCTGGCTCACAATGCCGGTGCCATTCTCCTTGTCCGCTGGCCACTTGTACACGAACATGGACGTGTGGGAGGAGCCAGCGTCCAGGACGATGCCGTACTGGGGGCGTGGTGGGGAGTGGAGCGCAGTCAGCCCAGCCCGACCCTGAAGGTTCCCACCCATGCCACCAGAGCCAAGAAGGCCTGAGATGGACATGGCCACCACACAGAAGCGCCGGGAGAGGCTGCAAGCAGGGGATGGGAGCCTGGGCAGAGTAGCTCCCAGGCCTCAGGCTGTGCCCTGCCCAGCACAGAGCATGGGCGACCACATGTGGGGCTTCCTGGGGCAGGAGGTGATGGCCTGCCCTGACGTCTAGGAGCCCACCCCGAGCGGGGATGTGGCCGGGCCCAAGGGGTGGCTCTACAGAGCGCAGGCTGGGCAAGCTGTTGCACGGGTTGCCCCGACATTAGGACTCCGGGGAGGGGTCGGCTGGACGGCTGCCAATCCCACTGCTGGGCGCGGCCCTCCGGGCACCGCTCCCCTGCGCCCCGCGAGGGAGCCCGGAATTTGCAGCTCTGAACATGCTGGGTTCTCCGCGCTCCCGCCCACACAGCCCTCACGGCGCGCTCCGCACAGGCATAGTAACGGGTTAAAGCAGCGGCCCGCCCGGTAGCGGGAGGCTCCCGGGCTGCAGCCAGGCCACCCCTCGAGGACAGCTCGCGTCCAGCAGGCGGGGCGGGGTCCCTGGGCCCCGGCCCCTGTCGTTCCCCATCCGGTCAAACTGCAGAGGCACAGGGCAAGGATGGCACCCACGCGCGGGCTGCGTCCCGGGGGCAGCGGGGATGGTGCCCGCGGGTTCTCGGGATTTGGGCCTCGGCTCCGCGTCGCCCCAGAAGCGCCACCACCCCGTGGGCCCAGCCGGGAGCGGAGCGCCGCAGCCCCGAGAGCCCACCCGGCCCGGGCTGGCGGCTCCCAGGGCGCGTTCCCCGCGTGCACCTTGAAGGCTGCAGGCTCCTGGACGTCGCGGGTGGAGACGCACAGCAGCAGCAGGCCAGCGAGGCCCGCGGCGGCCAGCAGCAGCCACGGCAGCAGCAGGGGCAGCACCTTCCCGGCCATGGGCGGGCGCGTGGGAGCGCAACGCGGGGAGCTGGGGGCTGCGGGCAGCGGGAGGCCGAGGCTGCCCGCCGGGGTAGACGCCCGGGGTGGGGCGCCGGCGGGTTCCGCCCCCCGGATCCCGCCCCGAGCGCCGCCCCCGTCACGCAGGCAGGTGCGGGGCGCCCCGCGACCGAGTCTCGCGCGCCTGGTCTGGGCGCCCGAGGCGGGGAGGGGCAGGACTCCCGAGGCGGTGGGCCGCGCGGACTCGGGGCCTGGACGCCCCCACGTTTCCCCCGGCTAGCTCCAGGCTTGTGAACAGCTCCTGGCCGCTCGGGCCCCCGCTCCTTGCGCGCCTCCCTGGGCGAAGTGGAAATTCCAGCACAGGGCGCGCCAGCGGGCGGTGGGGCCGCGCGAGGCGGGACCACCAAGGGGTGCTGGGGGCGGGGGATGGCCTTGGCTGGGGGCAGAGCCAGGCAGTGGCGGCCGCCTGGGACCGCTGCCCGGCCCGGGGGTCTGGTTCCTCGCAGGCCTAGCAAAGGCGGCTTTCTTCTCGCTAGGACCCCGCGGGGAGGGATGGGCGCCCCGAGAGGCCACTCCGCCTGCTCCCGCCCCACCCAGGGCTCCGGGCCCCATTTTCCACCAGCATGCCCTCCCCCACCGGGCCCGGCCCTGTCTGTAACCCTGAAAGTCCAGACAAGGGACAGACCCGGGTCCCCCAGGGTCAGCAGCCCCCGCCCCCACAGCTGTGTACGAGGGGGTGGCTCCGGGCCACTGTGTTCTTGGAGGGAGCACGAGGCCCGGCTCCCAGGACCGGGCAGGAAGCGGGCTGGGCCTCGGGGAGCGGGATTCTGGCTGAGCGTGCAGCGGGGCCGCTGAGAACGGCCCTCCGAGGCAGGGAGGCATTCTGCAGGGGGCCAAGGGAAAACCCTGACTCCAGGCGGACAGGTGCAGGGCGTGGCCCTCTGAGCAGACTCTGGGCTGGGCCACGCCACTGCCAGCTCGTTGGGGAGCCCTTGCCGCGGCCCCCAGCCATGGGGTCAGGATGCTCCTGGCAGCCCCCTGAGCCCTCTGGGTGGCCTCAGCCCTGGGCGGCCACTCCTTTGCACTGTTTGCGTGCTGGGCGTTGAGCTGGCGTTGCACGCTCACAGACAAGGCTTGTTTACTTTGCATTTGAAGGCAGAGCATCAAAGAGCTTCTGCGGTTTTCCTTCTAAATGGCTCCAACTCCTGAGGAGCCGGGAGCTTCCTCCTCGGCCCCAGCACTTAGCCCAGCAGCCGCGGCTTTCCCAGGCCGTCGGCAGGAAGCTGCTTTGGAACTGGAGCACGGAGGACTCAAACCAGCGCCCTTATGGGATGCCGACATGAGCAGTGGCTGAGCTTGCAGCGCCACGGTGCAAGCCCACAGGCTGTATTTGTGAGCTTGGCTCCTGCTGACATGGGGCAGCCGGTGTCACGCATGCTGGGGCCTCTGCTGCATGCCGCGTGGGACCTGGGGCCAGCTGGGACACATGTGCCTCAGCCCTTCCTGCAGGCGCCAGGAGCAGCTGCCTGTGCTCCACCCTCGCTGGCAGCTGCCAGCTTTCCTTCTAGCTGTTAGAGAGGGATACTCCGTTTGCTATTCACACCCTAAGCACCCATAGCAGCCGGGGCTGAAGTCGGGAGCTTCATCCGGGTCTCCGCTGTGGGGGCAGGGGCCCGTCCTCTGCTGCTGTCCCGGGGTATCAGCAGGGAGCTGGAAGGGGAGCAGCTGGGGGGCTCTGATGGGGGTGAGAATGCTGCCTGCGGTGGCCTAGCTTGATGCACCCCAAGGCATGTGTGAGACCCAGAAGAAGCTCCCAGCTCCTGGCTTCAGATCAGCTCAGCTCTGGCATTGTGTTCAGCAGATGGACGGTCTTTCTGTCTCTCCTCTCTGTAAATCTGCCTTTCCAATAAAAATTTGAAAAAACGAACCCAAATCCGCTCCATCTGAACACCAGCCCCCTGGCAGACACACCCGGGGTGGGAAGGCTTTGTCTGTGAGCCCTACCCACCACTCCCTGGCAGGGACCCGGCCCACCCCCTCCCCCGCAGGGACCCGGCTCACCCCCTCCCCCACAGGGACCGCCCGGCCTCCAGGCAGCCTGGGTGGATCCCCCCCAGCACCATTGTTGGCTGTTTGGGGACCAGATGAGTCATGTTCTGTGATGTCACCCAAGCATCCGCGGGCTTTGCGCCCAGCCCTGCGGCCACCTGGCAGTGGAGTGTGTGGAGATGAGGTCAGGGCCCCAGGACCCTGCTCTCACTGTCCCCTCAGCCCCCTGTCCTGGGCACTCAGCCAGAGCCCCAGGCCCATTCCTCATCTGCCTCAACTCCTCCACTTTCTGGAATGTTCTAGGCTCTTCGTGCTCCCACTGGCATTTCAGAGCCATTTTCCAGGAAAAAAAATCGACGGGGCTTCCCGCAGGGATTCCATCAGTCGACTGCAATGAGTGAGAAAATCCTGACCTCTTTAAAAGACTGAGCCTTTACCCAAAGTACACGAGTACGGCCTACCTCTGCTTCTTTACAAGATTTATTTATTTTCACTAGAAAGTCAGATTTACAGAGAGGAGGAGAGTCAGGAAGATCTTCTATCTGGTGGTTCACTTCCCAAGTGGCTGCAACAGCCGGAGCTGAGCTGTGATCTGAAGCCAGGAGCTTCTGGGTCTCCCCGTGAGCCACGTGCCGCCCGGGGTGCAGGTGCCTGCTCCTGGCCTTGGCCTGGGCCCCCGTGAGCCACGTGCCGCCCGGGGTGCAGGTCCTGGCTCCTGGCCTCGGCCACGTGCCGCCCGGGGTGCAGGTGCCGGCTCCTGGCCTCGGCCCAGCCCCAGCTACTGCAGCCACCTGGGGAGTGAGCTGACAGACTGCTTGGTCTCTGTCTCTCGCTGTGATCTGAGCAAGTGGGGCTGACTGGGAGGCCTTGCTGTTGCTGCTGTGCCCTAGTCATGTCCGAGGCTCACACCATCGATCACAATGTTTGCTGAAGCTGCTTCAAGTGGATTCTCAGTTTCCAACAATTCTTTTGAGGCAGACATTGTGGTGTAGCAAGTTAAGCTTCTGCCTGTGGCACCAGCATCCACGTGGGCTCAGTCCCAGCTGCTCGACTTGGCATCCGGCTGCCTGCTCACAGCCTGCGGGGACAGTGAAGGCCAGTCTAAGTGCTTGGGACCCGGAGAGAACGCCTGGCTTTGGCCTGGCCCACGCGACATCTGGGGTGTGAGCCAGCAGATGGAAGCTCTCTGTCTCCCCAGCCTCTCATCTGTCAACTAAATGGGGAACCTCAAAAAAACGGGGAGGCTGACAGTTCTCTGCAGTCTATTCTTTTTTTAAGATATGTTTATTTTTGTTGGAAAGTCAGATATACAGAGAGGAGGAGAGACAGAGAGGAAGACCTTCTCTCTGATGACTTACTGCCCAAGTGGCCGCAATGGCTGGAGCTGCGCCAATCCGAAGCCAGGAGCCAGGAACCTCCTCCAGGTCTCCCACATGGGTGCAGGGTCCCAAGGCTTTGGGCCGTCCTCGACTGCTTTCCCAGGCCGCAAGCAGGGAGCTGGATGGGAAGTGGGGCCATCAAGACACAAACTAGTACCCATACAGGATCCCAGTGCATGCAAGGTGAGGATTTTAGCCACTAGGCTATTGCACCAGGCCTTGGAGTTAATTCTTTAAAAAGCAGATGCAGGGGCTGGGCGTGGTAACAGGCACCTCCACTCCACTGGTTGCTTTTGGCTGGTGGGGGCGGGGGCACAGCCTACTTAGCCTGACTACTTAAAAGCAAGTGGCACCGCCCCTGGTGGCATGGCCTAGCGGCTAAAGTCCTCGCCTTCAATGCACTGGGATCCCATATGGGCGCCGGTTCTAATCCCAGCAGCTCCACTTCCCACCCAGCTCCCTGCTTGTGGCCTAGGAAAGCAGTCAAGGACGGGCCAAAGCCTTGGGACCCTGCACCCACACGGGAGACCCGGAAGAGGCTCCTGGCTCCTGGCTTCTGATCAGCGCAGCACAGACCATTGTGGTCACTTGGGGAGTGAATCATTGCATGGAAGATCTTCCTCTCTGTCTCTCCTCCTCTCTGTATATCTGACTTTGTCATGAAAATAATTTTTTTTTTTTTTAAAAAAAGCAGGTGGCACCATTTTGACTTGGGCAGCCGGTGGGTGAGTGCTGAGCTCAGGGGACTTGGGGGTGTGGAATTACTGCCTAGGGACACAAATGGATAAGGCCACCCTGTGTGTAGGTGAGGGTTAGGGGTGAGAAATGAATCCCGAGGGACTCCCAACGACAGGACCACTCTACTTGCAGGTAGGTGAGGGGACGGAGACCTGGTGGTTCGGAGGGGAGACACTGGAGGATCTGTATGGGTCAGACCGATGCCACAGCCCACGTGGAGTCCCGAGATGTGCTTGTTGGTGAAGATCACCACTCGTTGGCCCATATGCAAGCTAGGGCAGGATCCCAGTACCTGACTGAGAGTTGGAACAGAGCCATGACACTGTCAAAGCAAGAGAACCAGGTCCAGGGGATAGATGCTGTGGGGGATGTGTGGCCCTAGCCCTGAGATATACAGGTCCCTCTAGTTGGAGTAGTGATGGGCTGAGCTAGGTGTGACCATGGAACCTGCCACACTCACGGGTACTGGGGCTAAAAATAGTCAGGGCAGGTCCAGGCTGCAGTGCCTGCATGTGCACCCTAAAACGGTGTGCAGTGGGTCAGGCCACACTATTCACCAGCTTATATAGAAGGCCACGATGGCAGGCTATGCCAGGCAAGGGCCTGGCACCTGCTGGCACATGAGATCTGGGTCTTGGAGTGGGTCATAACTGATGATCACGGGGTCCAGGCCTGGGGGTCAGGCAGGCTGGGCAGGGCTGCTCCATTTGTTGGCAAGAGTGTGAGTTGGTTTTATAAGGGGGTGGACCGGGCAGGGTCAAGCAATCTTAGGTCACTAGCAAGCACAGAAACCAAACTGGAGCGCAGGTCTTGCTGGGCTAGGCTGTCATACCTGTTGGTTTGCATGAGCCAGGGAGGACAGCTAACTGAGCGGGTCAGGTTCCAGCACCTGCCAGCGAAAGTCAGGACTGGGGTCAGGCCGGGCCAGGCCAGAGCATCCAAAGGCAAAGGCCAAGACAGGGTAGGGGCTGTGCCAAGCTGGGTCAGAGCAACCACTGGCACGTGTGCGATCTATGGCTGGGAACAGGCTTGGTCGTGGAGCTAAGGGGCCACCCTGGCTGGGTTGGGGGTCCACTGTTGAGCGCAAGGGCAGGAAAGGGGGCTGCGTTCTGGTCTGGATATGCTGCGGTATTCCTCAGCACAAGTGTGGACTGGGTCTGGGGTACATCAGACTGGGCTAGACTCCAGCACCCACTGGTGCTCGTGAGAACCAGGGCAGGTGTAGGACAGGTTGGACTGGGTCTCTGCCCCTGCTGAGCCATGGGTGTGGACCAGGTTTGGTTGGGTGAATGCCAGTCAGGAAAGGCCACTGTTCCTGCCAGGACAGGAGGTGGACTAAGTAGGGCTGGCCCATGGACCCACCGGTGTGCATGAGATCTGGCACTGGGAGAGGTTCTGATGGAGGAGCTTGGGCAACTCCTCTCTCAGGACACAGTCCCAGCAGGTGAGCGCAGAACAAAGACAGGAAGCAGCCCAGACCAGACCAGGGAAAGGTACCCAGCGGCATACATTTGGCTCAGGTCGGGGGCGAACCAGGCTGGGCCAGCTCATATCATCTGCTGGTGAATCTGAGCACCAGAATGGAGTATGGGTCAGGCCAGGTTGGATCACCACACGGCCGTGCATATGAAGGCCAGGACTGGGGGCCAGCTGGGCTGGGCTGGGCCCAGCAAGGCTACAACACCCACTATGATGAGTGGGCCATGCCAGACTGGGCCGCAGTACCCAACCAGCACACCAGAGACCCGGGGGATAGGGAGCAAAGCCAGTAGGAGGCTGCATGGGGCTCCCCTGCTGGACCACCACTGCACTCCCACTGGTGAATGTGAGGGCTGGGATGGGAGGTCTAGGCCGGGCAGGGATACATCTGCTGGCCTCATGTGAGCTGGATGAGAGCCAGGCTGGGTGCATGCATGTCAGAGTGTGGGCTGGTTGGGCTTTGCCGCATCAGCTGGCAGATGCTGGCGTGGGGGAAAATTCTGTCAAGTTAAACTGCAAAACCATGTGGAGAGCGGATGACCCAGGAATGGATGTGAGCCTAGTAAGGAAACAGCGGGCACCTCTCTTGGGTTGCCACTCCAGCCGGTAAGTACAAAAACCAGGACTAGGGGCAGGCATGGCTAGACAGAGTGGCACCACTGGCAGGTGTGCGGGCTGGATAGTGGAGCTGGTTGGGCTGAACTAGGCTTTAATGTCCATTGACATGTATGAGAGCTGAATGGGATGTGGGACAGACTGGACCAGCCTGCTGTAATACTGGTAACATGGAACCAGTGAAGGGGACGGGCCCGGTGGGGGTTATTGTGGGTCGCCCCAACCAGGCTACAGCTCCCACTGGTGTACATGAAGGCTGAGTGTGTGCTGGGCAGGATCGGGGTGGGCTGCAACACCCATTGGTCTGTGTAGAAGACAGGGCTGGGGATAGAACTGACCCAGCAATTGCAACCACCAGCATGCGCATAAGCTGATGGGGCGAGGGACTGTGCTGGATCCTATACTGGCACGCACACACAGAATCAGGTCTGGGATCCCCCCACTGAACTGCCGGACTCAGAACCCCAACCATGGAGAGAATTGCAGGTTCCATGATCTGACCATGGAATGCGTGTGTCAGAGCTGGGCCTCCTCAGAGGCTTAGACGGAGCAGTGGACAGCGTATGCGGGTGTGCATGGAGGACATGGCAGTCCACTGGAGCCTGAGGAGGACACGTAGCACCTCAGCAGAGGACGGAGGACAGAACCAATCAACTACCCCAGCCAAGTGTTGGCAGTGAATGCCCAAATGGACTCTGGGGGGGCTCTGTCAGCCAGTGGATTCTGGAGAGATTTCAGCAGGTTTGGAATGGGGAGATCGGCAGGAATTCAGACTGTTGAACTACCAAAGCCACTTGAGCAGGACCCTAGGAGCCCATCGGGGACCCTGGGCTGGCGTCCTCCATCCCAGGACATGGAGGCGGTTGGGGGGCTGGTGTGGCTTCTCCTCTTGGCTCCCCTCTTCCTCCAGAGACAGGAAGCAAACGGAGAATGTGGAAATGGCCTGACTCACCTTCCTGTCGCCCTCGACCCTTTGCACCTGCTATGTAAAAATCATCAAAACAGATAAGGGCCTAGCGGCTGAAGTCCTTACCTTGAACGCGCTGGGATCCCATATGGGCACCGGTTCTAATCCTGGCAGCCCCACTTCCCATCCAGCTCCCTGCTTGTGGCCTGGGAAAGCAGCGGAGGACAACCCAAAGCCTTGGGACCCTGCACCCACATGGGAGACCCGGAAGAGGCTCCTGGCTCCAGATCAGCTCAGCTGTGGCCGTTGTGGACAATTTGGGAGTGAACCAGAAGATAGAAGATCTTTGTATAAATCTGCCTTTCTTGAAAGGGTTAATTATAATAGCAACTAGAGATTAAAGTCATCTCACTGGCCTTAGAAGATTCATTGAACCCCAACACTTTCCAATAACAATTTTTAGCACTTTAAGGCAGATTGTGGCTCACAGAGAACCAAGCCTGGGGCAGAGGCTGGGGACCCGGTTGGGGGTTCCCATTTCATCCCTTCCACCAGCTCCCCTCCACCCTGCACCCGGCTCTCCTGGAAGCTGGGATGTGGACCCAGCAATGCGACTTGGGGTTGGGGTGGCGGGCAGGGCAGGGACTCAGATGTGTGGTCAGGCTGTGGCCACCCAGGTGCCCAGTTCAAGTGTGACTCAGGGAACGGCCCTCTGGCGACAGGCCCCCATGTCGGTCACGCTCACCTGTGACTCCTCACAGCATGGGCGATGATGCTTGTGGCAGAATCCTACCGGTCCACACACTTTATTCCTGCGGGCAGAGGCCCGGTCCCCGCAGGCCCTGTGGCTAGCTGGCAGTGTCGCCCGAGGGGCAGCCATTTCCCTCCATTCCTGACCTATGCAGAAGCTGGGGATGGGGGCCCTGGGCCACAGACCCTGTGACATGAACTCCACACCGATGGCCGCTGCGCCCTCCCCCGCCTGCCGGCCTCATGTGGCAGGACACGGCAGGACACGGCAGGATGGCCCTCTCCAGTCACACACATCACGTGGAGCAGCCACGCTTACTCCTGCCCCTGGTAGCTGCTGACTGCTGCACGCCCAGGCCGAGGGCCACCCTGCTGTGTCAGCGCCACGGGAAAGACGCTGACTTGGCCTCTTTTAGTGGGACGGCCACTGCCTGTGGGAAGGGCTGACCGCAAGTTCCCTCTGCTACCCCCCAGTACCGTGCGCCCACCCAAGGGAGCTCATTGGGCCCCAGGCAGTGGAATAGCACACGCAGAGCTCTGGGCCAGGCTGCAGGGGCTGGCTCTGCCCTGTTTGGGGGCAGATTTGGGGTGTGGGGAGGAGCAGACAGCCGGGTCCCAATGCCAGTGGGGTCCCCAGGGCTGCAGCCCACCCCGACCTGATGGCCACTGGGTGTGGTGCCAGAGACACGTGCTGCACGGCCCCTGCTGGCCACAGCCAGGAGTGCAGCCGGAGTGATCCGGAGCCCAGGGGTGATGGGCAGCCAGGGTCCCCAGCATCCCAGTGTTCACTGCCAGGCCAGGACACAAAGGCGTGGCTGCCACTGGTCCCACAGGGTGGGTCCCCAGTGTCCACTGCCAAGTGGGGCAGCCAGGAATGCAGGGATGCGGCAGCCACAGGCCCCACCAGGTCCCCAGTGTCTGCAGCCAGGCCAGGACGCGGGGCGCGGCAGCCACAGGCCCTGCCAGGTCCCCAGTGTCCGCTGCTAGGTGGGTCCACTAGATGAAGGTCGAGTCCAGGGCTGCGCTGTCCTGCTGGCTGTGTGCACGGGCCTCGAACAGCTGCTTGATGAGGGCCGACTTTTCCTGCTCCAGCTGCGTGATGCGCTCACTCTTGTGGCTCACCTCCTGGGGGCGGTGAGTCAGGGGCGGTCAGAGTCAGGGGCGCACACCTCCCCGCCACCCCCTGCACGCACACACGCCGCCTCCCCGCCCACCTGTGTCAGGAGGCGGTTCTGCTCCTTAAGCATCAGGATGATTTGCTGCTGCCAGCTGGGCGAGGGCGCGGCGCTCGGGAGCCCGGAGGGCAGGGCCTGTGGGAGGGCCGGGTCAGGCGCAGCCCCTGGACCAGGGCCGGCGGGCAGGGCCGGAGCGGGAGGACTCACCCTGCCCACACAGGCGGCGGCCAGCAGCTCCCCCAAGCATCGCACCACCTCCTGCGCCTGGGGCAGCAGCTGCCCCAGGGGGCGGGGACTCCCTGCAGCCCCAAGGTCCTAGAGGGAGGCGGGGGAGGGATGGTCAAGGTCGTGGGCCAGCCCCAGGTCCCCCCCACCTCCGTCAGGGAGCCGGGTGCACTCACAGCTCGGCCCCGGCCCAGGCGGCACTGGCGCTCCTGCAGCTGCTCCAGCTGCCGCTGGTACCAGTCGCGGCCCCGCGCCATCATCTCCAGGCCCCGCAGCAGCACTTCCTTCTCCTCCTCCAGCTCCTTCATCTGCTGCAGCTGCAACCCGGGCGCGCACGCTGGTGAGCACGCGCATCCGCACCCACCCACGCGCACCTGTGCAAAGCCGGCGGCCACCCACGCACACCTGTGCAAAGCCGGCGGCCACGCCAGCGCAGACAAGGCCCTGTGGCTTCCCGCAGAGGTGCGGTGTGCCCCGGAGCCCTGCCCTGCTCCTTCTCCCAGGGACCTCATGCCCTCCCTCCGTCACCCCAACCAGGCAGGGACAGTGAGCTGCACCTGTCCACCGAGCTGGCCGCACTCACCAGGCCGCAGTCCACGCCGTCCGTGATGGTATGCCTCCGCCGCTCCCCTCGGGCTCGCGGGCGGCGCGAGTCCCAGGCTCCTCCCTCCGACGCCCCACAGGCTGCTGCACCTGCATGCCACAGGCCTGGTTTAACCCCAGCCCAGAAGGGGCAGGCTGGGCAGGCCCCAAGACGCTCGGCTGGTGCCCTGTGCCCCAGCGTTCCTCACAGCTCTGCAGGCCCCGAGTGTGGCAGGGGCTCCCCCCACCTTTCTCCTGTACTCCAGTGCCCTTCTGGAGGTTGCAAAGGCTCCTGGCTAAGGAGGCACACAGGAGCCAGTGCGGGTGAGAGGCTGACTGCCCCCAGAACGTGCCAAGGCTGGGCATGGGGCCCGCGGGACTTTCGTGCTGCTGGCCCCATGCCCAAGGATCTCCGCCCCCAGGAGGGGGAGGTGAGCAGCCCCCCCATGTTCACCCCGTGCCCAAGGAGGGTGTGGGCCTGGCAGGGAGCCCTGCCCACAGCCCGCAGGTCCCAACGGGCCGTGCCGCTCTGGCAGCTCCTGTGAGACTGCCGCCTGGAGGGAAGGCATGGGAAGCAGCAGGTGAGGGAGATATGGGGCCCCAGGGATGGCCACAACCGTGGGGTTCCCTGGGCACATACAGCCTCCCAACCAGGTGCCCCAGCGTGGACTCTGTCACTCAAGCAGCGCCGCCCCTCATCACAGCTGAGGCCCCCTGTGCGGACACTGCTCCCCGACCCCGGCCACTGGGGCAGCAGCCCCGCGGGCACAGGGATAAGGCCAGGCCACGGTGACTCTGAGCACCACTTATGGGGTCAAGTTGCTGAGGCCCGTGATGGGCGGGGACCACCAGGGACAGGCTGGCTGGGTGAGGGACAGCCCCAAACTCCAGCCATAACTCGGCTTTTGTTCCCCGGGTGGCCATGCAGCTGTGCCCTGTCTGCCACCAGGACCAGAAGCCAGGAGGAGCCTGCCTGCCTCCATGTGTCCCCTTAGCAGGCTGTGTCCGGCCCAGATCCGCGGTGGGGAAGGGTACCAGGGATCCTGGCAGAGCAGCCATAGCAACAAGGCTGGGCACTCAAGAGTGGGGCAGATGCTGGGGCTGGCGCCTCTCCCTCTCCACTCACAAGGGTCCCTTTGCCCTTTGCGGTCCTGGCGCGGGGTAGGGTCCCCACCCAATACCCAGGGGGGCAGGGAAGGGCGGCCTCCGCGGGGAGGTGCCCGGGTCCTCACCGGCGTCCGCACTCGGGCTCCGCTCCAGCGCTGCGCCCTGCGGCCGCTCGGGCTCCGCGGGGCAGGGCGCCGCCTCGGCCGGGCCACACGGCCCCTCGGGGCTGAGGGCCGCGCCGCCGGGGCCGGCCGCCGGGGGACGCGCGCCCAGCGGCAGAGGCTTCCTTTCCAGCAAGGTGCGCGGCTCGTCGGCCGGGGCGAAGGCCAGGCGCTGCGGCGGCGGGGGCGGCCGGGGCTGACCGCGCGCGGGGCCCCGCGGGCCGCCATCGGCGCTCAGCAGCGAGGCGCGCAGGCCGGCCACGAAGCGCTCGAAAGTCAGGTAGCCGCTGGCCGGGGCCACCCGGCGCAGGCCCTCGAGCACGCCGCGGGGCAGCTCGCGCGCGTCGGCGCCCTGCCAGCGGGACTCGATCTCCCGCAGGTGCACGCAGCCGCGCCGCCGGTCGTCCAGGATGTCGAAGAGCGTGCGCAGGCTCTGCAGGAAGGCGCGGGGCAGGCCCTCGGTGCCGGGTGCGCCGGGCGGCTCTGCGCCCCGCTCGGCCGTCGCGGCCCCGGCCATGGGCGCGGGCTCCGTCCCCGCGCGGCCAGCGCGCGGCCCGGGCCACAATGGCGGCTACTTTTTGAACGGGGCCCGCCTCGCGCGGCCGCCCCATTACGACGCGCGGCCTCCATTGGCCCGAGCGCGGCCCGTCTGCGCCGCGATTGGCTGCGAGGCGGCCGGCCCGGGTTTGATTTTCCGGTGCCGAGGCGCACGGAGGCCCGGGGGGCCCCGGGGCGCGCCGGTCCTGCTCCCCTGGGTCCCTGCTGCCCGGGCTCTCCCGCCGCTCACAGAGGCCCCTGTGTCCCCGTGGCGGCCAGCACCGCCTCTGGTCCCTCGGGGCTGTCTGGGCTGGTCTGCAGGACAAAGCCACTTTCTCCCGTGTCCTCGGATGCCCATCTGTGACCAGGTCTCCTCGGCTACCCTTACAGCCCAGCCCACCTTCCCAGCCGGCGTGTCCTCTCTCAGATCACCCCGGGGCTGTCCCCTCCCACCCGTGACCTTCTCGCAGCTCTGGGGGCTGTGTCCCCACAAGGCCCGCCCCCCTGGATCTGGGAGCAGGGCAGGGGCCACCCCACTGACTGGTGCTCCAGGCCAGGTGGGGAGCCGGGTGTTGGGGTGCATTCAGTGCCGGCCCTGAGCCCCACACGCTGCAGCCTCATCCTGGGGCAGGTGGCCCTGAGCCAGCACTGGCCTGTGGGCCTGCCAGAGGTCAGAGGTGCTGGGTGCTTCCTCTCCCAGGCTTTGCTGTCGCCCCGCAGGCGGGGAGCCCCGACATGGCCCGAGGGCCCCTTGCCAGGCCAGTGCGTGTGGCCTGGTTCCCAGGTCATCCTCCCCCCTCGGTGGTCCCGACAGACCCCCGTGCAGGGCACTGCGCGGGGATTGGCCCTGCTCCTTTTTAAAAATGATTTATTTTTATTGGAAAAGCAGATCAGTTTTACGGAGAGACAAAAAGATCTGTCTGCAGCTTCACTCTCCATATGACTGAAGTAGAGAGCTGAGCTGAGCAGAAGCCAGGAGCCTCTGCCAGGTCTCCCACGCGGGTACAGGGTCCCAAGGCTTTGGACCGTCCTCCACTGCCTTCCCAGGACACAGCAGGATGGGAAGTGGGGCAGCGGGGACACGAACTGGCGCCTGTGTGGGATGCTGGCACTTGCAGGGGGCAGATTAGCCAGTTGGACCTTGGTTCTTTTCCCCAGGGAGTGCCGGGTTTCTGCCCCTGCATCCAGGGGCCTTGGGGTCAGCAAGGTGACAGGCGACCACAGCCTGGGGCAGGGGCTGGCTCCCGCCTGCAGGGCACCCTGAATGCACACCCCAGGAGTTTGCACCTGGGGCCCTGGGCTCGCCTCTCCAGCTTCCCGCTCGGGCCGCCCTTAGGCTAAACAGCAAGAGGAGCAGCTTCCACAGGCGCTCGGTCCCCACACACGGCCAGAACTGGCCTTCCCACATTCCTCCCGGGGCGGATTCCAACAGGAACAAGTCCGACATTGTTCATTTTGGTGGTGGAGCAGCGGCGCTGGGAGGTGCTGGGGTGTGGCGGCTCGGGCTCTTCCTCTCCCGCCTCCTCCTTGGGTCCCCGCCCCCGACGGCCCGGCGCCAATGCAGACCCTGTAGGGCCAGAACCGGCCTCCCCGGGGCGTTCCCGCTGTGCAGCCTGCCCCTCGCCCTGGGCCGGATCCTCCGCCCACGGAGACGGCCCCGCCCGGTGGTCCCGTGACGGCCGGAGCGCGGGTCACGAGCGCGGCGCAATGGCCTCGGAGCGGGACGTGCGCGCCCGGCTGCGACAGGCCGGCCAGGAGCACCTCCTGCGCTTCTGGGACGAGCTGGCGCCAGGGCCCCGCGCCGCGCTGCTGGCCCAGCTGGCCGAACTGGACCCCGTGGCGCTGCGCGAGCACTGCCAGCGGGCGGCGGCGGCCTGCGCGCGCCCTCCGGGCCCGTGCCCCGAGCTGGCCGCGCGCCTGCGGCCCCTGCCCCCTGAGCGTGTGGGCATCGCGAGCCGCGGAGACCCCGAGGCGCGGCGGCGCTGGGAAGAAGAGGGTAGGGCGACCAGCGGTAGAGGGAGCTGTGAAGGGTGCTGACGGGTCCCTGGGGCGCGCTGGCGTCCCCCTCATTGGCCATGCGCCCCCAGGTCTCCGGCAGATCGCCCTGAACAAGGTGGCGGTTCTGCTGCTGGCCGGCGGGCAGGGCACTCGCCTGGGCGTGGATTACCCCAAGGGCATGTACCGCGTGGGGCTGCCCAGCCAGAAGACCCTCTACCAGCTGCAGGCCGAGCGCATCCGGAGGGTACAGCAGCTGGCCGGGGAGCGCCACGGGGTCTGCTGCACTGTGCCCTGGTGTGTCCCCTCCCCCTGGTGCCCAGGCTGTTCTTGGGGCTACCCTCATCCACCCGTTAGGCTGTGACCATGACTGTGACCCGAGCACTCACCCACTGCCCACTGTAGGTACATCATGACCAGCGAGTTCACACTGGGACCCACGGCCACCTTCTTCCGTGAGAATGGCTTCTTCCAGCTGGACCCCTCCAACGTGGTCCTGTTTGAGCAGCGTATGCTGCCTGCCGTGAGCTTCGAGGGCAAGGCCATCCTTGAGCGCAAGGACAAAGTTGCTCTGGCACCAGGTGTGTGCAGTCCAGGGCTGAGTGCAACCCCAGGAGCCAGCCCCAGGGAGCCAGCCCCAAGGTGTAGCCACATGGATCTAGCCACAAGGAACCAGCCCCTGGGTGCAATCCCATGAATCCAGCCCCAGGGAGCCCGCTGCAGGGATCCAGCCCCAGGATCCAGCCCAGGATCCAGCTCCATGGTGCAGCCACAAGGCGCCAGCCCCAGGGTGCATCCCCGGCTCTGGCTGGCTGATGATCCAGCACTGCCTTCCCATGGGGACCACAGCTCCCTCATGCTGAGGCCTCTCCTTCCCTCTGCAGACGGAAACGGTGGCCTGTACCGCGCACTGGCTGACCACCAGGTCCTGGAGGACATGCAGCGCCGTGGAGTGGACTTTGTCCACATCTACTGCGTGGACAATATCCTCGTGCGCCTGGCAGACCCCGTCTTCCTGGGCTTCTGTGTGTTGCAGGGTGCTGACTGTGGCGCCAAGGTGAGCCCCCACGGCCTCAGGTGGTGGGGCAGGGGCACCCCAGGAGCTGTGGCTGAGCCCCTCCCCCTATGGTGCAGGTGGTGGAGAAGACAGACCCCCAGGAGCCCGTGGGCGTGCTCTGCCAGCTGGATGGCGTGCCCCAGGTGGTGGAGTACAGCGAGATCAGCCCTGAGACCGCGAGCCTTCGGGCATCCGACGGCAGCTTGCTCTACCACGCGGGCAACATCTGCAACCACTTCGTCACTCGGGGCTTCCTGCAGACAGTCACCAGGTGGGTGTGTGCTGGCTGGGGACCTGGCCTGCAGCCAGGAGCCACTGAGGGCCGTGGGGGGAGAGGGTGTTGGTTTCAGCCTGAGGGGCGCAGGAGTACCCTGGGGTGGGCTGGCTTCGTGGTCAGGGCCTCCCCTGCCCCTGGCTGACGGTGCCCAGGTTCAGCTGGACAGTGGGGGGTGGGACACACAGGGGCGCTAACCGGGCTCCGCTGAGTCCAGACCTGGGACATCCAATCAGGCAGCTTGCTTTGATGGCCTGGCCCGGCCCTCCCCCCAGGGAATTTGAGCCTCTGCTGCAGCCGCACGTGGCCGTGAAGAAGGTCCCACATGTGGACGAGCAGGGCGTTCTGGTGAAGCCGCTGAAGCCCAATGGCATCAAAATGGAGAAGTTTGTGTTTGACGTGTTCCCGTTTGCCAGGTCAGTGGGAGAGCTTGCCCTGCTCCCGTTTCGTTTCGGGGGGGTCCTGCAGGCAGGTCCCAGGAGGGAGGAGCTCAGGCCTCCCGGGGAGCCAGGCACTGGCCCCTTGGTCGGTGGGAACAGGGTTGCCCTGCATGCCACATGGCCCCCACCTCAGCCCCCCCCCTCCAGCAACCTAGTGGCCTTCCAAGTGCAGAGGGAGGAGGAGTTTTCGCCGCTGAAGAACGCGGACGGGGCGGCCAGCGACAGCCCCTCCTCGGCCCGGCGTGCCCTGCTGGCTCAGCACTACCGCTGGGCCCTGCGGGCCGGTGCCCGCTTCCTGGACGCGCAGGGCACCCCCCTGCCTGAGCAGCTCTGGTGAGTGTGGGGTGCAACCCCGCTGTGCCCAAGCTTCCACAGGAGCTGGCTGCAGGCTCTTGCCTGGCACGGCTGAGGATGGGCGGGACTGGGGTGCTGGGTATACATGCTGACCAGGCACCGCCCACAGCCTGCCACCCAACGAAGACCCTCCGGCCATCTGCGAGATCTCACCCTTGGTTTCTTATGCGGGAGAGGTGAGCTTGCCGCTCCCTGTCCCCTCTCGATGGCTCTTGGTCCAGGCTTGAGTGGGGCTGCGCCGAGGGCTAATCTTGGGGGCCTTCCCTGGGGAGGGCGGCCCTCGGCTGATCTCCTGAGCTGGGCGTGCCAACCGGGGAGGGGGCTCATGCTGACCTGGGGCCTTAGGGGGATCGGGTCTTTATCCCTGACTATGGGAAAGGCACTGGCAGGCAGACACGTGGCTACTGTCACCTGCTTGTTGCCAGGGTCTGGACGTGTATTTGCGAGGCCGGACGCTCCGGTCCCCATTCATCCTGGACGAGACTCAAGCCAGGGAGTTGCTGATGCCCCAGGATTCCTAGCCCACAGTCAGGCTGGTCCTGAGGCCCGGGTGCCTGGCCTGCAGAACTCGGAGGAGACGTGTCGCGCGGAACCAGCTCACCAGCCCTGTCCCCACAGCGGGATTGTGACGCTGACCTGTGCCCTCCTGGCCCCCACAGCCTGGATGGCAGAGCAGCTGGGACACCTGTCCGCCCCGCCCAGCGGGGACCCTGGTCTCCCTGGGGGCAGTCCCTGCAGGCTGGGCTGATGGAGCTGGGTGGGGCCGGCTGAGCCCTGGCCCCCTGGTGCTTTCCCTGGCTCTGTCGGTCTGCTGCTAAGGTGTGCCTTGTGCCCCGCAGGCTGCCCACAGTAACTGGCACCTCTTGGCTCTGCAAGTGCAGCGCTACACTTTTGAACGCGTTTTCACATTTCGGATGGCCATAAACCTACATACAATTATGTACACGTCCTGTGTCCTTCATGCGGCCACCCACACACACGGCCTGACTCCGTCTAGTGTCCCACCAGGTCCCCGGCCCGTGTGCACCTGTGCTGCCGGTGCTGGACAGGACCCCAGGTCCATGTGCACACACAGGCCCGTATTCGGGCACGTGGCCGGCTCCTGCCCTGGCACTGGTGCGCCATGGCCTGGGACGCATGGGGTCACCGTGGGCTGCCCCGGCAAGGCGGTTCCGACCCCACAGCCCCGCGCGCCACAGGGTCCCCGCGTGCCCAGGGCGGCGAGGCGGTTCCCACCCCGGAGGGTCCCCGCGCGCCCAGGGGTCAGGGCGGCGAGGCGGTTCCCATCCCGCGGGCCACAGGGTCCCCGCGCGCCCAGGGGTCAGGGCAGCGAGGCGGTTCCGACCCCACAGCCCCGAGCGCCCAGGGGTCAGGGCGGCGAGGCGGTTCCCACCCCGCGGGCCACAGGGTCCCCGCGCGCCCAGGGGTCAGGGCGGCGAGGCGGTTCCGACCCCACAGCCCCGCGCCCAGGGCCGTCAGGGCGGGGTCCACCCCAGTACCGACCCGGAAGCCCGTGACGTCGCGGCGCAGGCGCGGCGGGGCAGACCCGCACTGGCCGAGCCGCGGGATGGGCGGGGAGTCGGCCGCGCTGCCATGGCGGCCCGCGAGGGTGGCCCGCGCCGGGTTCCGGCCGGAGCTCCGAGTCGGGCGTCCTGACGCGGCCGGCCCGCGGGCTTCCCCCGGCCGCGGCCGCCATGTACCCGCCGCCGCCGCCCGCGCCGCCCCGCGACTTCATCTCGGTGACGCTGAGCCTCGGCGACCGCTACGACAACAGCAAGGGCTGGCGGCGACGCTCGTGCTGGCGGGTGAGGCGCGGGGCGCGGGCGCGGGGCGCGGGGACCCGAGCGGCCGGACTCGTGCGCGCCGTGGCCTCCCCCGCGCACCTGCCGCGGCCGGGGAAGCCACGCAAACTGCCGCCCCCGCCCGGTCCTAGAAATGGAAGCAGCTGTCGCGGCTGCAGCGCAACCTGGCCCTGTTCCTCGCGGCGATCCTGGTGGTCTTCGGCCTCCTGGCGTACCTGAACTTGGCCGAGCAGTGGCGAGGTAGGCGCCCCCGTGCCGCGCGAGCCTGTGGGCGGTGTGGGGCCGCCCCCCGCGCGGAGCCTAGGGCTGCGGGAGCAGGTGGAGGGGCCTTGGGGCCGAAGGTGAGGACGGAGCGCCAAGACCTCGGTGACATCCGCCCCCTGCGTTCGCTCCCTGTGTTCTATTTCCGACTTGGGTGGGAGACAGGGTGGGACAGAGGCCTTCAGGCTGCTGGTTCATACCCCAGGACAGCAGGGTTGGGCCTGCCCAAAGTCCAGAGGCGAGATCAAGGGGCAGGGGCCTGCCAGGGAGGCCGTGGTCCGCTGAGCTGTGCCGTGCGTGGGCCTCTGTCCCCATCTCTGTCACGGAGGAGGGAGACGCAGCAGGCGCTCCCATGTGCTGGTTACCCCGGGCCAAAGCCGGGCACTCGGTCTGCGTCTCCCCTATGTGGGGGTGGGGCGGGAGCAGGTGGCTGGAACGGGGTTCAGGTAAGGCTCCTCCATGCCCTGTGCAGCCTTGCAGGCGGCCGAGCAGCTGAGACCAGCCCACGCGCCTGTGCTCCCGCCCCCCCAGAAGGCCAACGCGGACCTGCCCTCACCCCAGGTACCGACCCGGGCACAGGGCCTCTCCAGATGGAGACATCATCTTCATGGCTCCCTGACCTGTGTGCCCCGTGGGGAGGGACAAGCTCCCCGCCACACTGCCCCGCAGCCCCTGCTGGGCTGGGGGCTGGGCTGGGGGCTGGCTGTTCCCCGGGAAGGCTGAGAAGGAGCCCCCAGTCTGGGGGATTCCAGCGGTGGAGGAGAGCTGCGAGGTGGAGGCAGGGAGACCCTCCCTGTGAGGTTGGGGGCAGTGGAGGGCCGGTTCACTGGTACGCAGGAGGTGGTGTGGGGCCTCCGGCGTCCTGGCGACCAGTGGGCTGTGGTCCACCCGGGGTAGGGAGTAGCAGTGGAGACCAGGGACAGGGCAGCGACCACATGGAGGGGCGGCCGGAGCTGTGGGCATCACAAGGTGGTTTTGGGTAGCTGTGGGTGGCCATGGGGGAAGAAAGTCATGCTGGCCCAGGCTCTCAGATGGGCTCGGGAACCACCCGCTGGCTGCAGGAATGAGGGCCGGCCCAGCTGCACAGCTGGCACTCAAGAAGCTGCCCGGCGCTCTGTGCAGTTGTGAGCTGCGGGGTGTCGGGGTGCCAGAGGCAGCCGCCATGCCCGTAAACAGCGGTGCGTCTCCGCAGTGGTGCTGGCGTGCCCACGAGCGCTGGGGGGCTGCTGGGCGCGCTGTGTGTGCCAGGACTTTGTTGCACAGGGGCCGAGCGTGGGCTGCCCCGCTGCATGTGGCTCATGTGGACACTGGGCAGCAGGGCTCGGGGCTCCTCTTGCAGGCCTGGCCACTCGGTGGGGGCTTGTCCTTTGAGACTGTGCCTCCGGAGTTACAGCAGGGACTCCATTCTGTTATGGCTGCGAAGCAGCACTCAGAGCAGAAGGCGCAGGGGGTAGGGGCAGCACACCGGCCCGGGAGGCGCCTGGCAGGACCCTTTCTGGGGTCTGTGGTCTCCAGGCCCGGGGTTTGAGTGTGTAAGTGTTGGAGTACCCAGCCAGGGAGGCTGGCCCTTGTCCAGGGCTGCCCTGGGCGGCCTGCCACTTTACCATTACCCATTGGAGCCAGTTGTAGTGTGGGTCTGCATCCGAGGAGTGCCAGGGGCAGAAGGGGGAGTGCCTGCAGGGTCTGGGGGCCAGGAACCCTCACTGACTGTCATCGGGGCCGCAGAGGCCCCACCGGGACCCACATTACCTGCAGATCGGAGCCCCCCAAGGCGGTCAGGAGCGGGAAGGGGCCCTGGTCAGCGCGGACGTGCCCAGGACGGTCATCAGGTGAGAGGAGCTTGTTGGAGACAGGTGCCCGGCCCGTGTCCCGGGTCGGGTGGGCGAGGGCCTTTCGTCTCATCAGCTGCGGGCTCATGCCCTCTGGGTAGCAAGTCGGCTGAGGGGAGACCTCAAGGCCCCGGCCCCCGCAACACTGTTGCCTGCCCAGCAGCCTGGGGCTCTCGTTGCTGTCCCAAGACTGACCTGGGCCCTGGCTGCTCTGAGTGGTCACTGGCTGCTCCTGGCGGGCCTGGGCTGAGCCACAAGTTGCCTGCCTGAAGAGAGGCTGGGAGCCTGTGCCACTCACAGTGCGCTCCCCCATGGGCAGACGTGCTGGGAGCTGGCATTGGCGCTCTAGGCAGTCGGGCAAGCCGCTCCGTGTTGCCAAGAACAGTCCTGTGTACACCATGGTGGTCCCCACTCCCGAGTGATGGGGTTCCCCCAGGAGGCCCTCAGGTCGCCCTGCCAGCAGCAGCTACTGTGCCTCAGTGCTGAGTGACCTGACTCGGTGACCCTGAGTGGGTTCGCCCCCAGGACGATGGCACGATCGTCCTGGAGGGATCTGGGATCCTGCAGGGTGCAGGGCTGGGGTCCCCCACACCCTGACTGTGGCTCTGTCCCTGCAGCTGGCGGGGCGCAGTCATTGAACCTGAGCAGGGCACGGAGCTCCCCTCGAGGGCGGCAGGGGCTCCCAGCAAGCCCCCCGCGCCGCGGCCCGTGGTCCAGGACACAGGTGAGGCTACCAGACGCGCTCTGCAGGCTGTGGGGGTTGCCCTGTTCAAGGCTGGGCAGTGCTGGACAGGGGTGCACTGTGGGTCCCTAGACGGCCCCGGGGCACTCTGTCCTCAGCATCGGGCCCTCCTTGGACCTGGCGTCCTGCTGCCCCTCCCTCCAGCTCCCACCCGATGGAAGGGTACAGTGAGGCCAGGGTGCTGCGTCCAGTCCCCATGGGGACCCAGCTGTCCTTCCAGCAGGGCTGGGGCCTGCAGAGATGGGCACAGAGCTGGTGGAGTGCCCACACGAGTGCCGTGTGAGGCTGCCGTGTTGGGAAGGCACCTCTTGCTGGGTGCCTGGGTTTTGTGAGGGGTGCCTCCCAGGCTGTGCTGGCCACTGCCACTCCAGACCCCATCAGACATGGGGGGACGCAGGCAGGAGGTCTGAGCACCCTAAGCCGTGTCCATCCCTCAGCGGCTGCCCGTGGTCCTCCAGATGCCCTGTCAGCTGCACACACCGTGGGTGCTCAGAGCAACTCTAGGCATGCCGCGGTCTGGGCCTGCCTGCCATGGCTCGGGGTCCTACCTGTGGCTCGGGGTCCCGCCCGTGGTTGGGGTCCCACCTGTGGCTCAGGGTCTCGCCCGTGGTTGGGGTCCTGTGTCTCCTGAGCCCCCCTCCTCACAGCACCCAGCGAGCGCCAGAAGGGCGTCATCGCCGCCTTCCTGCACGCCTGGAAGGGTTACCGCCGCTTCGCCTGGGGCCGCGATGAGCTCAAGCCGGTGTCCAGGTCCTTCAGCGAGTGGTTCGGCCTCGGTCTCACCCTCATCGACGCCCTCGACACCATGTGGATCTTGGGTCTCAAGTCAGGTAGGGGTGGGGACGCCTCCCCGCCATCGCAGCCTGGTCCCGGCCTCCGAGGTGACTCACGTTCACCGGGTGGAGTTACTTAAAGGACTCTGGGAAGGAGCAAGCTCGCTTTGCATTGGCTGCTTCCACGTGTTTGAAGGAAAGAACTGCAGTGAGAGGGAGAGACTTCCTCCCGGCTCTCTCCCCACGTGGCAGCAGCATCCAAGGCTGGGAGCCATGAGCTCCGGCTGGGCCTCCGAGCGCCGTCGGGCCCGGGCCCTGCGTCACGGACCGGGACTGGGTGGAAGTGGGGCAGCTGGCGGCCAGCTGTGGCCAGAGCCCTCCTGCGTGTACCGACCCAGGCGCGTCCGTGTCATTCTCCTCCCCGACCCTGCGTGTGCGCCCCCCAGGAGCCCGCGGGCTCAGGGCTCCTCCTGCAGCCGCCCTGTTCTCCCAGAGTTCCAGGAGGCCCGGAACTGGGTGGCAGAGAAGTTGACCTTTGACAAGGACGTGGAAGTGAACCTGTTTGAGAGCACGATCCGCATCCTCGGGGGGCTCCTGAGCGCCTACCATCTGTCGGGGGACCGCATCTTCCTGAGCAAAGCGGTGAGCGCCCTGCCTGCCAGCCGGCCCCACCTGTCGGTGCCTATCCCATCAGACCTCCTGGGCAAGGGGCTGGGGTCCTGAGGATGCTGGGCACTAACAGGTGTGGGGGGACTCCCCCAGGAGGACTTCGGACGGCGCCTGCTGCCCGCCTTCAGGACGCCCTCCAAGATCCCCTACTCGGACGTGAACATTGGCACTGGGATGGCCCGCCCCCCCCGCTGGACGTCCGACAGCACGGTGGCCGAGGTGACCAGCATCCAGCTCGAGTTCCGGGAGCTCTCACGTCTCACAGGAGTGCAGACATTCCGGGTAGGCAGGCGGCTTCCCCGACGGCAGGGTATCCTGCTGGAGCGAGCCAGGTGCAGGGCTCCCGAGGCACACAGCCTATCCAAGGGTCCACAGCTGCGGGCCCTGGGCCAGGTCAAGGCTGGGAGCTGACTCCACCTGGGCCCTCTGTGCAGGGGCCTCGGTGTGGTACCCTGGAGCCGTGAGGTCCCACCCGTGATATGACTGACATGATGGGCGTGGTAGAGCTGGCTCAGTGCTGTCCCAGCCAGTGAGAGCCGCAACCCCTCAGGCAGGGACCCCACCCTGTCTGCTCCATCAGTCCAGTCAGTGGACACTTGAGTTACTCCCTTATTTTAACTACTTAGGATTCTGAAAAATCTACTAACAGGGCTGAGACAGGGCCAGTGTGGTGGTACGGCAAGTTAAGCTGCAACTGGGGCACTAGAATCCTGTATGGGCACTGGTTCACCTCCTGGCTGCTCTGTTGCTGACCGCTGACCCAGCTCCCTGCTATGCACCTGGGACAGCAGTGGACAGCCAGTGTGCTTGGGCCCACGCAGCCCCAGGAGAGACCCAGACAGAGCTCCTGGCTTCAGGCAACCAGCAGGTGGATCTCTCTCCCTCCTTCTGGAACCTTGCCTTTCAAATCGAGTAAAATCTTTGAAAAAACAGGAAGACAGGCAGCGGCTAAGAGGCATACCCTGCAATTTGGTCTGCCAGTTGCCCCAGATGCCCACAGCAGCTGAAGCTGGGCCTGGCAGCAGCCAGGAGCTCCGTCCAGGTCCCTTTTGAGCTGCAGAAAGCCCTGGTCCCTTGTCTGAGGGTCTTCCTGAGGGCAGGCATTGGTCCTTGTGGTCAGGGGCAACAGGGAGGAGAGGGGGCGCCTGGGCTGTGCACACTCGGGTCATCGGCTGCCCCGCTCACCATCCAGCTTGAGCGAGCCCTCTCTCTGACAGTCACTGAGCCCCACAGGTCCTCCTTGGGTGCTGGTCTGCTCCACTCCTGCCCAGGCACCCTGGAAGGCAGAGCGAGACCAGGCTGCAGTGCCCTCCTCCCAGCTGTGTTTGAGGTGTCTCTCAAAAAATTGCTCACGACGGTTTCTCAATGTGTAATGGAAAGCTAAGCTGCTTTGTGCAGAAGCCGTATTTGTGCGTGGACATAGCTGACTGTGCGGCCTGGCACGTGGGGAGAGAGCAGCTGGCTACAGCTGCAGCTTTAGTGTCAGCTTCTGCCTGGCTGGGCTCAGCCCTGCAGGCCCCGGTGCCAGGCGCACAGCCTCCGTCACCCGCTGGCTGGCTCAGCTCAGCCTCCGTCACCCGCTGGCTGGCTCAGCTCAGCCTCCGTCACCTGCTGGCTGGCTCAGCTCAGCCTCCGTCACCCGCTGGCTGGCTCAGCTCAGCCTCCGTCACCCGCTGGCCGGCTCAGCCTTCATGGGGTCCTGAGGAGAGGGCCCCTGCTGCGTCCCCATGGCCTGCTCCCCCGTCTAGGAGGCGGCTGAAGCGGTGAGCAGGCACATCCACTCGCTGGCAGGGAAGAAGGACGGCCTGGTGCCCATGTTCATCAGCACGCACAGCGGCCTCTTCACTCACCCTAACGTGTTCACGCTGGGCGCCCGGGCTGACAGCTACTACGAGTACCTGCTCAAGCAGTGGATCCAGGGCGGGAAGAAGGAGACACGGTGAGGCCCCTCCCGGCCCTGGGTCCCGCCCTCGCGGGGGTGAGGGGGCCCCAAGCCCCTGCCGACCAGCTGCCCCGCGCAGGTTGCTGGAGGACTACCTGACGGCCATCCAGGGCGTGAAGAAACACTTGCTACGGCGCTCCGAGCCCAGCAAGCTCACCTTCGTGGGGGAGCTGGCCCATGGCCACTTCAGCGCCAAGATGGTGAGTGGTGCCTGGGGGCCCCGGGGCCGGCCAGCCCAGCTGCCTGCCTTGGAGTGTGTGTGGGGGCTCACCTGGGGTCACCCCCTTCGCCTTCCGGGGAGCCAGGGTGGGCTGGGGCCTGGTGACAAGGGAGCCTCTGGTTCCAGGACCACCTGGTGTGCTTCCTGCCAGGGACGCTGGCCCTGGGCGTCCACCACGGCCTGCCGGCCGAGCACATGGAGCTGGCCCTGCTGCTCATGGAGACGTGCTATGAGATGAACCGGCAGATGCAGACCGGGCTGAGCCCCGAGATCGCACACTTCAACCTGTACCCCAAGGCGGGCTACCAGGACGTGCAGGTCAAGGTGGGCCTTGCCAAGGGGCAGGTGTGAGGGGGCCTGGCTGGCAGCCAGGGCAGACATGGCCAAGCTTGAGCCCCCGTCCCGCCTGCAGCCATCAGACAGGCACAACCTGCTGAGGCCGGAAACCGTGGAGAGCCTGTTTTACCTGTACCGCGTCACACGTGACCGCAAGTACCAGGACTGGGGCTGGGAGATCCTACAGAGCTTCAACAAGCACACGCGGGTGAGTGGGGCCCCACGTGCGTGCCCTACAGGGGGTCTCTGGGGCATGTCTGAGGCCCGGCTCTGGTGGCGCAGGTCCCCTCGGGTGGCTATTCGTCCATCAACAATGTGCAGGACGCACAGCGGCCACAGCCCCGGGACAAGATGGAGAGTTTCTTCCTGGGCGAGACACTGAAATACCTGTACCTGCTCTTCTCAGAGGACGCTGGCCTGCTTAGCCTTGACACCCACGTGTTCAATACCGAGGCCCACCCTCTGCCCATCTGGTCCTCTGCCTAGGTGCACTGGTCGGGCCGCTCACCATCGCCATGCTGTGGGTCGCCCAGGGCCTGCCCATGTCTGGGGCCATGCTGTGGGTCGCCCAGGGCCTGCCCATGTCCTGAGCCATGCTGTGGGTTGCCCAGGGCCTGCCCATTTCCGGGGCCATCCCACGTCCTGGGCCATGCTGTGGGTCGCCCAGGACCTGCCCACGTCCTGGACCATGCTGTGGGTCACCCAGAGCTTGCCTGTACCCTGGGACTCCGCCTTGGCTCCTCCCACTCTCATCAGACTCAGGTACCTCCTGCTGCCTTTTGGTGCAGGGATGGGATGACAGAGCTTGTCCCATCTCCTGCACCCTGAGGTTCCAACCAACATAAATGTGGATTTGCTCACAATGTCTCCTGCGTGGGGTCTGTGCTGGGCAGTATGGGCCAGGTCTCAGGGCAGAGCCCCCTACTGCTCCCAAGGCACAAGGGGACCAAGATACTTTTTCAGCCCAGGTCAGCCTGCCCCCTCAGAGCCCCTTGTTGGGGCTGACCGTGGCTGGGCCAAGTGTCTGCGCTCATAGAGTCCCAAGCCTGCCTAGTGTCCATGCCGGGAAGAACGCCTGACACATGGCCACTAACCACGACCTTGGCAGGTGGCGGGCTTCCACCCACCTCCTAGGGCCTGGCACCCAGCCTGAGCCTGGTGTGGCATGGCCAAGAGTCCCCTGGGCGGGACAGACAGCTATGGAACCCCTGAGGGCCAGAGATGCGCCACGCTGCACCCCTCTCAGCTGCTCTGCTTCCTGTCCAGCTCTTGCTGAAGGCCAGCCAGTGCCAGGATCCCTGCACCCTCGTGGGAAACCCAGAAGAGTTCCTGGCCCAGACTTGGTCATGTGGCCGTCAGGCATGACCCAGTGGACAGAAGAGCATTCTGTAACTGCCTTTCAATAAACCTTTTTTAGAAAAACCAGCCTGGCTGGTGTGCTCTGCGGGCCTGGGCAGGACCAGAGGGAAATGTAGGTTGAGGTAGAGTCCTCTTTATTGGGTATGTGGCTCAGCCCAGATCATGAGCTGTGCCTGACCCCTACCACATGGGTCCCCAGGACGGAGAGGGTTGTGCCACCCCCCAAGCCCCGGTCACACGGTGCAGACGCTGCTCCAGGGCCTCGGCAGCCCAGGCTCAAGGACGCTCGAGTGCAGCCGCCTGCACCCACTCCCGGATGAGCGAGGCCTCCAGCTTGCGGGCCGCCACCACGGACGCGGGGTCCTCTGGGTGCGATGCCCTGAGGAGCCAGAGGGTGGGCTCAGCTGGGCAGGCTGCACCTGGCCCAGGAGCCCCCAGCCAGACCCCTGCCCTGCGCACCTAAGGTCCAGGTGGTGTGCCCCTCCATGGATGGTGATGGCCACAAGGGAAGCACTGAGGTTCTTCCGTATCTGCCAGCAGTGTGAAACCCCCGTCAGATCCCTGCGTGGCCAGTGGGGGCGGGAGCAGGCGCTGCCAACCGGGGCCGCTCACTCACCCCGCCTCCTGCCCAGGGGTCCAGGTCGCCATTGGAGAAGATGATGTTGCTGGCGGCTCTGAGGTCTGAAAGGGGCAGTGGGTGAGGTGAGGGGCAGGACGCAGGCACCCTCTCCCAGCCCAGTGCCTGGCTTACCATCCCCCCCAAAGTTGGTCTTCAGCCAGTCGCGCCGGGGCCACACGCCCCACGTGTCGAGGCAATACTGCCGGCGCTGGGCCTCGGTGAAGGGCAGCAAAGGGAACATGTCCGTCTTGTTGTTGCTGGTGAAGGTCAGGTTGATCTCGGTGCAAGCCTGTGGGCCAATGCTGCTCAGCCATGGCTTCGCCCGTGACCCAACCCGGCCCTGCCGCCCCTGCCCACCTGGTAGTCCCAGGCTCGGGCGTCCGAGCCGGTGCCACAGCCGGTGGGGTCGGCACAGTTGTGGTATAGCTTGTAGATGTCGTAGCAGGACTCGGAGCCCGAGGAGTTGTACACCAGCCCTGTGGAGCAGGACATGGCTTCTCAGGCCCCTGCGCAGCCAGTCTGCGGGGCCAGGGGAGCCCAGCTTCTGCCAGCCCCAGGCCACCTGCCAGCTCCCGGAGGCCGGCGACGCGCTGGTTCTCACTGAGCAGCCGCTGGCAGCCCACCTAGGGAAGAGGCACAGCCTCAGTGGGAGCAGTGGGGGCCCACGCCGGCCCAGCCCCCTGCTCGCGGGGACCACGCCTGCCTTGACCGGGTTAGCGGGCAGGTGGCCCATAAAGTCGGTGGGGTAGGGGTAGTCCATCATGGCCAGCATGGTGAAGGCGTTGCGAGCAAACACGAACAGCTGCTTCATGTCCTTGGCCCCCGAGAGCGGCTGGCAGGTGCGGAAGTCCCGGCTGATGCGTCCGGATGCTGCGGAGAGGGGGTACTGAGCAAGCTGCAGCCGGGGGTGCTCCCGGGGGCGGGCACGGGGGCTCCTCACCTCGACGCCGGAAAGAGTACTGAATCTCTGCAAACGCCTCCCGCACGGCCTGCTCGCACTCGGGGCCCTGGGCCGCGAAGTCCTGCGGGGACACGGAGTTGCAGTGGCCGCCAGCCCTCTCCTTCCAGGGGCTCCCCAGCACACTCACCGCTGTGACATCGCGGAAGAACTGGGTGGGGTCCCCGAGGCCTGCCACGGACACGACGGGGGCGCTGGCCGCCAGTGCGCCAGCTACCAGGTGCGGGTACTTCATCCTCAGGTAGGCGGCCAGCATGCCCCCATAGCTGGGGGTGGGCAGGAGCTGAGGCCGGTGCCTTGCCACTGCCCGCGCCTCCTCCTCTAGGGAAGGCCCAGGTCCCGCAGAGCGGAGCCCAGAACCCGAGCCCAGCGGTGGCGGGTAAGGCAGAGGCAGGGTCCCAGGGGGCAAGGTTGCGAGGGTCCCGCGGGCTGAGCTGGAGCTGCCCCAGTGGGGCGACCTGAGGGTCCCAGCAGTTTGGACGGGGTCTGTCGGGGCGTGGGGACGGACCCAGTGGAGGGGACCCACCTCCCTCCGAAGGCGATGGCGGGGACGTGCGGGACCCCCAGTTCCTTCCTCAGCGCCTGCAGGAGCACGGCGAAGTCGGCCAGCGCCTGCTCCACAGTCAGCAGTTCCGTGTGCCCGGGCCGCGTGGACTGCGCCCCAAACGGCAGTGACTTCCCGTAGTACCGCTGCAGGCAGTGGGGAGGCGTGGCTGAGCCGCCAGCCCCACGGCCTCGAGATTCCGAGGGTCCCCACTGCGCTCCCCCCGCCCCCAGTCCCGGTTTAATGGGGTCCCCACTGCTCCCCGCGCCCCAGCCCAGAGGGGTCTCCCCACTGTGCGCCTCGCGCCCACAGCCCCGGTCTAATGGGTCCCCACTGCTCCCTGCGCCCCAGCCCAGCGGGGTCTCCCCACTGCGTGCCTTGCGCCCCCAGCCCAGCTGGGTCCCCACGCCCCCAGCCCAGCGGGGTCCCCGCGCCCCTGGCCGTGCCCCCGGCCCCGGCACCCACGTGCTCCGCGAAGACCAGCAGGGCTTTCTGCCGCACCGCCAGCTCCACGATGAAGCCCGAGTTGTTGGCGAAGACCCACACGTCGCCCTCGTTGCCCGTGTATAGGAAGATGGGCCCGCGGCCGCGCTCCCAGAACCGGTCTGCGGGGACAGGCGGGCGTCGGTGGGGCGGGACTCGCGGGGCGCGGGGCGGGGGCCGCAGGGCGCGGGGGTGTAGGGCGGGGATCGCGGGGTGTGGGGAGCGGGACGGGGATCGTGGGGTGTGGGGCAGGGGGCGCGGTGCGGGGATCGCGGGGCGCGGGGCGGGGGTCACGGCGTGTGGGGAGCGGGGCGCGCGGCGGCCCCCTCACCTGAGAGCAGGAAGCGCTGGCGGAAGGTCCCGTTGCCAAAGCTCTCGAAGTTGAAGTGGTCCAGCGGCTGCTCCAAGTAGCCCTCGCGGAAGCCGGGGTCGCGGACTCGGCGGCCTGCGGGTGGGGCGCGGGGTCAGCGGCCGGGGCGCCCACCCCCCGGCCCCGCGGGGCGCCCACCGCACTCACCCGCCGCCCCGAGGCCGAGCAGCCCCAGGGCCAGCAGCGCACCCAGCGCCAGCGGCGCCCACCGCGGACGGCGCCCGGCACCCATGGCTGCCTGCGCCCGCCGGTCACCTGACCCGGCGGCCACGTGACGCGGCGCGCCGCCGCAGCTTCCGGGTCCCCCGGTCCCTGGCGCCCACTGTGTCTCCATGGAGACGGTCGCCGCGGAGCCGCGCGGGGCGGCAGGGATGCGGGAGCAGTGGCCCCTGGCTCGCTCAAGCAGGGGCTGCAGCCGGGCGCCTCTTCCCCTCAGGCCCACTTCACGGAGCCACGGCTTCCCTACCCACGGCCGGGACTGTGTCTCTCCCCAGGCCTCCCACCACGCTGTCCCCTGGGCGTCCCTGCTGTTCTGGAGGGCCGCCTCCTGACAAAGCCCTGACACTAAGAGTGGCCGGGCCAGGAGCACACGGGGTGGGCTGCATCCGCTCCAGCCACAGGCCCACAGGGACTGGCCCAGGGCAGGCTGCAGAGGTGCTGGGCCATGGGCTCCCAGCCCTAGCTGTGGCCAGCGGCCCCTCACTCGGACCCTGGGAGGGTGACAGTGTGCCTGTCCAGGCCCCCATGGCAAGGCTGTGCCTGGAGCTGCCTGAAGGGCGGTGGACGCAGGCCTGAGCCACTCGTCCAGCACTCCCTCCCAGAGGGCAGCCCTGCAGCTGACCAGAGACCAGGCCAGTCAGGTCCCCCAGCCACACTCAGGGCCCAGTGCTGTTTCTGTCCCAGTTCTGGCTCCACACCTGCCAGTGAGTGCTAAGGCCTGGCCCACACAAATGCTGATGAGTGCCGCAGCCTCGCCTGGCCTCCCTGGCCCCGATTCCGGCTTCTGTGTTCCCCAGAGGGGACTGTGGCATGGCAGGGGAGCTCCCCGTGTTTGCCTACCAAGCCTGCTCCCCATCCCAGGGTCTAACATGTGCCAATTGGGGGCGGTGGACCTGCTTGGCATGGTCTGCCTTCAGTCCTGGCCCCATGCATGCACCAGTAGGTGCTATAGCCTGGCCCCACTTGACCTTCTCCGAGCTCCAGTCCTGCAAGGGTCAGGTGAGTTCCGTGGTTCAGCCTGGATCGGCCCGCCACTACTTCCAGCTCTGTGCAAACCGCAGTCCCACAGAGGTGAGCCCACAAGCCCCCTACAGACTCTGTCCCCAGAGCTGGTTCTCATGGGAGCTGGTTCTCTGGTGGGTGCTGCAGCCCAGCCTGCCTTGGCCCACCCCTCCCTGCTCTAACACTCGCGGGTGGGCACTGCGACCTAGCCCAGCCAGGCATGCCCACAGGTCTAGCTCTTTTGTGCACCAGTGGGCAGCAGCCAATGCCATTGAGCCCAGCCCAGGTCTTCCACATAACTGGGTCTGATCCCCCCAAACCACTCTGTCTCAGCTCCCTTGCCCACCTGTGAGTGCAGTGGCCTGGTCTATAGGAGACCCCAGAAGTCGCTCCTTTCCTGTCACGCATGCCCTCCGATGCTCCCACTCCACTGTGTCCCCAGACTCCCTTGCCTAGGCAAGCTGCAGCTGCCCGCTGGCACACTGGTATAGTTAACACAGATTTGGCCTTAAGCAGGCCCAGAATTCCCACCAGCTACTGGCTGCTTCGCTCCTAGCAGCAGGCTGCAGCCAGGAGCTGCAAGCTCCATTGGGGTCTCCCTCGTGGTGGTGGGGACCTAGCAGCAGGAGGCTGGAGTCCCAGCCTTGCCCTGTGGGATGTGAGGGTGCTGAGCTACGACTTGGCCACCCTGCTAGGCCTGTCCTGCATCGAGTCTGGCTTTTCTTGTCCCAGCTCCAGGGCAGCCAGGCCCCAGATCCCGAGGTGTACCTGTTGCGTCCTGGCCCAACCCCAGCTGAGGCAGTCATGGGGGCCATGCACACCCGTAGTCCCCCAGCAGCGAGTGCTCTGGGCCTAGCTCTCAGAGTGGCAGCAGAGTCCACTCAGCCTGCTCCTCTAAGCTGGGAGCAGGCTGATGGACAGCGAGCGGCCAGGACCGCAGCAGCCAGGGGGACAGGTCTCCCCACATCTGCCCGACTCGGCTGTGAACACACTGGCCTTTTTTCTTTTGCTGAAAATCCCACAGCCACTGTGCCTGGGTCAGCACTGTCAGAGGGTCCGGGGAGGGGGGGCCTTTCTTTTGTTTTATTGTTTAAAAAATACTTTATTGTTCCAAACCCTCTCCCCACTTCCTCCGGCATTGGGGGAAGGTGGGGAATTAGAGAAGCAGCCACACCCAGCCTCCCCACCACCCCAGTACCAGGGATGGGGACCGGCCACTCGATGCCATCCCAGGGTGCCCGATGCCTGCTCCGAGGGTGCCGCTCGAGTGGTTTGGATAGTTCTGAAATGCTGTTGATTTTGTTGCTCCAAGGATGAGGAAATCTTTCCAAGGTCCATCTTGCTGAAGTGGTCCAGCCCAGAGTCTCCATTCGTCCAGATGTTTGCTGTCAACGCTTGGCTGGGATAGTAGACCGTTTTGTTCTGCCCTCCTAGCTCTGCTGTGGCACCACATGTCCTCTGCAGGCCAATGGACTGCCGTGTCCTCCACGTGTTTCTGGGCATGCCGTCCACTGCTCTAAGCCACTGAGGAGGCCCAGCTCGGACACACGCACTCCACGGTCAGACCATGGAACCTGCACTTCTCTCCATGACTGGACTTCTGAGATCAGCAGTTCAGTTGGGGAAATCTCATCCGAGGTGACCCCAGGCCTGACTCGTGTGTGCTTGCCAGTACAGGGTCTGGCTCTGTCCATCACCCACACTGGCCCATGCACACACTGGCAGCTGTAATTGGTGGGTCAGTTCCCTCTCCAACCCCGTCTCTCACATAAATCAATGGATGCTGCAGCCCAGCCCAACCCTCCCCAGCACACACTTACATCAGTGGGAGCTGCAGCCCAGTCAGGGCGACCCCCAGTAACCCTGCCGGGCCTGGTCCCTAGCCCTGGTTCCTGTGCTTGCCAGGATGTTCAGCAGACTACCACAGTCTGTCCTGCATCCCAGTTCAGTTCTCGTTTGCATTAATGGGCGTTGAAGCCTAGCTCAGCCTAACCGAGCTCACTATCCAGCCCACACTCATGCCAGCATGTGCTGCCACCTGTCTGTCTAGGCCCAACCCCTGCCCTGGCTCTCACACTCACCGGCGGGAGCTGCAGCCCATCAGAGAAGTGGTCACAGTGTCCCTACTGGGCCCATTCCCAGCCCCGGATCTTGCACTCTCCAGGTTCCGCAGTCTAGCCTGACAGGACCTGCCCCCAGTCCCAGCACCTGCCATCTGATGCTCGGCAAAGCCCAGCCAGCCTGCCCTGACTCTGGCCCATGCATGTACCAGTGGGTATGGTCAGTTATCCCAACCTGCTCTGTCCCTGACCCAGCCCACATGCAGGCCAGCAGGTGCCGCAGCCCTGCCTGGCCTTGGCTGCCCCAGTTCAGTTCTCATGCTCACCAGCCAGAAGCAGTGGCCCAGCCGAGAGTTCCCTACTGGGCTCGCACCACTCCACTGGGGTCTCACGAGTCCTGGTGGGTGCTGGGGTTCAGTCTGGCGTGGCCCGCCTCATCTCGCATTTGCAGGCGGTGTTTTAGCCTGGCTGGCCGGGACTGTCCCTGCCACAGCTCAGCCTGTGGGGGCCCTGAGGGGGAGGAGTTATCCCTATTACATTGCAGGGTGGAGATGGAGCCCTCTATCGCACAGGTGTGCCCCAAGGGTGGCGCAGGGGGGCACCAGACCGCTGAGGACAGGACCCCGTGCCAGTGGTCGGGCTCTGGGAAACATCTTTAGCTGTGGATTCATTTTCTTCTTGCTGATGACAGAGCTACACACTCCTTCCACCGGCTCCTGTCCCAAGCTGCGCCAAGCTGAAATCAGACTCCAGGAACTCCCACGCTGGGGACAGGGGGGACCCCAGCCCTGGGACCGCCATCTGTGGCTTCCCATGGTGTGCAGGAGCACCCGCCCCACCCCACTGCACCTGTGCAGAGATGTCACAGCCAGCCCGAGCCTGCAGACACCTGTGGGTGCCACCTGGGCCAGACCACGGGGTCCATCTGAGTTCCCCGCCCCCACAGCCCTAACTTCCCTGTCCCTGTGTGGTGCGAGCGGCCCCATGGGTGGGCACTCTCCTGTGAGCAGGATCTCACAGTGTGGCAGGTGGGACCTGGGGCGGGGGGCATGTGGGAGCCCCTCCCCATCCTGACCCCACTAGATGGTCCCAGGACCCTGGGAAGTGGGTGCTCCGGCCAGCAGAGCCAGTAACGTGGACAGGGAGAGGGTCTGGGGATGAAGCACCGACAGCAGATCAGTGATGGTGGAAGTCTACCAAATTTCCCTTTATTTAGCCACAAACCCAGTTCCTGTTCCTGCCCATTCTGAGTGCTAATCAACTTCTTAGCCCAGAGCAGGTCCCCCTTTTTGTTTTAAAGCAGACTCGAATGCACCTGTCTTAGGTTGTGGACCCTCAGTTCATCAGCCTTACCCGTCATCGGGAATCTCCGTAGCATGACGGAGCCCCTGTCTTAGATTGGTCAGTCCCGGGTCCATCTTACCCGTCACTGGCTGCCATCCAACGCGTTGTCTGCTGCAGCTGCACAAACCATACTTGGGGAGGCTGGTAACCCTGCTCCATGGCTAGGACATTGTTTCCGATCTTTAGCTCGTAGCAATGAGCAGACAGCAGTTCCCGGGCTTGGGAAACATTTTGCACTTGTACAGGTGTTACATACATGAAGACAGGTGATGGGGAGCAAGAGGCCCTGACCACATCCCACAGCCTCTGCCACTCCTCTGCCAGCAAGACAACCCGCTGTTACAGCGTAAGCATGCCCACCCACACGTGTTGATTAATAAAGTTCTGTTGTTCCCTAGCTCAGGCAGTCAGTTCCGCAAACTTGTTCATGGTCTCCGTGGTAACTGTAGGGTGTCCTAGGGTCACCGCTGCTGTGGTGGTGGCTGCCGATGCCAGGGCAATGCTGGCTACGCTGGTCGATGTTACGTCAAAGTCTCTTTTTCACCTTATCAGGCCAACAGAGGCCTCTCCGTCAGTCCCAACGGGCACAGGCAGGATTGGGGCAGCTGCAGGACAACAGCAGTATCAC